TTTATATGTTGTCAATATCCATTACAGTATCCCATCGCCCCTTTTTTTTTTCTTAATTTGACGTTATAACTTTAAAAGATTTGCATTATTATTTGATCAAACCGAAATATTTGAAATTTTCAGTATATGATAAATTTTCGAAAATTGTCTATGCATGTATTTGTAATAGGTTGACAAAATCCTGCATATTTCTTTATGTATTCATTGCAATGTATTGAACAAACTTCTTCCACACTGCTTACTCTGAAGTATCTTCTGATTTACGACAGTATTTAAATTGATTTCCCTCAAGATACCTGCAATTCTTTTATAAAAGCATTTCGTCATCCAAATTATCTGTAGCGTCACGCACGGAATCTGAAGTCACTTTCACACGACACATTGAGGATGACGCACATCTTCTTCCTACTTAATTGCGTGTTTCTTTATATTCTGGAAATTTACTTTCTAGTTAATTCTACATCACGTAAGTATAAGTATAGGGCAAAAAAGGAAGCTGCATGTTTTACATGTTGATGTTCGTTTTAATTTATAAACGCTATTGGACAAAGAAGTTTTGATAAGTAACAAACACAAAATGTATTCTGTCAAAGGCTAGTCAATTTTCCTTTCATCAATTTTGGATAGATTTATAATATAATACTAATTTATGGCAAATCTGAGGTAAATTACAGATATTGCTTAGTGGTTAAGACTTTAGACACTTTTTATTTATATATCAGTTGTATACTGCATTTAAAATTATTTTTAATGTGTTTAAAATAAATCAAATTTTTATTTTAATTGAAATTTAAAAATTTGCCATTTAATGGTATTAGTCAAACCCAGCTCTGTTACTAATATAAAATATTATTAAAACAATAATTATTGTTTATCTTTAAAAATTCTCTTCAGTATAAATTTATGCAAACAAAAGTAGCATTGTCGACATTGTTTTACTGAGCGGTTCAAAAATATGATGTACTGTTTGGCGAGATGTTGGACTGGGGGGGGGGGGGGGGGAGTTCGACCGCTTAGTCGATTTTATTTGCATTCGCAAATCTCTATTTTCATCACGAGCTTCCGACACAAGTCAACAAGCTATATATCTAATTTGCAGTTTTTGGTGTTCAATAGTCTCGTATTCAATAAATGAGTGATATGAACACAGCATTCATTTGCAACATCAGCGTGAAACTGTCATCTTAAGCAATAACATGTTAACCCGAATTGAAGTTTCTCCACTAACCTGAAATGACCTCAACTGTGCAGTTTTATAGATTAAAAGCAGAACAAAGACTACATATACTTTCAAATTCCACCAAATATAAATTTTTCATCCTTTTTGTTTGCCTGGTAACGACAGCTACCTATGCCTTTGAAATTTCAACCTCAAAAACTTGGGGAGGCAATTACATATCAGTATTACGTAGAATTAAATACTTTTGGAGGAGTCAAATTTAACAATTACATGTACTTACAGTTACATGCATGTAGCAGCGAGTCACACAAAAAGCAGGAAAGCACTTTTGTTCATTATGAAAGAAATAATAATATTCTCGGTGATGATTGGTCACTGACGCTTGTAAAATGCAGTTTCTAGGAATAATAAATTGAAAATTTTTCATATGTTGACTATTTCCCATGGCACAGTGGCCTTTTTTGAAGTAAAGCCATGCGAAAACATCCGAGGACAAAATTGTATGTGGAACAGTGACAATATGTCACCCAGCTACGTTCGGGGTGACATAATAATAATAATTGTTCACGGTGGTCTTTGACAGACTTGAGGTGTTGTATCATTCGATATATTATATGATTGAATAATTCCCAGCCCTCTGATTGCATGGCTGAAATCCAACATTGTAGAGAAAAATACCACTTTATGTTCACCTGCACTGACCTTCAAGGTAAACATAAGGATTTATTTTTTCCTATTGGACTAAAAATAGATTGAGAACTTCCAAATTGATACAAATAGTTCTTGAAAGTTATTTCATTTGCATCTGACCTCCACTCAGGTACACATAACATTTAGGAACATAGAATCGGGGGATGGGGGTGGGGATGGGGATGAGAGGGTTGTACATGTAGGTGGACTGCCTTCTTCCACACTTTTTCTCTGAACTAAATTTTAACAATTAATTTAGTGTGAAAATGTTCATTGAAAGGCTGGTCCCTCTGTTAATGTATCCAACCTCCCGACCCCCCCCCCCCCCCCGAAATGAGATTTAGAGTTTGTATATTTCTCTTTTTTCTGGGGGGGGGGGGGTAGTCAAAGATCCTTTTAGGTAATGTGTCAATTATCACCCCCTCCCCCTTTTCAAAATCGATCTTACGTTTCTGACATTTATTTTTTCTACATCACAAATAGATTCGAAAATTCCAAATTACATGTACAATGTAAAAGAGCTGCATGGTTCTGTGTATTTTAACCCGGCTTCTCTAATTGCATTTGGCTAGGACTTCAGCAAATGTAAACAAGTAAGATCAGATTGCATCAATTACCAGTACTTGACGAGTTTGAATCGTTCAATCTTTGAATCAAAAAATAAACAATCATTAATGGGTTTTTTTCTTCAGTCACCTAGATGATTTAGCTTCGAAAGCCTATTAAGATCAATTATGGAGAAAAAAATTAAAAGGCGTTATAACGTCTTTCGAAAAGGCGTTATTACGCCTTTTCAAAAGGCGCTATTACCCTTTCCAAAAGGCGTTATTACGCCTTTTCAAAAGGCATTATTATGCCTTTTAAAGAGCCATTATTATGCCTTTGACAGGCCCGTGCTTTTGAAAAGGGGGAGGGGGGCAGCCTAACAAAAAATTGACAAGCAAACAAAAAACAAGAAACCCCCCCCCCCCCACACACACACACCGAAAAAAACTAAACTGCCTAAACTCGAGGGGGGGGGGGGGTCTTTTTCTAACTTTTCGGTAAACCTTTTTTAAAATGCAATTATTTGCCAGAGTTTGACCATAGTGCAACAATATGTGCAGGGACCAAGCAGCCAATGAATTGATATATATAAACTAGAACTAGACTACTAGTATTCTCCCAAAATGTGGGGTGAGGGAGCCCCCCCCCCCCCTCCCAATCGCACTACCCGCCTGCTTTAGAGGCGTTATATCCAAAAATGGAAAGGCGCTATTTTATACTAATAAATATATGAAAGATTGAATCAAAGCCATCTTTATTCATGCAATATTTAAAAGTATTTTCTCTATTCCTGCACATCTTGTAGACAACTGTTTGCATCCGTATTAAGAGAAGTCAGCACTCTACTTATGAAAATGCAGGATATAAGCAGATGCAACTTGGGGCTTTGTTGGCCATGTATTAAAAATTCACGTCAAACTTGAAAATATTTTTCTCTCCTCTTGGAAAAAAAAACCAGGCAAACTATTTGCATGGGTATAATAAGCAATTAGCCTTCAACCAAATTTGTGAAATACATGACCCTTGGTGGAGAGGTCTGACATCAGAGAAGGACTATGTTGGTTTAATATTGAAAATATATTACACATTTAAAAAAAAAATTTCCTGGAAATCTAATTTTAATATACATGTATTTAAATTATTTTTTGAGAAATAAGTCCTATATTTCATTGTGGAATTCATGTCCCAAGGGTAAGATTTCAGCCCCCGGGGTGGGCTAAATTAGTCATGTGTTGAAAATAAAAGGTGTAATAACGCCTTTTTGAAAGGTGTTATTACGCCTTTTAAAAAGGCGTTATTAGGCCTTTCAGAAAGGCGTTATTACGCCTTTCAAAAAGGTGTAATAACGCCTTTTGAAAAGGCGTAATAACGCCTTTATGAAAGGCGTAATAACGAATTTTGAAAGGTGTAATAACGCCTTTTTTAGAAAGGCGTAATAACGCCTTTTAAAAATGCGTAATAACGCCTTTTTTCGCGTTATTACGCCTTTTTCCGCGTTATTACGCCTTTTCGAAAGGAGTTATAACGCCTTTTGATTTTTTTCTCCATAGATTGATCCTAATAGGCTTTCGTATTGAGCCACCTTCAAAGTACAATATTTACCTCGCTCTTCGGGCTCGGTGAATATATTGTACTCTTAAGCTGGCTAAATCATCGTACTGACCTAAAAAACAGCAACAATAGTATAATATTTCCCGGATTGTAACACCAGGTCGTTCCTATATTGCACTGTCAATTCTTGATCTAACCAAAGCCTAAAATTAAAATTAAAGGTGTTTTTACGACCAAATGTCGTATACATTGCAGCTATAGACATACAAACACTTGCTCCGATCCTATGGCATGGCTTAATGGTATATTCAATATGGTAGATTTGTTGCTTTTAAGATGACTTAGAGACGATTTTTTATCATACTGTAATTGAGCACAAGTAAACTATCTTTAAGCTAAGGAAGTATTTCATCTTGTCGGATTCCTCGAAAGACTAACATTTGTTTTAAATTTCAAAATTTCTAAGTTCTTGAAACATGCCTCAAACTAAATCATGTGTAAAATTAATTTCATCCACAAAGTTATTTCTACTTTTTTTAAGTGATAAAAAAGACAAAGAAAAATCGGTCTCGCTATAAATCTGATGACTGCATTTGATTAATTGCTACTACGATCTTTGCAAATTCGTCTTCATACATAAAGATTTGGCTTCGAAGTGGGTGAAATATCGCGAATAAAGTATTATTGTGCCTGAGATTCAATATAATAATCCAATTTATTGCCGTTTTATGTCAGATTGTCGTAAAATATCAAAGGAATGAAGACATTAAATATGCATTACCTTCCATCCACCTGATTCTCAATGATCAATCTGCTGTAAAGCGGATATGAACCATTGATTCATATTATTGTGTACTTCAAAAATCTAGCAAAGTCAGAATGAAAGCTTGCCATCATATTCAACAACGAAGTCCTACACTGTTTAAAGTTCCCCTCCCCTGCTCCGAATTTATCGAACTTCTTTTCAAAATATGACTGTTTTACTAGATACATTGAATATCACTACATATTTCTAATATTTTTTATTCTTCAGTTCACAGACAAGCAGCCCGCCAGGCTTTAGATTACGTAGCTTTTATTGAGAATCTTGATAACTGCAGTCTGGGAACCGGAGAATCACTAGATCTCACATTTGACCACACTGTATGGAATCCTCACGCACTTGCTGCAGTCCGCCTGGCCAATTTCATCTCCAAAGTAATCTCCAGCAACAACAACAGCATGGCCTCTTTGTCAGATGACGTCCTATTTGCTCTTGTCAGGAACAACGTTCATCTGAAATCCGTCATATTTGGTTCTGGGACTCCATTTGAACCACACGAATCTTTGAGATATCCTTTGTTTTGTCCATATGCATATAGGGACGAAAACAAGACGTCCGTTCTCTCTAAAGATATTGCTGTAGAGTATAATTACACAGACCCCAGAACCGAGTACTACAATGTACTCCGCTATAGGGACTTCAGCAATATATCTTTGGAGATAGATAAAATCCAGTTCAGGTAAACTTAATAGAACAGTCTGGACGGTTTCATCTCCAGTGCATTTATATAATCTTAAATCATATTAAACAAATTCTTTTAATGAAAGAGTTTTTTTCTATATACTCGTTAAAAAATCCTTTAAAACTCTGTTTTTGCAAGATAAAAGGATATATCACAAGGAACTGGCCCAACAGTGCAATATTGAGTTGATAGCAGATTAAGCAAGTATAATTTTAAAGTTTGCAAAATTTCATATTTTTTTAAGAAAACATTTTTTGTTTCTATGGAAACAGTAGCCATTTGAAAATGTGAAATGGTTGATGCACGAATGCACTCGGTGAGTATCATTGCTGGGAAGTTTCATTGTTAAGCCATCTGCGAAAACGCCTGCGGGCAAAATTAGGTGCAAGAATAACAAAATGTCATCCTATTTCTTTCAGAGTGACATTAAAATGTCTCTTGTTCATCTTCTATAAATATGTATAAAATGAACTGGCTGTTAAAAAAGGTCCATGGTAACAATCTTTGCGCTTACGGGTCAAGAAATAGATATAATATCCTTATTGCCAAATTGAGATTTCATCTTGTTTAAACTGATACCTGCCTATTTGTTAAACAGAAGCTTTGTTTTAAGGAATTCCTATATTGTGAGATTTTCTTTAATCTTTTTTTAAATGGCGAACCTCTTTTATGATCCCAATTTGACGAGATTTATGAACTGAAATAACCTTTTAAGACTAAAAATCTTGAAACCACACTTTCTATGAATACTCACTTTTTTATGTTTTGGGGGTTTTGGTTTTTTTAAAAAATGATTATAGTTTTCCGTATTCAAATGCAATTAAATTTCTTCTCCAGGAATTCTGGGAGCAAAGTTTGGTTGGTATTTTATTACAGAATGATGAAAAATAAACAACAAACACTCAACTAACGATGTACAATCTTTGATCAGAACTTTCAATAGACTGAGATCATTTGACTTTAAACAATAACGATAGAAAATAACACTTCAATCAATATATGTATAAATTTATTTACTAATTTTGTAGAACACTTGAAATCATAAAGAACATTTTTTTAAATGGCCAAAAATCTCAACAGATCTGGCGACTCTCTTCTTCCTGCGGTTGAGGTCATGCAACCAGTGGCCACATTGGAGGACGGCCATTGGACAAAACCTTATTTTGACTGTGGAGGAGGAAATGTGTGGATGGTGACTTACTCATCTCCAATATTTGGACTTGGACTGGACAAAAAGTCCGTCGTTTTCAGGTACTTTTAGAGAAATGCATAAATTTAAGTACAACTTTAATCATTCCTTTGTTATAGTTATCTGTAACGAACTATCAAGCTACACCGCATTATTATATAATGAAGAAAAACTAGAGTGTTCCAAGGAACGCATGTGTCGCTTGCTTCGTAGTTTTATTAAAGATGTAAATAAATTAAAGAGTGGTCAGCTTTTATTTGTTACTAGCATTACAGTTCATTTGCCTGTAAAGAACAAACAATATTCTGGGATAGTATAAGAGAAATATGGTTTCCCAACCCTCAAATGAATGTCGAAATTGGAATTATTAGAAATATTAAATATTTATCACTTTTCAAATGAAAATTATTCATTTATTGACTGGGTTCGAGGGCAACATGCGTTTTGTCGGACCCAAGAACCAAACTGTTTGCCCGAGGCCCATGGCAAACAGTTTGGTTAGAGGGTCGACAAAATGCATTTTGCCCGAGAACACAGTCAATAAATGTTTTGTTTTACCTTTCATTTTATTTACATACATGTATCTTGTACTGGTTCCAGAACGTTAATTTTCTTAACCCGCACTGCGGTTAAACTTGCTCCCACCCACAGTGTGACGTAGCGGTCCAATATCTCGTCGACAGGTCTAATATCTCACTCAGGGGTCAAACATCGATTCTCAATGGACCGCTCAGTAAAACATTGGAAATGCCAGACTTTTTAAAGTATAGATTTATATAGGAAACAATTTTTAAAGGTATAACAACCTATTGTATTACTGTTTTAAGTACAGCTTGTAGTACGTAGGAATATATATATATGTGGTTTAGGTAGAAAAATAATTCTCATGTTTTTTCTGGCAATTTAGGGGTGTGGCAACTATTGACGTAGAACTCACCAATGTTGATGTTAACCAGTGTGACGTTGGTACAGTCTCTACAAAGAAAGGAATGTTTGATATCTTCAGAGGGACTCACCTTTGTCAGCCTTCCACAGTAGTAGGTTCTAATGTTTATCCATTTAATAAAAACGTTACTACATGTATTTTGTAAAGCCACGTTAAATTTCAATTTATTTCTGCTATTTTCCAATATTTCCATTCATATTAAAGTTACAAGAAAACTGAACTATTTTAATGTTTATATTTTTTCTTTTTACACATCTGTTAGTGTGTTTTCACTCCTGGTCATGGGTTTGGTCGAGGAGCCTATATCTGCACATGCGCCAAAGGATACTTCTTTCCATCTATCAAAGCCGAAGAGAAATTCTACAATGGCTCCGACATTGAAAACAGTTACAAAGACAATATGACATCACTGTCACAGTACAGATGTACTCCTTGTGCACCAGGCTGTGCTGTTTGCATAGATTCGTCGCCTTGTCTGTTCACGAGAAACATGGCAATGAAAGTGATTATTCTTGTACTGACAATAATCATCATAATCCTGATTCTTCTAGTGTCGGCTTTGGTTTACCGTTTGAGAGAGAATAAGGTACTAGTAGGTTGTACACCTGCACATAAAGAAACATTTACCGCTTTCCCTTCCTTGTACTTGAAACAATCATTTCAATTCTGCAAAAATACTCTTATTTTCTCAAATTTACACTTAGCTTAAACAATTGCGTTTCTTCTATGTTTTGAAATCACTAAGAGGGCAACAACTCTACTTAGCATTTTCTACCTTGATTTTGCAAAGGAAGATATTTTTATACGATCAAGAAAACGTATCTTTCCACGAGAAAAAAGAATTATGAAATCAGAACATTTATATGACAACCAGCAATAATTTTGGGTTTTCGAGCTTATGTGTTTTGTGAATAGTTAGATTCTGGAATTAAGAATGCATGGTGGCTAAACTGAAAAAAAAATGAATGACCTTAACTGAACTTTTCTTGCCTTTATCAGGTAATCTGAGTCACTCAGTTGACCTGTTGTTATCTGTTTTTGTCCGTCGTCGTGCATGAACATTTGAACATTTTCAGCTTTTTTCTCTGAAACCGCGGAACATATTTCAACTAATTTTGGCATAGAACATATATGAGTGAAGGAGGAACAAAAATTGCGAATTTCATGGTCCCTGCCCCCCCCCCGGGGGGGGGAAGCTTAGTGTTGGAGATAAAACCATCAAAGTTAGTGCTATCTTTAAAAAATCTTCTTTACTCCTGGACATCAAGCAGTCAAGCTGTTGGCATGATTGTCATTAGCATTGAGCCCTCCAGCAAAATTATGAATTTCATAGCCCCGGATACAGGAGTTCTCGAGTTAGGTGGTGTTCTTTTGATTATAAAGTGAAAATGCAATAATTCTTTTGAAAATTTTCTTCTCTCCTCCTGTATATAATGCAGATGAACTAGCTATAGGTGCATGGTTATGATGATCAAGGGTTCATCTTCCAAAATTTTGAAATTTATGGCCCCAGACTGAGAGGTTATGTTGGAATAAGGCTATTTTGATTATATAATGAAAATGTATTATTTCTTTTAAAATCTTCTCTGCTAACTGTGTATTAAGCAATCAAACCAAGTATATTAACTTTAAATCCCCCCCCCCCCAAAAAAAAAGTTTTAAACTTCTGTAATTAATATCTAGAAAAACGTTCTTTCAGGAGGCAACTGCTTGTATTTAGATACTAGTATATCTTTTGATATGAAAGTAAAATATCTGATTTCCTTTCAATGAAGTTTGAAAAGTATTGATAAAAATTGTGACATATTAAACAGTGAACTCCATTGATTATTTTCTCTTTGAAAACAACACTACTTTAAAATCCTTAATACATATTATGAATATTACATGTATTTAAGGTGATGAAGAGCGGGAGCCCTATATTTCTCCTTCTGATGTGCACTGGAGGTGCCTTGATGTGTCTGCAGGTAAACTAATGTTCTATGAAGAGATTAATTGGCAATCTCTTTAGAAAAATCTCTAAAGACAATTTCTTTTTTAAGAGAAAACATTTTTCGATTTGTAATATATCGGTAAATGATACAATCTTGACGTATGTTTCAATGAGTTACTGAGTATTTCAGATATCTTTTCATGGACTTGGATTAGTATGCTTATATCTGCTTCCTATTCCGATTATAAGAATGTGATTACCCTTAATTAAAATATAAGTTTAACTGCATTCCAAAGAAATACACAGAACAGGTTTTAGTTTTAAGAAAATCTTACATGAAAAAATTTCTAAATTTATAATCCATTAGCCCATTAAACACAGAATATATATATGAAAGGTTTTTTTTTCAAAACTCCAGGACGTATGATATTCAAAAAATATGTTTTAGAAATTTTTAAAACAATATTTTGTGCAGACTTTTTTTTCTAAAATGCATAGTTTATATTAATTATAACACTTATTTTAAATTTCTCTTTAGAGTCATCTTTGCCTTCTCCCAAAGTCTAAACCCCCTTGCCTGCATTGAGATTCAATACAAAAACATAAAAAAGGAAATCCCAAAAAATGTCCCTATAGACTTTCTTAATATCGACGTATTTTATTTAATTAATGATTGATCTACATTGTTGTGTGACCACATGAAATATGAAGATAACGAACAGTATTCAAGCTCAAAGTCCATTAAAACAATACAAATCGGGAGCAGAGCAAATGCGGACCTCCAAAAACATCAGAGGTGGGATCAGGTGCCATGGAGGAGTGAGCATTCCCTGTCGACCGGTCACACCTCCCGTGTGCTCCTTGTCATGATCGGGAAATAACGGAAAAATCCGTCGACAATTCAGTGTGTAAATAATGGCATAACAATTAGTATGAAAAACGTCAGTCAGCATATGACTTAATGATAGATTGTATTTGCTGACAAGGTCATTTCATAGAACTTACGAAATGATGACTTTAAACGAGACTGTTGATATTCTTTTTTCATCAACTTGTTTGTCAATAACTTACCTCATTTTAGAAATTGTTCATACGCAGAGCATGCTCTTGCGTATTGAATCAACTGAGAGATATACACCCCATAAGCAGGTGATAAGGGTATTTTGCTGCATAAGTAAGGGAAATTGACAACGGGCGCAATTGGTACCTATGAGAATTCAAACAGATTGTTGGAAGACCTGGTCTCTCCGAAAACCACATAGATTTTGTCAATCAGAAACTCAAGCATCTTTTTAATATCAACTTCAAAGTACTTGTATGTACAATCAGAATGTTTTTTTTTAAACAAAGTAATTTTGCAAATGACCAATGACAAGGTAAGTAAATTAACGAGTACCATTTTTATTGAAAAAGCAACTGTCAATGGTGTCAAAAAGCCTGAATAATACGAAATAAAGTGTACCAACAGAAAAAAAAAAATCCCACTTTACCTGATGCTTCAAGTATTCATTCTATATATATATATTGTCAAATATTGAATAAGGTTAGCTTTCAAGGAAAACTTCATTATAAATATATAACAATGATAAAGCCTGTATAAATTGTTTTGCAAATGTTTACACAATAATTTGAGTGCCTTCTGGCCTTAAGAGGTCCTCACATGTTTTTCCAAGGTAAATTCTCCCTATTTATGAATTAATAGTCCACAATCACCTGCATATAGCGTTTATGTCTCTCAGCTGACTCGATAATCAAGAGCATTTTTTGAGTATGATCAATTTTTAAATCGAGGCAGGCTAGTTAGAGATAAGTTGATGTTACAGGGTTTTCATATATCTCGTTTAAAGTCAGCATTTCGCACATTCTATAATGACCTTTTTTGCAAATACAACCTATTGTTGCATCCTGTTTTGACTGACATGTTTCCGACCAATTGTTACAAATATAGGCCGTTATTTTTAAACCATTTTGACTTCGCATTACTTCGTTTCCCTCATCAATACAGAGGGCTCAAGGAGGATGTGACCAGTTGACAGGGGATGCTTAATCCTTCTAGACATAAGATAACACCTCTGGGGTTTCCAGTGGTCATTGTTTTTATCTTTTTTCACAACTCGTATTCTTTACTAGATTTATGAGTTTATCTTGGCATTCTTCTTCAGAGTACACTGTATCACAGTTGTTGTTTTTTTTTTTTTTTTTTTTTTTTTTTTTTTTTTTTATACAGATGTTTGTGTTGTTTCCTGACGCTAATGACATATTGTGTATGATCTTACCATGGCTCTATCATTTAGGATTTTTCCTGATGTATGGAGCACTTCTTTTAAAGACATGGAGGTTTGTTTTCCAAGTTAAACTATTTAAGTCAATAGATACTTAGCAAAGTCCGAAAGGAGAGGCGTGTACCAATTTTAAATTCATATGTTTCCTATATAAATGTGTTTAAATATGAAAAATTAGATTTGTCAAGGACATTTAAATACACACATGGTTGCTGAAATAAGAATTCAATACCTCCTACTACAGAATATCAGTGATTTTTCGAAGAGGACAACTTAAAAAAGTACATATGACTGACAAGACTTTATTACGTCACATGGCGGTGATCCTTGCAGCTGTATTTGGGTATTTGGTAGCATGGACCGCAGCCAATGATGAAACTTCAAAAGTCGTAAAAACTTCCTCGGGATTGAAGTTTGTGATGTGTACAGAAAATTGGTGGTCGTATTCCGCATATGGAAGTTAGTACAGAATAATATATCAATGGGGAAAAAGAATTCATGTTTATAATTTTACTTTTTATAATCAATAATGTTTTTGTTACTTTATCAGATTTTGTTATATTAAGCGACAGACAGGAATTCAAGTCATTTAAAGTAGAGAGACAATCTCAAATTGTTCGATTTTCAACCAGAATGGATGATGGCATTATGACATTGCTCTGCTTTGGCAGTCTTTTGCCAATAGAAGCAGAATTAATACCATTTTGGCACGTTATATAGGTGCATATCTTATTACCTCCATTAGTCCCTAGTATCCTTCCATCAATGGTCTATTTTTCTTGTCATCAGAGAGAAAAATTGTGCCACAATAAGGTTCAGAGTGGCGTTTTATCCTGGAGCTAGTACCGGTAAATCCAATCTACTTGTCTTTTTGCATATGGAAAAGAGCAATGGGCTGCTCAAATTTCTAATGAGCTTCGACACACAAGAAGCCTTATTTATCTTTATGAAATTTTTCCTGGAAAAATTTCAGGTTCTATGCTTTCAAAAAAGGTTATCCTAAATACTAGAATTATGTCTCATCAATCTTGATCGGCTTACTTCGACAATATAAGCATTATATCGTTCAAACTTCGTAGTTTATAATTTTGCTCACAACAAATGTGAAAGTTTATCCCTTCTCTTGTCTACTTGTATTAGTTATCGACATTTCGGAAGGATTTTACAACTGCACAGTTTATATTTTCATAACAGTTTGAATATAGAAATAAAGCTGTATTTTTTTTTTATAAGATTTTTATTTAATACACATTTAATTACACATTTATTGATATCTCTCTTGTTTAACAGTGGAGATTCTAATGTTGCTATTCGGAGTATACTTATGTTTCACGGTACACAAAGCTCCTGCATCCTTTAACGAAAGTAAGCACATCTCATGGTCCATTTACAACGCCATCATCGTCAGTACGTTCATCCTGATCGTCAAGTAAGAGGAGTGATTTGTACCAAGTTATTTAGCTCGGAATCGAGAAGCTTTTTTTTGTTTACTTCTGTCATTATTTTTTGCTTTGATAATAAAAAGAATGTCAAAATTCAAGATTTTAATAAAATGTTTTCATAATTTTTATATGCATTCATATTAACCTATCACCAGTTTCTCAAGGGTTTTCTATCCATGTAAACTTTTTATGTCAATTTGAAAAAAAAGGTGTAACCCGAGAAAAAAAACTGACGGGTTTCTGTTAGATTACAAGCACTTTGAATTGAATTAGTTTTGCGTAGAATCATATACTAAGAATTAATTAAAACTAAAATGAATTGCATATTCTGCACTTAACTCTTGTTGCATAACATTTAAAAGTACAAGTAATAACGTATATAAATTACATTAGTAAATTACTAATGTCAATTTTGGCAATGATTCATATTCGAATATTCAATGAAAGTATTCGAATATATTCGAATATTCGATAAAATAAATTCAATCTTTTTATTTTTAAAATGCAACATCCTAGCTACTCTCATGAAAGGTTTAGCGTAAGATATTCGAAGTAAAATTGTATGAAGACTTTTGTAGTTGTACTATAAGAAATTTGATATTTGTGAATGTTTGAAATAAATAATTGATTTAAATGTAGAAAAGTATAATTTTAACAAAAGAAACATGTGTATTTATAGTAGCTCCAACTGAGGAACCAGTCGTCTTGCCAAAGGCAAGATAATCGTAACGGTATACTGTTCAGATTTCAGTATGTGTAATAAATTACAATTATCTGCCTAATTAGAGCTGTAATTATAATCTTTGATACAATGTTTTTAAAATATAAACAAATATTTCCAACGACAATTTTCCTACATAATTAACTAATTTCCCGATAATGAATATGAAATTCAGGATTATGTACAACCCAGTATATAATCATTTATTCTGAAATTGAGCCCTTTACAATATTAATTACAGTCTAATTCTATTGGACATTCATTTGAATGATCAATTTAATTTATTTTGATAAGTATACGCTTCACATCTTTTAGACATTCTAAGAAGGTTTTCATTTTGTTGTCCTCGATTCTAGATCCGATCGTATTTAACTAATAAAACTATGCAAGTACGTTTTGTATTATACATAAAGCATTATTGTACAATTCTTTAACACCTTACTCAAAACAAATTACATGTAATTTAGTATATCTACAAGAAAAGAAAGTAGTGAAAGAAATCAGGCGATCGAAATTAATCGCTAGTAAATTAAACAGGGATAATTCCAGCACTGTTCTAACCAGTACTTCTTTTTATGAAATCTGAAAAAACACCGAATATTCGAATATTAAATTCATATTCGAATATCAACTCATCGAATGAATATTCGAATGTTCGAATATTCGTTGCCATCCCTATAAGTAATACTATCATGTTTATAACCTCCTTTCAATGACTTTTAATTTCAGTTACTTTACTGCTGAATCAGTCGGACCAGATTTGATATACGCCATGGTCTTTCTGAATTGTCAAGTTGTGGTAACAACGACAATAGCGATGATATTTCTGCCTAAGGTATTTGTTATCCAACCTTGTGCAAAATTGTGCAGTACATAATCTGATTTGAACAGTTTGTTCAATACTAGATAAAATAAGTTACATTTAATATTGTATGTTTTTTTCCAACAACAAAAAATAAATAAATAAAAATCAAAACATCTTCATTGATAGTAGTGATCGAAACTTTGGGTCAATAAGGTCAAATAATCTTTATGTTAAACGCTCAAATTATTTTTTGTATTCGAATATGAAAACATTGTTAAAACAATGATTATTGTGATCATTTTTCAGTTATTCTTTCCCTTTACTTTTCCCCCAATTTTTCAGTTTTACGCTGTTCATATGAAAGTTGAAGTCAGGCGAAGAGATAGTTTGAAAACCATAACAGGTAGAATGAAAAGCTATTCCAGCAGTGGCCAGCATCGCTCTATAGCTGTTCAAACTATGATTAGTGGAGAGGACACGGTAATTATAAGGCCATAGGTTTTCTTCATTCTGTAAGTTTACGTCCCATTATCAATTGCATTACATGTAAAACTGAATTGATATATACTCCCTGCTTATTTGATCTGTTGTAGGAGGACATGGGTATTTGGAAGAGAGATCAAAAGGACGGTAAGCCAGCTGATGAGTCAATTAATGGAAAATTTGAGAAGTTTGTGCCCTTTGTCTATATTCAAGGCAGTGTTGTACACAAAGAACTGTGAGGGAACCTTGTGTATACATCGAGCAACTCCGAAAACAGAGCATGAACTAATAATGTTATTAGAACTGAACAATTTACGACTGATTATCTTTTTTTTATTCTGTATTCTACCAGTTGGTGAAGCAGACTTCCCGATAATAATTAATTCTTCTAAACAATAGGCTTATATTCTCGAATTTCAAACAGTGATTTTCAAATTATATGACTACGAGGTTTAATCTCATGAATGATGATCTGTGGATAAAAAGCTAGTTTTCTTATTTTAATAAAAACGATTCCTATTCTTTTTTCAACTGAAATCAAAGTGATGAAAAAATGGCAAAAAATGGGGGCAAACTTGAATTAGAAGAGTTTAATACAGAAACCAGCTATAAAAGTTTAAAGGATGGCCCGTTTTTATTTGATTTTTTTTTTTTTTTTTACATATTACAACTTCTACATTTACAGGAGGACTTACTTTTCAAGAGAATCTTGATATTAATATTAAAGCCATTTTCAACCGCTGCAATTGTAATACTTGATAGGGAGATTGTAAATTATGAACAACAAAATCTGGCTGTATTTTAATTGAAAAACAAAAGTTATCTGGTTAGTCTCTCATCAATACAAAAGAATTATACAATATATGTTTCAACTTTCAAAAAAAAAATGTCTTTAGGTGGTTTTAGAACAGTTGTCAAAAATTATTAAGATAAACTAATCGAAGAAATACATTAATATATGGTACTTCTGAATTATTAATTAATAAAAGATTACTGTAGGTCTCTCATGGTCTTGTTATCTTTGAAACATGTGTGTCTATCTTTTTTTTTTTTAATTAATAATGTTTATGATAATACTATTTCTGGACCAATCTACAAATGAGTTTTTCCATCCACCATTTTTAGTTTTGTGGCTTTGATCGGTTGCGGATGTTGCCCCCATCTTTCACACAGTTTCGAAATGAAATATGTTTTTCATTTATAATTCATTTTGGTTTGAACATATTTTATTGTATAGATATTATACAAATGGTTTGAACACAAGTTCTAACAACTATCGAGGTTCTTACCAAAAATGGTTACAACTGTCGATGTCTATCCAAAAAAAAAAAAAAAAAAAAAAAAAAAAAAAAAAAAACCAACAACAACAACAACTTTGAAATACCGCACAAATAGCTTTGTTTTATACATACATTCATTATATGTTAAATATATATCTTATTCGAGTTCTAGTGTTAGGGTGTAATAATTAAATAAATCTACCAGAATCTCATAATTTTTTTACGGATTGAATATTATATTTATTGATTTCAACATTTTTTCATTCATCTCCCTCTCCTCCATTTTGGTACAATGAGTTACCTCACTGCATGATATTGTAAATATTTTTATGATTTTGGTGCTTTTGTGGCCACAGAGATGACATAAAAGTGAACAGATCGGAAATGTTGACTTAAACAGAAAGCCATTTAATTCATCCACACATCAGCTCAAAAAGCACATTCCAGGTAATCAGTTTATCAGTAATTCCTGATCTAGTCTTCAAAATAATCTAGTATACGCAATAAAGGATATTAAAATAACAGCAACTCAAATGTAGCATACTTTAAGTAGTAAAATAATACATGTATTCAGTATGTAGATAAAAGTTATTAATCATATTATATCTAGTACTACAATGGACAAAATGCATATCAGAATAAACAAAGGTCAAAGATAAGAAAAGTGGAACATTATTGAAAAGACACAAATGAAGGTAACAGCCATTTTTGTAATTTGCCTGTTTGGCAGATATTGTGCTTTACAAGAAGATAAGCGTCTCCTTTTAAATGACCCGCAAATGTTGGAGACACAAATTGTTCAACTTCAAAGGCAGGTTCAAGCCTTGAAAAACAATTACGGTGAGTAATTTGAATTATTTTTCTATGCATATTACGTCGAAAACGTAATGAGTACATGTAGCTTGAACTAGATGCTGTCATGAGACAGTAATGTCCGCACTAAGGTGTTTGCCTTTAAATGCGCCCTCCTTCGAATTCTGGTAACCAGGGAAGAAGCCACAATAATTGTATAATTTAAATCAAGCATAAAATGCGGCCCGTATGGGCCTCTTGTGTAAATATTTCCTTGCCAGACCGATAAAGTAAATTCTGTTAAAGAGAGAATTTTTGAAAGATTTGTGTATAAAATAAGGGGGGATAATATTTGGCCCATAATTGGAACCTGTTAAATTTATGTCAACACAACAAATATTATTATTTTAGTTCATAGCGTTTTGATGAACTTAAAAAAAAAAATAGATGCCAAAATGACAACTTTCGGAAATTATCCAACTGTGCAAATTTTTATCAGTATTTGGGTAGGAAAACCCCTTTCCAAACCTACACCCGATCAATTTTGTCAAAAATCAACCCCCACCCGCGATTTAACTACTGTATGTGTACTTTTAAAAAAAGCGGGCTTCATATTTTAGCGGCTTTGGTGCAAACAACGATGCGCTAATTCATGAATACCGCTAAGAAACCATTTATAAATACAATATACGGCACGCTAATTAGTCCTCTACCGGTGAAACCAGAGGGGACTATAGGTTTCCTCTGAGTCTGTCCGTCCGTCTGTCCGTCTATCTGTCTATCCGTCTGTCTGTCTGTCCCTCTGTCTGTCTGTCAGTCTGTCCCACTTGGTTTTCCGCATTTTTTTCCTAAACGCTAGCAGATATTGAGCTGATTTTTGGTATGTGAGTGTATCTTGATGAGTTACAGATCAATTTCGTTTTGCTTCATTGATTTTTGACGGAATTACGGCCTTTTCAATTTTTAGGGGTTTTCCGCATTTTTCTTCTTAACGCTTTCAGATATTGAGCTGATTTTTGGTATGTGACTTTACCTTGATTAGTTATAGTTCAAGTTTGCTTTTCGTCCCGATTCATTGATTTTTGACGGAATTATGGCATTTTCAATTCTTAACGGGAACCAGATTACACTTGCCGGTAGGGGACTAGTATTGCTAATGCAATACTCTCAGAATGCTTGTTTATGATCATACCCAATGATTGCGCTAAATTTTGAATACGCCAATTTATGTACACGTACAGTATTTTCCTGTCATATTTGGAATAGATAACATAAACTTATGTAAAAATAAAACATTGTATATAATTATAAAATAAATTTTACAAATGTTCACCTTTTTGGAAAAGGATGACTGCACTTAACACTGGGTTTTGGGTCTTTTTGGTCGCTTCTGTAGCTTTAATATATCTTCACCTAATTTCACTTTTGTATATTTATTAACGAATCCTGTCAGTTTGAAACCAAATTTATATGTTAAAATAATTTTAGACTGTAATACAATAAAACAGTTCGACGATTTTTGTCCTTACTATTTTCCAAATATACATGTAGAAAGTTTACACTTAATTGCCCTTGATTGAACATTAGATATGCATGAGAGGTGGAGCTAACATTGTAAGAATGGGTCTAAAATTAGACTAGATAAATAACAATGACATTGTATAAAAAAAATACGTGATCACTCTTTCCCATCTCCCTCTCTGCACAAGTAAACTGTTTACAAAGGTTTCTAACAATGTGAGCACGTCCATGTAACTAAAGAAGAATGCCTGGCAATTTAACGTCTTCGATCACAATGTCCTTGTAAGCACAAAACATGCTACCTTTTAAGTCACGTGACGAAATTTGTTACCGAGGAAGGAAATCAAGTGGATAATATTCAGCAAGTCACAACCCTTTGTTACAACAGAGAAAGCGAATGTAAGAAGAAGCAGTTTACCATGAGCGCATGTTTGTCTATTAATCTCCTTTTTACACAACATTCTTAATGCAAATATACATGCAACCACTGTTAAACGGAGAACAACAAACATGCGCTGACTATGTATAAAGTCAAAAAAGTGGGCGTCTTCATTATCGAACGGAGATTCAAGAAACTGTGATGACCCCCACCTTTGAAAACAAATTCGTACCTTGTAAATACATACTTTTATTTAATGTAATTATGTAAAGTTGTAGACTGGATGTTGATCATTACTGCAATTAAAAGAAAAATGCTTGTTTTGAAAGTTTATTTTATGTGCCTGGGGATGGACGATTTTGCTTCGTTATAAGTGTAATTGCTTATATCCATTAAGTTTACAATATATTTTAAAGTCATGGGGAATGAAAATCGCTTCGCTGTAAGCGTCAATTCATTATAAGTGTGTTCGCTATAAGCATGCTTTACTACATAAGAAAAAAAAATCTTCTTTTCAAGATCCACTGGGCAAGAAGAGTTGAATCTTATGTGAAAGTTTCATTACATGATGTAGAAATAAATATGTTCTTTTTAAAACTCTACTCCTCCTACAGTTTTGATGCGATAAGTAGACTATACTAGTCTACATATTGTTTTTGTCAGTTTCTTCCTCAATCAAATTTTGTCCAAGCCGTAACTTGACAATCCTTTGACATTAAGACTTCAAACTTGGAACATGGAGAGGTGGTATACATGTATAGAGGTGGGGTTGAGGCCATCAAACTTTTTTTACCTTGACCTTTATAAGGTCAAGGTCAATCTTTAAATCAAAATATAGTCCAGGCTATAACCCAAGAACCTTTTGACATTAGGATTTCAAACTTCAAACCAGAAAGAAGACATCTACACAAGATGCACTGCGCAAAAATTTTGACCTTGACTCCTTTCTTCATTCAAGGTCAAATTTAGAAAACACCTCCAAACCATAACTTAAGAACCCTTTGACATTAAAACTTCAATCTTAAAACATGGAGAGGTGGTATAGAGAAAGGGTGCATGCCAACATTTTTTTACCTTGACCCATTTATAAAGTCAAGGCCAATCTTTTACATGAAAATATAATTCAGGGCATAATATGAGAACCCTTTGACATTATGAATTCAAATTTGGAACATGGATAGAAGACATTGACACAAGATTTGCTGTATCAATTTTATTTGCCTTGACCCTTTCTTCATTCAAGTTCAAATTAAGTAAAAAGACAACCAGACGATAACTCATGAAATCTTTGACATTTAGACTTTAAATGTTTTTGTTCGTCCTCTATTTGACCCCCAAGGTGAAAATGAAAATTTCGAGACCTTATTGCGCATATACAGGACACCACCAATCATTTTCCAAAAGATGATTAGGTTACTGTGTAAAATATAAGAGGAGTTCTGGGAACCAGGGTCTTTTTGTATAGTAAACATCATCGCCCCCCCTCCCCATTTGACACCCAGGGTGAAAATGAAAATTCCAAAACCTTATTGCAAATCTACAGAGCACCACCAATCATCTTCTAAAAGATGATTAGGCTACTGCATAAAATGTAAGAGGAGTTCTGGGTACCAGGGTCTTTTTGTATTAAAAAAAAATCATTTTTCGATCCCCATTTGACCCCCAGTGAAAATGAAAATTCTGAAACCTTATTGCACATCTACAGAACACCACCAATCATTCAAAAGATGATTAGCTAGGTACTGCAAAAAATGTAAGAGGAGTTCTGGGAACCAGGGGTTGGTAGTAAAACATCATTTACGTTCCCCATTTGATCCCCAGGATGAAAATGAGAATTCCGAAACCTTATTGCACATTTACAGGAAACTACCAATCATCTTCTTAAAGATGATTACGTTACTGCGTAAAATGTAGGAGTTCTGGGACACAGGCTTTTGTAGAAAAAAAAACGTCATTTTTTTATCCCAGTTTTGCCCCCATGGTTAAATTGAAAAGTCCAAAACCTTATTGCACATCTATAGGACACCATCTATCATATTCCAAAAGATCAGTTGAATTCTGCTTTAAATGTAGGGGTACTTAGTTTAAGAAGAAAGTGTGACAGACAGATGGACCAGGGTAACAATATACCCGAACTTTCTTTAGAAAGTGCGGATATAATTATGCCGATTCCAAAACGTAATAAGTATGAATACGTAATAAGTAAGTTGAAAACTTAATGAGCACGTTGAAAACATAATGAGTAGCTTGAAATATCTTTCCGAACATGTCGGCTTTTAAGTTAATACTTTTATATTATTTAACCAATTTATTTTTTCCAGGAACCACATATACGATATGGGGAAAGAGAACATGTCCTCAACTGAATAACACCAAAACTGTCTACAGTGGTAAGTGTTATCGAGCTGACGGAGAAATTACCGTAGCCATTAGTGACATATTTTATACAAAAACGTACGGAAGCCCATTTAGGTACTATCAAAAAATATTTTTGAATTTGTTATAACGAATTGTCGAATTTGTTATAACAGATTTAATTCGTTGTAACAATTTCTTCGAATTCGTTATAGCGAATTCAATCTGTTCTAACAAATTTGTTGAATTCGTTATAACGAGTTCAAATTTATTATAATGAATTTAATTTGTTATAACGAATTCCAAAACTTGTTATAACGAATTAAATTCGTTAAAACGAATTCGACAAATCGTTATATCGAATTCATTAATATTTTTCTATGGGACTTGATTGTTGAATTTGATGAAACGAATTTAATTCGTTATAACAAATTTTAGAATTTGTTTAAACGAATTTAATTTGTTATAACAAGTTTCAGAATTTGTTATAACGAATTTAATCTGTTATAACAAATTTTTGAATTCGTTATAACGAATACAATATAACTTTGTTATAACAGATTAAATTCGTTATAATGAAATCAAAGAAATTGTTATAATGAATTAAATTCGTTATAACAAATTCGACAATTTGTCATATCGAATATAAAAATATTTTTGATAGGTCCTAAATGGGCTTCCGTACAAACGTAAGACCAAATTCTAAAAAAAAAAAAAAAAAATTGAGGAAAATTGAAAAACTTTGAACCAAAACATTTGGTACCTTGTGTATTTCAGTCTATGTAATACATGAAGTATCTTCGGAAACAGACACGACTTTTCTGCATACTATCATGTTGTAAATTTTGAATTTACTAGGGGGAGGTAAATGCAAAATTTACAACATGATAATCATGTTGTAAATTTTGCATTTACCTCCCCCTAGTAAATTCAAAATTTACAACATGATAATACTCTCCTTAGCTTAAACAACCGTCAGTCTAAAATATTCTGTTCATATAGCAACAACATTTAGTAAACCTTATTGTTATACCTCTAAAAAATAGTTCATATATAAATCTATACTTAAAAAGTCTAACATTTCTAATGTTTTACTGAGCGGTCATAAAAAGAATTCGATGTTTGACTGCAGAGTGAGATTTTGGACCTGTGGACGAGATATTGGACCGCTTACGTCAACAATCTTATTTGCATTCGTTGGTATGAAAACCAGCAAGAGATACATGATACATGTACAACAACAACAAAAAATAATAATAAATAAATAAATAAAAGGTATAACAAAACATTATTTGACTGTGTACTCGGGCAACATGCGTTTTGTCGACCTCTCGAACCAAACTGTTTGCCTTCGGCCCATAACGGCCCAGGCAAACAGTTTGGTTCTTGGGTCTGACAAAACGCATGTTGCCCTCGAACCCAGTCAACAAATGTATAACGTTTATCAGACTCTTTATTTTGATATGTATGAATTAGGCCTATATGTTGTGTCCTACCACAGGCATTGTAGCGGGAAGTTTCTACTCGGAGACGGGGAATGGAGCGAACACATTATGCTTACCACATGATCCAGATTCAATTGACGCCCACTTTCCAATTCATGGTGACGGAGGCCTGGCTCATCTTTACGGAGGAGAGTACCAGTTTAGTCTCAAGAATGTAGATTATCAGGAAGATGCTCCATGTGCCATCTGCCACGTGACAGCAGCAACGTCTGCAATAATGATTCCGGGAAAACTTACGTGTCCTGTGGGATGGGTAAAGCAATACCAAGGATTCCTGACGTCAAATTCATATACAGAACAAAAATCGGAATATCTCTGCTTGGATGATAATCCGGATTTTTTTGAGAGATCTGGAGCAAATGAAAATGGGAAGTTATTTTATCCTGTTGTAACCGTGTGTGGCACTCTACCATGCCCACCTTATAAAAATGGTACCTATGTACCATGTTCTCTTTGTACTCTGTGAAAGATAATAAAAAGGTAATAAATGAAAACTTAATTTTATAAAGTATTGTATTAATTACTTTTAGGTGGTTTACAGCTTATATCAGGAACTAAGTACCGTGTTTAAAAGAAGGTCACACAGAAAAATAATTGACAATTTACCTGAAAAAAATATTTAAATTGAGACAAAATGGAATACATTAAACTGCTTAATGTTTAACAAACTTCTCTCTTAAATTACGAAAAACTGGAGAACTTAGTACAAATTGAAATTCATCTTCAATATACTTAAATCACATTTCCTATTACCCCTTGTTAAGTCATACCTTCCGGTTTATGCGATCTCTCGGAGAAGTCATAGTTTTATGTCTATCTTATACAAATCAATCATTGACATTCGAAAATCAAAGGTGTGTATTTTAGACAAGGACAAAAAACAGCAATTATCAACAGTCACTGTTCTTTAATGAATTCCAAAGCAATTTATCGAAATATATGCATTCCTTTATCATAGTTAAAATTCAACATGCCCAAAACTAAGGACTCTGAGAAAATGATCCTTTAAAATGGCTGTAATTGTTGATTTGTGAGGCACTTTTACTATCAAATATCAAGCTTAATGCTTCCATAAACCTTCTGACAAAGTCCTGTGTTTTGCCTGAGCAGTTGTGTCCTTATCCCACACACAATTTTGAGATACATGTACATGTCACAGGTACTTGTGGACAGGACACCCCCCCCCCCCTCCCCATTCAACCCCGATGTTTGTTGGACATTTTTTTTCACAAATTATATTTATTACACTTATTCATCATGTGTACCATAGGAAAAAAATCGTGAAAACCCCAAAATAATCTTTCCACACAAAAATACCCCACTATACATTATAAGAAAGATAGTGTGGTATTTTTGTGTGGGACGATTATTTTGGGGTTTCACGATTTTTTCCTATGGTACACATGATGAATAAGTGCATTAAATATAATTTGTGAAAAAAAATGTCCAACAAGCCCCGGGGTTGAATATCGGGGGGGGGGGGGGGGTCCTGTCCACAAGTACCTGTTATACATGTATCTTACATTATTGGATTGTCAGGTGTCCGCGTTTTTATTTTAATTAGATGCTGGAGACCAATCCGTCGAAACCTCTAGGAACTATAAACAGATCACACTTGTAGAATATTTAAAGTTTTGTGACCCCCTCCCCTCTTTCCATTAGCATTTTAATAAGCCTTAATTACAAACAGTACTTTTGATTGCAATGCAATCTCCGCCCCCAAATTTGTATCTACGATACAGAACCTGCCGAGTTCTCTAAATGATCAATCAAATTAAGCACCTCCCACTTTTAGCTGTACAGCATCCGCAGTATATATATCTCCACGGACAACGGAAAATTCAGTCAGATTAGTTTTGACAAGAGGGTAGACGTAATTGATTTGAACTCTTCTGATTTCTTAATAGATAAAGTGGACGATGAGGATTCGAGAAGAGTTTTTAAAAATCAAAACGCTAAAAATGGACTTGAATGAGTTTGCACGAGAAGAGTGGAAAATGTGTGTGGGGGGGGGGGGGGGTATCGAATTTCACTTGATGTATGCTGCAACCGCAAACCATTGGATTTACCATTTTGAAGGGGACACAAAAAAGCAGGGAAAGCAAACAGGTTTTGAGGAATTATTTCAACACACGATGTTTTTCATAACTGCGAATTTTCCATTTCGTTTGGATCAAAATAACGTGTAGACTCTTAGTATGTGTGGAATATTTTTTTAAAACAGTGATTGCAAAAATTTGACATTTTACATTCGTAAGGAAATATCAGGCCAAAATTCAAAATACGAAAAAATCGACATTTACTATTTGTACGTGCTTTTGATATATTGAATCTGATTAAGTTTTAGACCGTGTTGTATTTTAGATACAGAAAAGTTGGCAAATACAACACAGTATATAGGGTTGATACAGAACGGAAAATAGCTCTGCCAACTGTAGTCCCGTGCTGTATTGCTAATACAGAACGACAAACTTCAAAGAAAAACACCGCCATCGTGTTACAACACTTTTAAGAAAATTGACAACTCATTGTGAGTTTTTTTTTTTATTTTATACTTTCAAATTTCCCGCTAAAAATCAAATGATGTTAGATACATCTTATCGAAATATATAATTATACAGGTATATTCACAAAGCCAAAGATAAATGATTTTATGAGAAAGTGGGTTCTGTAAGAATTAAAGACACACACATATAAAAAGCAGATTTTATTATTGGCTGAAGAAGCTGCAGATCTTTGTGCTTTGATAGAAAGAGCACGTCTGGAAATTGTTTATTTAAGGAATCACTGTCTAGTTTGTTGGGTATGCCAGGGCATCAATGATAGTTGGAAACGTGGGATAATTTGCATTATTTCATTTTATTTCTTTAACGGGCTTCGCCCGTTATGCATAAATTATCCCAATCTTTTAGTAATTGAAATCAGGCTTCAAAACATCCCCAGATTTTCAAATTCTCATGGAAATGGATAAATGACCCTTAATGTTTAGCTTATGTAAAATTCAACATATCAGATTGATATTTTAGTACCTTTTTTTTTTTACTTGTTGTCGCATTTGAAATTGGTAATAAAATACATTTAACTGTTTTTTTTAAATTGCTTTGTCTGTAAACAGCCCGAAACAAAAAATCCTTTGGTATGAATTTGTGAAATAACAATTCATAATACATGTAAAAAGAAATTATTGTTTCACAGGGGGGGGAGGGGAATAAATATCCGTTTTCCGTTGATTTGTATAGTGATAAACACAAGTTTTACCAAAATTATAGACGTAGCTCTCTTCGCTTTTCCAAATAAGTTATGTTTTATGAAAATTCACATTTTCTACATAAATATATAAAAAAAAATCATTCAAATATTAAAATATGCGAATTAAAGATATTAAGATGTCAAAATATAGGCAATATCATCTGTAAGCAGTAGCAGTTGGCAGTGAGCAGTTGGCAGTAAGCAGTGAGTAGTTGGCAGTGAGCAGTTGGCTGTCGTATATGGAATTCCATAGTGACTAGATGATGAAAATGGTACGATGTATTATTACAGTCTGTATCATTTTTTGAAAAATAAGCTGATAAAAAATGAAATGAATTTTGCAGGACTCGAAAAAATGTATTCAAACGGAGAAATCGCTATTTTAAAGGCAATGTTTTATCCCAGAGTCTTGGAACTCTCAATGGTTTTAATATATTTAAATATTCATTTGATTTAAATAAAAACAATATGCCCCGATTAATAGTAATAGATAGATAGAAATAAGTGAACAATTTTCACTTTTTGTCCCTTACAGATAAAACTTGTATGATTGTTTTTTCCTTCTTTTGAATAGTTTCATTGTCTCATCATAGTATGTACACATCGGGGAGGGGGGGGGGGTGTCGGCCCCTCGTTGTTTTCCGAAAATAATCTATTGCTGTTAATCTATAATAGAAGATTTTTAAAATAAAAGGCCGGTCCACCCCAACCTTCACCTTCTGTTGAAGTATGGACCCCCACCCCCTCCCCGGCCACACAAACACACAGACACATTTATAGCTTTTCTATTTTTTTTATGTCAAAGATTTTCCGGAAATTTTATTTTTTGGCTAGTCAATTACATTTTAAATTAAAACAATTAAAACATATTTTTCTTCCCTTCCCCAGTTTGAAAAAAGGTGTTACGAACGTACCTTTTGTATTATAAATAAGAAATGAAACTCGGAATTTTCAAGTGCCAAATTCCGGTCGTCCTTGGTGAGGTGGCAAAAATAAATATCATCTTCTGTAAATTATCGACGATGGTAACTAATGTTGCAAAGAAGAGGTCTTAGGTAACATTTGTGAAAAAATTGATTTGTGTAAATCATCAGCTCATACACGGACTGTTGAGGAACAAGAAATTGTCGCTGATGCTTGCAATATTCAAAAACATAAGCATCACAACAAACTTGGGATGATCTTAGGACAAGAATAATGTTAACATTAAGTTAGGAAGGACTTATGGCGAGGTCCTAAATTTAGGAAATTTAAGCTTCGAGCTACTGACTTAATACTAAAGACTTTTCCTAAGGCGTTCTTAGGACACATCGCAGTCCTGATATAGTTTCGTGAACATGCCTGCTGTATTTTCACCTTGTTTATATAATTATAATACAACAACAAACACAATCGTAAAGTATCGTTCTTGAACGTGTGTGTGTGTGTGCCCAGTGTGTTGGGGGGGGGGGGAGGATGGAACTGAAAAAATAATTGACAACGCTCTTTAAAATTATATTCTTTACGCTCCTGTATTTTGTTATGTTGCCGTAAGGATCTAACTAGATCCTTACAGCAACATAACAAAATACAAAAGCGTAAAGGATCTAGTTTTAATTAGATTGATAATACCAGTCTAGACGAACTCCAAAAACAGCGTTTCCGGAAGTAAGAAATTGAGACTGAAAAAGACTCTGAAAATAGAGTCCGCGCATGCGCACACACACAAAAAAATGGCGATTTTTCGGCAAAAATGATGGGTCTACAAAAACTGTCCGTGCAAAGTTTTGGAAAGTATGGCAATTATGCCAGTACTCAGAAATGCTAAATAATAGACTTCGGAAGAGATCGTATTTGTCAGATTTTTGATTTTACTTGCAAAAAAGGAGATATTTACTTTCAAAGTTGAGGTTTTGAAGTCAGATCAATTACAGAGAAAATAATACGTTTGAGAGGTAATTAAATATGCATAATAAAAGGGATATGTATGCAAAATGGGACAATATATATTGTAACTGTTAAAAGCTTGACTGAATTTTATACATAAATTAGCATTCCGTTTTTTTATTTGTGTACAACATCTGAATTGAACGCGTACGTTCTTACCATCGTTATTTACCGATTTTTTATTACATACGAACAGATATTATTATGAAAACATTTTTAAAACCATTATCTATCAATATGAAAACTTTAAAAAAAAAAATACTCTTTTAGAAATTAAGGTCACAACATGTCTTCTAAAAATGAACCTGTGAATATCTCTGCTCCATGGTGAAAAATACGCATTTTCTGATTAAAATAAATACAAGCTGGGTGTCTTCAAAACAAATAAAAGCACCTTTATTGTAGGAACTACATGAAATTTAAATCAAGGCGACAAAAAAATCAAATACTTAAAAAAATAATTCTTACCGGTAGTATTGAATTCGATGTCGTATATCCAGTTTACTATTATGCAAGAGTTTGAAGCGATAAATAAGTCAATATCCACATATAATTTAATAAATTTAATTATCCATTCACCAAAATTTAAAATAAAGTCACAATGCACTAAATACATTCATTATGCAGCCGTATATTTGGAAAAAGCGAACGACAATCCATCGTTTGTTTACATTGGAAATGCCGCAATGCATGATGGAGCCAAAGACTTCGTTTTCGGAGTTCACGCCGTTTTTGGAGTTCGTCTAGACTGAATACAACCAACAAATTCCTCGCTTCAAATTCCGCCGCGGATTGCGGAAAATCGTTGCAAACACATGATCAACGGGAGATCACTCTAATATTTTTTGCAATCGAAGGCGCTCTCTAGTGGATTGAGATAATATTTGGATTATGGCAAACATTTACTCAGGTGGTTTGTGTTCCACATGGTTTTTTGTTTACAATTTTTTTACGTTCGTGTAGATTTTTATAAGACAATTAGAGTAAAGGATTTTTGAGTTTACAATTAAAAATCCAACAATAGCTAAAAACTATTCTGCCCTTTTCGTCTGATTTGAGCAAATTAAGACCACATCAAATAAGAACACTAACTGTAGTCCGAATTTCCTTTATCATCTTTATACATCATCTGAAGTAGTTAAACGAAAGCACTTTACAAATACTTAGATAAAATATATCATATCTAATACAGTACTACTAGTCACATAATATAAAAAATGTGAATACTTAATTAGGTTGGGACCAATTGCCCAAATGAGTTATAATAGCCGGTTAGGGATTTAATATACAAATGAGATCTACGGAAAAAAGAAATGCAAAAACTGACACTAAATTTTATTGATTTTTTTGCTATACAGTTGCATACATTAAATGCAACAACTTTTTGGAAGTTTTTTTTTCTGTAAGCCTACATTTTGTGAGATTGATCCCAAGAAGTTTTTGATCTACTGAGGGGTATAGTTATAGAAAAAAATATCAACTAAACGTTGTTGCATTTTATGTATTTTTATGTGGATATCCAATGCTTTTTGCGTTTTTTTTTTTTTTGCACTGTAAATTTATATCTCATAAGGATGTAATATCCCTTCAGGCTGTTATATTCCATTTGGACAGTTGGTCCCAACCTGTTAATCTCTGGTTTGATCATTTATGTTAAAATTTTCAAAGCAATTTAATATGCTCAATAAAAACATTTTTTTTATTAAAAAAAAATAGTATAAAACAAAAAATAAACCAACAAGAAAATTTAATTACATTAACTCTTCTAGTAAATCTAAGTCCCATAAACAATAAACCAGGTATTTTATATCATAGCAATTATCCAAATCAAGTGAAAAAAAAGGTTTTTTTCCCCAGGAATTTACACAAGGCTTAAAGACAGAACTAGTGACATTAAGAGTCGTCTGAAGCTGACCAAATTTGCCTGGTTATCAGATAAAGTCATCTTCCCAAACAAAGAACAAGTTCTCATTGATTTTCTTGGTGGCCTTCTTTTAAACAGGAAAAGGTATTTGATAAAACATAAATTGGTTAAAGATATTTAATTTAGTTTCATTGATAAAAGATATTAATTTCAAATCAAATTATCTTAAGATATTAGTTTCAGTGTGTATTGATTAAAATATTTTAGGGAAAGTATAGTATATTCAGTTCCTTTTTTAAAACACTTTAAGTTGAATGTGATTTCAAGTTACTAATACACGTAGTACAACCACTATGTAAACTAAAGGCAACCAAGAACTTTATAAATGTGTAGATTTATTTTGAAACACATTTTCAAATGCACGTTGCATGAATGCCACACAGGAGTAACATAACAGAGGATGAAACTTTTCTTGTGTGGAGATGTCTATTTGAAGTTCTACAGACAAGAAAATGTCACACCCCAGCGAAATTCAGACACACTCTGATCATCAAACCCTCCATAAGTCAGGTAATGATATAGACCTTAGTATATGAAGTAATGACTTATCAAGCCTACCAAGTGTTATGTAATATCATATGTTGCCCTGGATATGTCAGTTAAAGTCCTGTATTCTCCATATCTCAGAATAAGTTTTTATAAAACATCTGTGTATGTCAGATAATGTCTTACAGGTATCCAGCCCATTATACATGTTATATGCCATGTTTTATCATAAGCACTCCGTCCATAGTCCATATGTCAAATATCATCCTCCCATGCCCCCATGTGTCAGATAACATGTTCCCATGCCTTGATGTGTTAGATAATGGCTTCCCATTCCCCCATGTATTTCATAACATCTTCCCATGCCCCCATGTATTACATAACATCTTCCCATGCCCCCATGTATTACATAACATCTTCCCGTGCCCCCATGTATCCACATATCATCTTCCAATGCCCCCAAGTATCACATAAAATCTTCCCCTGCTCCCATGTATTACGTAACATCTTCCCCTGCCCCCATGTATTACATAACATCTTCCCATGCCCCCATGTATTACATAACATCTTCTTATGCCCCCATGTATTACATAACATCTTCCCATGCCCCCATGTATTACATAACATCTTCCCATGCCCTTATGTATCACATAACATCTTCCCATGCCCCCATGTATCACATAACATCTTCCCATGCCTGCATGTGTAAGATACATATAATATCTCATGCCCCTGTTTGTCAAATAACATCTTCCCAATTCCTCCATATGTCAGTTACTATTGTAGTCTTCATGCCCCCCCCCCATGCCCCCATGTATCACATAACATCTTCCCATGCCCCCATGTATTGAATAACATCTTCCCATGCCCCCATGTGTCACATAACATCTTCCCATGCCCCCATGTATCACATAACATCTTCCCATGCCCCCATGTATCACATAACATCTTCCCATGCCCCTGTGTATCACATAACATCTTCCCATGCCCCCATGTATCACATAACATCTTCCCATGCCCCCATGTATCACATTACATCTTCCCATGCCCTTATGTATCACATTAGATCTTCCCATGCCTCCATGTGTAAGATACATATAACATCTCATGCCCCCATGTGTCAGATAACATCTTCCCAATTCCTCCATATGTCAGTTACTATTGTAGTCTTCATGCCCCCCCCCCCCCCCCCCACCCATGTGTAAGGTAGTTCTAACTTTGTCCTCCATATGTAAAGTAATTTGAGGCAATTTCTAATAAAATCTTTCAAATGTCAGGTAACCTCTTTTCAGTTCCTCCTTATACATGTATCAGTTACTTGTGTAGTCTTTTCATTATCCATGACCTCCTTCGTGTGTTTGACTGTCAAGTTATTTTAACCTTGTCCTTCATATGTAAAATCCTATCAAGTCATTCAAATGTTGGGTAATTTCTAAAGAAATCTTTAAAATTTCAGGTAGATTTATATAAAGTCATCCATATGTCATCCATGATATCATGAAATGTGAAGATAACGAATAGTAATCAGGCTTAAAGTCCTATTACACAATACAAATTGTGAGCAGAGCAAACAAGACCTCTGAAAACAGTGGCAGGATCAGGTGTCATGGAGGATTGAGTATCCCCTGTTGACCGGTCACACCCACCCTATGCTCCTTGTCATTCTCAGGTAAAATATGTAGACAATTCAGTGTGGAAATAATGGCCCAAAACTTATATGAAAGACATAAGTCAACATTTGATCTAATGATAGATTGTATTTGCAAACAAGGTCACTGTATCTATCATAAATTTGTGAAATGTTGACTTTAAACGAGATTGTTGATAACATTGTATCATCAACAAATCTGTCAGAAGCCTACCTCTTTTTAGAAATTGTTAGTGTGTAAGACATGCTATGGGAGACATAAACTTCATATGCAGGTGATAATGATATATTACATGTACTACATAAACAAGGGAAGTTGACAGTAGAAAAGTTGACGTCATCACATGTCGTCACATAAAGTTTAGTTGTTAGTTTGCCATCAGTGTCTTTCTCTAGTAAAACATCCAAATGTGAAATAGATGTGTCATACTCTGTGATGTTTTATTTTGAGTTCAGTTGGGTATATTAAATCAGTGTAGGAATGATTGTTAATATTTATGATCTACTTGTGGAATTGAAGACCACAGCAAGAGAACTTCTTTTTATGTAGAAGTTTTTGAATAAATTCTGCTTCATGAGAATACAAAAACAGGTCTGCTAATAATGGGGCACAATTAGTACCCACTGGAATTTCAACAGAAGTTGGAAGAAGACCTGGTCTCCAAAGACTACATAGATAGTGTCAATGAGAAACTGGAGCATTTTTTTTTATATCATAAAAAATCATCTGTACTTATTTAGTTAAGATTTAATTAAATTGGATGTAGAAACAATGGGCATTTGAAAAGTTCTGAGAATGGTTTGATAAATTATTGACCATTTAATGGAAGGTAATGAGTTTGAAATCATTGAAAAGAGCAGGAAAATATGCACATATTGCAACGTCAATTTATTTACTTTTTTGATGTAATATCTCTGAAGATGACATCAGAATCCTGTGTGTTTAGTATACGGACCATAATTATGATGTAACAAGAGGCAAAATTTCAGCAAAGTCAAATTTGAAAGTCAACTCTTCAATGATATCAAACTCATTAACCTCCGTTAAACGGTTTATATTTAATCAAATTATTCTCAGAACTTTTCAAATGACCCTTGTATTTGGAATATTTTACAGGTATTATGCGACAGCATCTTGTTGGAGTATGAGAAAAACTCTGGTTGTACAGCAGACATTGTAGGATGTGCCTTAGCCATTATACAGTCTCCAACCTTATCTTATGTCTTTACATCAAAATATGATTTTCTGGTTTGTATTTTCATTTGCTGTAGACTTTTGGAGTTTTAATAAATTTATGTACAAACAGAGAAGAATTGTGCCTTGTACACTGATACTCACCATCAGATATTGGACAAACAATGTCTTTGCAGCAAATCTTTTCAGTATTTTTTGTTGGGAGGGGGGGGGGGGTGCATTTAATTGTTTGTAATTTGATGTACATTATTAGTAGAGTTCTTTAATATGTATACACAACTATGTGGAATATTGCTAAGTAAACAGTATCATCTTATATTGATCAAACTAGTGCTTCTCACTATATTACAGAAGAAAAGTTGATTACGGAAGAAACACACAAGCCTGTCTATACTGTTCTGATTTACCCATAATTTTTATGATTTTTGAAACATCTGTTTCATATTTTTCGAGATTTTCACCATTTGTAGTTCTTAAATTATTTAAAAAAACAATACTCCAGCAGTCAAATGCTTTTAATAATGGTTATATATTGATAAACAGTTTTCAAGCATATAAATTACAATGACAGGAGGCTCAAATATTTGGAAAAAGATAAATATTGAATTCACAAACATAGAAATTATAGAAATATTTTGGACTTCCAATTGTTTAAAATATCATCATGTCTTAGTTGTTTTTAAGATTAAAATTACAAAATCTGCTGCATAAAAGTCAAATATTACAAATTGATAGAAATCTATAAAACACATCCATTTGGGGAAGGCAGCGAGGTCTGAACACCAAAAATTATAAATATTTCCTATCAAAATCGAGAATAACCATAGTGTTAAAATAATCTTAGGGAGGAAAATCTTTAGACTGTGATTAATTTTTTTTTTTTACAATGTGAGGTTAGCTGTGTGTTTTACACACAGTATATTAGATTTCTAATAAATTTTCCTTTCAAGATGAATGAAAAAAATAATTAAATTTTGTGATGTTTTCTACCTCTAGGTGAAGTTTCTGGGCAATGTATTGTTATTAACAGTCAGAACTATCCAGGATGGCAGACCAGTCCATTCTGATCTTATTCAGCTGTTACAGAAATGTACAGCAACTTACAGTGTGTCACAAAGGTCCCAGCCACAGCAGACAAAGGTAGGTCAGATCAGTCCATTCTGTTAAAGAAATTTACAGCAACTTACAGTGTGTCACAAAGGTCACAGCCACAACAGACAAAGGTAGGTCAGACCCGTCCATTCTGTTACAGAAATGTACAGGAACTTACAGCGTGTCACAAAGGGCCCAGCCACAGCAGACAAAGGTAGGTCAGACTGGTCCATTCTGTTACAGAAATGTACAGCAACTTACAGTGTGTCACAAAGGTCCCAGCCACAGCAGACAAAGGTAGGTCAGACTGGTGCATTCTGTTACAGAAATGTACAGCAACTTACAGCGTGTCACAAAGGGCCCAGCCACAGCAGACAAAGGTAGGTCAGACTGTTCCATTCTGTTACAGAAATGTACAGCAACTTACAGTGTGTCACAAAGGTCCCAGCCACAGCAGACAAAGGTAGGTCAGACCGGTTCATTCTGTTACAGAAATATACAGCAACTTACAGTGTGTCACAAAGGTCCCAGCCACAACAGACAAAGGTAGGTCAGACCAGTCCATTCTGTTACAGAAATGTACAGCAACTTAACAGTGTGTCACAAAGGTCCCAGCCACAGCAGGCAAAGGTAGGTCAACGGTTGAAATTTGCATGTTGTTGATAAGTGCAAACCAGCATACTGATTACAGAGAATTATGTAAGAAGACTTAACTTTTTAGTGTGTAGTTTTTAATTTGGGTGTTCTTACTTCCAATTTTTTTTCTTTGCTGGTGACAAGCAGCTGTTTACAGTCCTTTAAAATGTTCACATTTGTCTCACTGGATCTAAGCATACACCATCAAAAAACAAAAAAAAAAAGAAAAAAAGAGATATAGAGAGCTGTGTTTAATGTAAATACAATGGGCATCCTGTTTAAATGATATTTTATGGATAACTGATAGGATTTAGATTAGTTTGACACGATACAACACACACATATTTGAGGAATTAGAATGGTCATTTATTTTACTAATAATGACAAAATACAATGCTAAAAAACATATCAAACAGTTAAAAATACAAAAAAAAAAAAAAAAAAAAAAAAAAAAAAAAAAAAAGACAATACCATAATTCATGAGAAGGAAATGTAACTAGTTAAACATTCCAAAAATGCCATAGTCCTAAATAAAATATGATATAAAAAAACATAAACACAGAATTGTGACTAAAATAAACCTAATAAGTTATAAGACAATTTGGCAAATTATATATTATATGAAAAGTGTCAAAGATGGGGTATCTTTCACCATCTATCAAAGCTGTGGTTTCCCATTGTTTTGTTATTGCCCCATCCAACCTGAAATTATAGACCCTGTAACTCAGAAAGTCCTGACATTATACCATGACAAAATGTCTATCTACATTTGTTTTTCTAATATGTAACAGTATGAGGAATAGTTATAGTCATGAGTACTGTTGATCACAAAATATCGCCAGACCTTATTTTCGCAAGATAGGTACTTGGTACTTGAAAGTGAGGCAGAATTAGGAGGAATTCTGGTTAATGCTGTATATAAGCTATACTAATAAAATCATATGCAAGAATGAAATTTTCGCAAGCAGACAGCCTCACATTTTTATGCAAAATAAAGTTCTCACTAATATAAAGTGATTAATTGTAAATGAAATGAAAAAAAGAGAACATGTTGGGGGAATCTCTATACAATGTCTATGTGTTGAATATTTTAGGTTTTCCAGTCTGTGGTTGAACGGTTACTTATTCCTACTTTATTGCTGGGAAGTTTGACAGAGAAATGTCACGAGCTTAAAAACTGTGTTGAGAATCTAAATGACATCCTGGATCAGGCATTGTTTCACAGGTACAGTATCAACAGAGTTATAGATCTTTTCACTGTTGCAGATTGAAGTAACTTTATATCAAATGTAATGGTACTTCTTTTGTCTGCTTCTGCAGCGAAATTAAAATAAACCCTTTCAAGCCTTTGTGTCTTGGATTTAATTTAATTAAAAAACATTATTTGTTAGGGTAATTAAAGATTAAAATTTTCTTCTTGCATTAGAGAGTAAAATGTACATTTATAAATGTAAATGCTATGATTAATTTGATTTATGATTTCTCTTTGATGTACATGTGTTAACACAGAGAACACCATCCATTCTATGAGAGTTTTCTGTCAGCTATAGTAGGAAAAGATGAAAGAAAACAGAAAGTCTCCAAGACAATTGAGAGCCTGTTTCACTTGTTATCAAATCTTATCAATAAAAAGGTAAAATACAATATTTATATTTTCAATTCAATTTATTTACAATATTAACTTTATTTATTTTTTTGGATATGCTTATTTTATTTATTTTAAGATGTCCATTTTTTTTAATAAACCAATCTGTATTTTGCCACTGAAATGTGACTAGTCCTGTTTATTGTACTGGTACTTGTACAGAGAGGGTAGAATTATTATTACTCACTACTTATATATATAAGTAATTTTAAGATACTTATATTTAAAGGCAGGTGTCAAATTTGTACTTTACATAGATAGTTGATCATAAATTGTATTCTTCTGCAGTAATTGAGTTCTTTGTTTAGAAGGGACAAGACAATTACACAGATACCCAGAAGATTATCAGTCACTATCTGGTAGCTTTCTTTGACCATTTCCTCTCACATAAGTGGTAAGTAGTCGCAGAGTTAAAAGTTCTTATTTGGTATTAATTAAATGATGTCCATGTGTGCAATTTATGGTGCATATAATGAAATTTTTAGGAAAATTAACATAATTGATGAATTTTAAACTATTGAAAATGAACCATCTTAACATTGTGATTAAGAATTACCGGTATTATTTTTGTGTGTTTTTGCCCAAGTAACTCTTGTTAGTACAGTGTAATCAGTTTGTTACTGTCATGTCCCTCAGCTCTATATTAATTTTGTAGAAATTTAATGGCAGTTTCTAGATATTTTCTTGTAAAATACATGTATCTGAATTTTGATTTTTTAGGAAATGTAATGTTTGACATTTTTTATTTCATGTCATAATGTATGAAAAAAACTGATCAAATACACCCGCACAGAGTTCTTGAAACTAGTCCAAAATTTGTTGGATAATCATCCTGTAAATATTCAAAATTTACCTGACAATTGTAAAATTTACAGGACATAAATGTTTTAAATAAAATAAAAAAAATTGTTCAGACTAATTTATTCCATTTCCCTCTCAATTTCTACCAGTTTAAATTGTCACAAGTCTATGATGAGGCAAATACCCATTATAAATCTGCCGAAACATTCTTTACTTTATTATAAATTATATATCAAAAGCTTTGAAAAATGTCATGAAGTCTGGTTAAGAGTATTGGGTCCTGATAAATCATATATGGAAGAGTTTTGTCAAATTGATGGCCTATTTTCTCATAGTTACTAGTTCCTATCACTGGTGTCTATTTTTTTCTTCTTTTTAGCTCACCTGAGCCGAAGGCTCAAGTGAGCTTTTCTGATCACATTTTGTCTGTAGTCCGTCTGTCCGTCTGTCCGTCTGTCCGTCTGTCTGTCCGTCTGTCCGTCTGTAAACTTTTCACATTTTCAACTTCTTCTCAAGAACCACTGGGCCAATTTCAACCAAACTTGCCACAAAGTATCCTTGGGTAAAGGGGATTCAAGTTTGTTCAAATGAAGGGCCACGCCCTCTTCCAAGGGGAGATAATTAAGAATTCGTGAAAAATTAATGGCATCATTAAAAAATCTTCTTCTCAAGAACCACTGTGCTTGAAAACATGAAACTTATGTGGAAGCATCCTCAGGTAGTGTAGATTCAAGTTTGTTCAAATCATGACCCCCGGGGCTAGGGTGGGGCCGCAATGGGCGATCGAAGTTTTACATAGGAAATATACAGGAAAAAATCTTTAAAAATCTTCTTCTCAAGAACAGCAAAGCCATAATTGGTCATATTTATATGGTAGCATCCTCAGATAGTGTACATTCAAGTTTGTTCAAATCATGACCCCCGGGGGTCGGGTGGGGCCACAATGGGAGATCAAAGTTTTACATAGGAATATATAGGAAAAATCTTCAAAAATCTTCTTCTCAAGAACAACAAAGCCATGATTGGTCATATTTACTTGGAAGCATCCTCAGGTAGTGTAGATTCAAATTTGTTCAAATCATGACCCCCGGGGGTAGGGTGGGGCCACAATGGGCGATCAAAGTTTTACATAGGAATATATAGGAAAAATCTTTAAAAATCTTCTTCTCAAGAACAGCAAAGCCATGATTGGTCATATTTATATGGTAGCATCCTCAGATAGTGTACATTCAAATTTGTTCAAATCATGACCCCCGGGGATCGGGTGGGGCCACAATGGGCGATCAAAGTTTTACATAGGAACACATAGTAAAAATCTTCTTCTCAAGAACAGCAAAGCCATGATTGGTCATATTTATCTGGTAGCATCCTCAGATAGTGTACATTCAAATTTGTTCAAATCATGACCCCCGGGGGTCGGGTGGGGCCACAATGGGCGATCAAAGTTTTACATAGGAACTCATAGTAAAAATTCTAAAAAAAAAAAAAAAATAATTTGTTAAGAATAGCAAAGCCATGATTGGTCATATTTATATGGTAGCATCCTCAGATAGTGTACATACAAATTTGTTCGAATCATGACCCCCGGGGGTAGGGTGGGGCCACAATGGGCGATCAAAGTTTTACATTGGAACACATAGTAAAAATCTTTAAAAAAAACAATTTGTTAAGAATAGCAAAGCCATGATTGGTCATATTTATATGGAAGCATTCTTAGATAGTGTACATTCAAGTTTGTTCAAACATGACCCCTGGGGATCGGGTGGGGCCAGAATGGGTGATCAAAGTTTTACATAGGAATACATAGGTTAAATCTTTAAAAATCTTCTACTCGAGAACAGCAAAGCCATGATTGGTCATATTTAAATGGAAGCATCCTCAGATAATGTAGATTCAAATTTGTTCAATTCCTGACACCCCCCCCCCCCCCCCCCCCCCCCGACCACTTTTATATTTAAACTTTTCAACCTTTCAAGATTGAAATGATTTCTGCTTTTTCCTAGCCATAGTGCTCAGGTGAGCGATGTGGCCCCTGGGCCTCTTGTTTAAAATTATTTTAGGCTTTTATTTCAATATTTCTCTACTGTATATAATCAAGTGACAATTGAATGAAATGATTTAAGATTTTCGGTCTCATTTTAATAGTCTGTAAAAACTGTTGGACATTTTGATCGATAATATTCAGATTTAACGGTCCCATTCAAAAGGGATGCCATTTCAAGAACTCTGCCTGGGTGCAAGAGATTTTCTGAGGGTGACAGTTTCGAATGCCATTCTCAACTATGTGTGCAAATAATGTATGATATTTTCATGATCGATAAAATTCAGATTTAACGGTCCCATTCAAAAGGGATGCCATTCAAGAACTCTGCCTGGGTGCAAGAGATTTTCTGAGGGTGACAGTTTCGAATGCCATTCTCAACTATGTGTGCAAATAATGTATGATATTTTCATGATAATGAATGAGCAAATTTAATTTGAGAATTTAATACCAACCATTTCATTGTACTGCATGTGGAAAAATGAAACTGACTTAGGCACAACAATTTATACAGTGTGCAAGTTGTTACAGAGCTGTAGATAAAGGTACCTTAGTATGACGATTGATACTAGGTAGAGGTTTTAAATGGCTACTGTGTGATGTTATATTACAGCCATGGAGAGAAAACACAGACTGGATTCCGACTGTTTGTCCACATCTGTCATATCATCGGGATCAGAGAATCCAGTCTGGAGCTTTGTGGACCATTAAGTCAGGAGGAAGTTGTGATTGTATTATCTCCCCTATTGAGAAGTTTACTGAAGCATGAAATTTACAGTCAACCCCAGGATACATCAGATGGCAACATCCAACTCAAATTCTACAACCATATTCTGATTCATGTTTTAGAAGGCAAACAGTAAGTAGCCATTACCGAAACTTTAAACGGCCTGATCAGAACTCTGTAACTCAAGTTTTACATTGCCTGAAAATTTTCCTATATACATGTACATGTATGTCTTTGTAGTTGTGATTATATGAGTATTTGATGATCTGAGAGATATTTTTGAGTTTACAGTATTTGTAATTACATTGGCCAGTTGCGTTCCTATGACTCATAAAAGTAAAGCTCAGCCGCTAATCCACGGATCATGTAAGCCAGGTTTAAATGCCAGCTGAGTCGGGTTTACTTAAGATGTATTTCTGTAGCATACTATAAAATTGAGTAAGGTTTACCTAATCTTGACTTACTCAAATTAAAATGTCAATTGAAAAGGTAGTAAGTTACTTAATTTCAAAGCACTTAAAAAATAAGTTTTAATAGAAGTAGTTGAATCTCGAAAGGATATAATTAAAAACAAGTGTAAAAATAAATAATACGGTAAATTGTTACTAAAAAATGCAGATGACAAAAAATGCAGCACAATTAAATTCAAACCCCAGAATACATCAATGAAACTAAGGTTTTTGCAAAGGACAGAAGAGAGGGAAAACTGGAGGGGGTCTTGAGAATTAATTTGTGGAACTCCATGTGATTTTTAAACAATACCAAAACGTAAGGCAGAGGTAAATAATTAAAGAACAATGTATTTGATTTGAATTTTCAATTTAATATTAAATGATACCTTCTCTGTAGATATCAAGCCTTTAATACTCATTACTTCAAAGGTTAAGTCTGAATACAACTAAGGTAACAAAGAGGTTATTTAGACATTATTTATTTAGGTAAGTTGACACCTATCCAGTGAAACATCATCCATTTCAGTAACACAACATTGGTATTAGTAAGTTTGACACCTATCCAGTTAAACATCATCCATTTCAGTAACACCAAAAGTCCATGGAAATGACAAAAGCCGAATTTAAACCACTCCTACAACAGGTTCAGAATTTACTGTAATTCTGAGCTGTACTCAGCCAAGCCTTACCCGTGTGCAACACTTATGGCCAGTTGCGTATCTATAGTTTAGCTAAGTACAGCTCAGTGGTGGATCCACGGATCACGTAAGCCGGGTTTAAATGCGAGGTAAGTCAGGGTTACCTGAGTAGTAATTCAGTTGCACGCTTGAAAAATAACCCAGACTTACCTGATCCACACTTTCGTTTGCGGAAATTGAAAAATGTCGAAACCTAGTAAGTCTCCGAATTTTACTGCTTTGGAAAAATCATTTTTATTAGAACTTATTGAATCCAGGAAAGATATAATTGAAAATAAACAAAATGATGGAAAAATGGTTTTGAAGAAAAACTCGGAATGGGAGAAAATAACGATAGAATTCAATGCAAGTCACGGTGTCAACCAAAGGAACTGTACACAGTTGAAGTCCCTTTGGAAGAACATGAAGTCACGGACAAAATCTGCCGTTGCAAAAGACCGAAGAGAGAGAGCAAAAACTGGAGGAGGGCCACAAGCTGAAACAGGACTGGATACCGTCTCAGCTGCAATTTCAACAATACTTCCGCAGCAGATAAACAGCATCGCGAATGAATTCGATGATGATGCTACTTTGCATGGTGATGTAGAAAAAACTTCAAGTCCGAATGAAGTGGTGAGTAACCAAAAAAAAAATAGATTTAACGAATAATGAAGAATATACATTTATTATTATTTTTTAATTCCATTAATTAACAACATCATGTATTATACGTTTCCCTACATTTGAATGTTGAAAAAAGTTCCCAATAATAGTTGAAATTAAGAATTATTTATCCACACAGGCAAATTGTGTCACCGAATCCAATAACACCTCCTCGTCTAGTTCCGCATCCACAACAGCACCATCAGTTAAGAGAAGGCTCCAAGGGAAACAAGAACAGGTTAAAAGCAGGCTCTTGGAGATGGCAGAAGTAGAACATGCTGCAAAGATGCGGATATATCAAATGAAAGAAGATATTCTCACTCTGAAAAAGCGTAAGCTAGAGAAATCCCTGTCCACTACATGTACCAATGAAACAAGCACAGAAAATAGACCTAATGCAAGTAATGAAATTGCATGGAGACCATTTTAATTTGTTTTGGGCAATAATAAATGGCTTATTGAATAAAATACATGTATTTATCATATTATGCTTACTTTAAAATCTTTATCTGAAATTACGAATCAGAATTGAACGTAGGGCCCTGCCTCCTTGATTGCGATTCTGTAGCACAGGTACAGGAACCTGGTCAATTTCATCACTTTCATCTTCATTTGGTAGAGGAATTGAAAGTTCCCTTGCTATGTTATATAACACACAACAGGCAGTAATCACTGTTATATTTGTTTGAAGTTTTAGTCGAAGCTGCTGTCGCAAACAGGGAAATCGTCTTTTCAATATGCCAAAAACGTTTTCAATTTTGACACGTGTATTGCATAAAGCAAAATTGAATCTTCTCTCCTCTCTAGAGTTTGGAGTGAGAACTGGAGTTACAAGATAATGCCGCAGTGGGTATCCATTGTCACCGAGCAAAATTCCATTAATTTCTCTGCGTTCGAACTTAGCACAAATATTAGAATTATCAAAAATTCTACTGTCATGTGTACTGCCTGGCCAACGTACCACAACATTAGTAAGTTTGAGTTCATGATCACAGATTGCCTGTACATTAATTGAGAAATATCCTTTTCTATTTCTAAAAAGTTCAGCATTATCTCCTCCTGGAGAAATAACTGGAATGTGGGTACAATCTATTAATCCTACAATACCAGGTATATTACTCTGTTGCATAAACGCTCTTTGCACATCTAAAATTCTATTTCCAGAAGGAAATTCTATGTGTGCGTTGTACAAAGAGGCTATTGCACGTGAAACTTTCTTTATGATTCTTGACACAGTACATTTATGCACCCCAAACAAATCCCCGCTTACCGATAACATATTGCCAGTTGCATAATATCTCAAAGTTATTAGAAGTTGATTCAATGGAGAGATGGATGAGGTGTGCAAAATTCCATCTCCCAAGTCACCACTAATATCGTCTAGAATAGACAAAATAGCCTCTTTGCTAAGTCGAAATCTATCAATAAAATCTGTGTCATTGTAATAAGTGATAGGATTAAGTCTATCTCTAATAATTTGTTCTCTCCTTATCAATCTTTCTACAAGGTCAAACCTGTCTACTTCATCCAAATACTCCGCCATTATTTCCCACAAAAATACGAAGCTGGGTTTAAACCACCCCTATAGCAGGTTCAGAATTTACCGTAATTCTGAGCCGTACTCACCTAAGCCTTACCTGTGTGCAACGCATAAACCGTGATTTAAACCCGGAATCATTGATCGAAGGTTTAAACCAGAGATACGCAACCGGCCATTTAACTTGGATTTAAACCTGGAATCATTGATCAAAGGTTTAAATCTGAGATACACCTGGCCATATGAGTTTTTGATGATCTATGAGTTATTTTTGAGACTAAAGTAGTTGTGATTATATATATGTTTGATAATCTATGAGATATTTTTTGAGTATACAGTAGTTGTGATTATATGAGTGTTTGATGATCTATGAGATATTTTTGAGTCTATACATTTCCTTCTTAGCTGTTTCAGTATACTTTTTTTTAGGTCTTCATTGTTTTATGCCTGTTTGGAAAGCTTCCTGGAATTAAATCATGCTATTCTAGAGACTAAGATGTCAGAAGTATTTAGAATAGGGTGGTTTGAGGTAAGTGTAGTGGCCGGGTGGGGAAATTTTACAGTCAGTAATACATAACAAAGCTTTCTAATTTTGAGCATATTTTGCAAATGTATGAATACCAGATTAATTGTAAAAACCGAATTAATTTGAAAAATTACATGTATAAATTACACGTGTATTACATGTATAAATGCATAGATAAGTTTTTAGTTTAAGAAGTATTTTATTCACAATATACAAAGAAGTATATACAATGAACATGGATTAAACAGCAGGCAGATGTGGCCTATATTAGTTCTGTCCATAATGATAGATAAGTTTTTCTATGAATAACAGTTGAAAAATACAGTCAAATATGTTTTCTCAAATTCAAAGGAGCAGATCAAAAATTAGAGATAATCTTGAGATTAAAATACATAAGGAAAAAGAGGTTGAGACTTCCAACTCACTGCAACATTTTCATGGCACGGTTATTTGAAATATGAATGTTCAAGATACCAAAATTCAACTGTATCTATGTATCTATATCTAAAACACAGGTGCTGAATAGAGACCTAATGACATATTTGGATGGCTTTCTGATCAAATTACTTCAGACTTACTCCAAACTGAGACAGGTACCTAAGTTACTCAGTTTATTGTTGACCTCTGTCAGAGATATGGAGTTTACTCAGGATCCAGTGTTCTCAGAGGCGACATCTCTACAGTGAGTAGATTTTCTCTTGTTCGATGTGCTCTTTTAAATGGTGTCCTTTTTCTAGTTTCTGAAGAAATAGCTTATATACTGGTACAATGTAAAAAAAAAGATTCATCAGTGTAACTAAATGATAAAAATTAATTTAGGATTTAAAAGATGCAAAAATGTTCATTCAGCCAGTTCAAAGTTGAAAGATATGTTTAGTATGCATATCTGTGATGTTTCAGTTAGAGTTTTTTAGCTCACCTGAGCTGAAAGCTCAAGAGAGCTTTACTGATCACATTTTGTTTGTAGTTCGTCTGTCTAGCTGTCTCTCCATCCGTCTGTAAACTTTTCACATTTTCGACTTCTTCTCCAGATCCACTGGGCCAATTTCAACCAAACTTTCCACAAAGCATCTTTGGGTGAAGGGGATTCAAGTTTGTTGAAATGAAGGGCCACACACTCATTCAAGGCTAGATAATTCGGAAATAGTGAAAATTTGGTGGCATGTTTTAAAAATCTTCTTCTCAAGAACCACTGGGCCAAAAAAGTTGAAACTTATAGGAAACCTTCTTTACATAGTGAAGATTCAAGTTTGTTCAAATGATGACCCCTGGGGTTAGGGTGGGGCAACAATGGGGGATCAAAGTTTTACAAAGAAATATATATGGGAAAAAATCTTCTCAAGAACAGCAAAACCTTATGTAGTCATATTGATATGGAAGCATTCTCAGGTAGTGTAGATTCAAGTTTGTTCAAATAATGACCCCCAGGGGTGGGGTGAGGCCACAATGAAGGATCAAAGTTTTACGTAGGAATATATAGGGAAAAAACTTTAAAAAATCTTCTCAAGAACAGCAATCCATGACAAGTCATTTTGATATGGAAGCATCCTCTGGTAGTGTAAATTCAATTTTTTTTTCAAATCATGACCCCCGGGGGTAGGGTTGGCCACAGTGGGGGATCAAAGTTTTACATAGGAATATGTAGGAAAAGATCTTCCTCTTTAGAACAGTAAAATCATGTTTAGTCATATTGATATGGAAGCATCCTCAGGTAGTGTAGATTTAAGTTTGTTGAAATGATGACCCCTTGGGTATAGGCTTCGGGCACAATGGAGGATCAAATTTTTACAAGGGAATATATAGGAAAAAAACTCTAAAAATCTTCTTCTCAAGAACAGCTTGAACATTTGTTATATTGATATGGAAGCATCCTCAAGTAGTTTAAAATTCAAGCCCCCCCCCCCCCCCCCCCACATGTAAACTTTTGAATACTGAATACGCAAGTTTCAAGATTGTAGCTCTCCAATGATAGAGGTGCAAATAGTATTCACATCAGCATGGAAGTGGGACAGGTTGTCCATGTACACAAACGTGCATAAATAAATGAACGATGACTAGGGCTTTTAAAATTCATTTAATGTTATAGGTAGATTATAAGGTCAAACAGTGATAATTTTGATGATTTTATTGAGCTCTACTATAAAAGTTATACAAATCTACTTTCAATTAGGATACACGTACTTGAAAACTAAAGAACCTTCATAGTTTTTAACAGATTACTTTGTGAAGTAGCGCTTCCTTGACTGTACTAAGCTTTTTCTAAAAAAGTTAGTGGACTCTGAGAAATTATATTGGAAAGAGTTGGTGTGTCATTTAGAATGCCGACAGGCAGTGATCAGATGCAAGTGTATTTATCAGCTGTTTATTAGAGATCCGTCTCTTCTTCATCTGATTAGCCTTATTTACTGATATTTTCTTTTTTGCCGATTTTTTTGGTAGAAAGAAATTGACATCTTTACTTAAATTAGTTAATTTTCAAGTTGATGAATGCATCCCGACAAACAGTTGTAATAGACTGGCATATCCATGATGTAACATTATAAATAACTGTCCCACGTACTTCCAGTTTACAGGGAAACAAAACTCCCCTCCTTAATGAAAGAGTGCACTAAGGGAGTTAATCTTGAAACTTGCGTATTGATTTGTGTTTTTTCCTAGCCAATATGCTCAGGTGAGTAATGTGGCCCATGGGCCTCTTGTTTTTCATGCATGTTGGATAACAAAGGAAAATAAGTAGTCCAAGAATTAAAAATAATTTTAAAAAATCCTCTTATTATGAAATTTTAATGTTAATTTTCAATAATGAAATAGTCATGGGAAATTGAGAAACATTTATGTTCAGGTGTCTACTAACATTTATGTTCAGGTGTCTACTATCATTTATGTTCAGGTGTCTACTATCATTTATGTTCAGGTGTCTACTATCATTAGCTCTTCTGAGCCAAAGGCTCAAAGAGCTAATGCTATGGCCATTTGTGCGGTGTGCGTAAACTTTTTAGAATATGGGCCATAACTCAAGAACCCCTTGGCCAATTATTGTCAAATTTGTCACAGGGTATCCTTGGCCCAAGGGCTCCCGTTTATACTAAAACTGGGGTTGTGACCCTTTAACAAGGGGAGATAATTAGGAAAATAGAAACAAAAGTACTGGTTGCTAAAAAATCTTCTTCTCAAGAACCACTGGGCAGATTATCACCAAACTTACACAAAAGGATGAGGATATGTTGTAGATTAAAATTTGCACGGGGATTTACCCTGGGGCAAAGGGCGTGGTCTCAAGGTCACTTCAAAGTTGACCAAAAATTACATTTTATTAAAATGTTGATATTTTGCTTACTATAAGGACTAGGATCATCAAATCTTGTCAGTTGGTGCATCTAAGGACCTCATATCATGTTGACTCAAAAGTAGGTCACGATGACCTACTTTTTAAATTTTGCGGCCATTCTTTTTCAAAATGATTTAGAGGCATATTTTGAACAATTTAAGGCCTATGATCATCAAACTTTGTCAGTTGATGCATCTTGGGTCCTCAAAGTACGTCAACTAAAAAGTAGGTCACCTTGACCTACTTTTTGAATTTAATGGCTAATCTTTTTTAAAACAATTAAGGTCATTAATTCGAATACGGGGAGGCTTAGAATCATTAAATCTTGTAAGATGATGCATCTTGGGGCCAAAAAACATAATTATTAAAAATAGGTCTCAGTGACCTACTTTTTGAACTTTGCAGGCATTCGATTTCAAAGCATTTTAGAGGCATAATTTGGACATTTTAAGTCCTATGATCATAAAACTTTGTAAGTTGATGCATCTTGGGTCCTCAAAAAAGGTCAACTGAAAAGTAGGTCACCGTGACCTACTTTTCAATTTATATGACTATAATTAAATATTTCAGGTACTAATTGGCTTAGAATCATCAAACTTTGTCAGTTGATGCATCTTGGGTCCTCGGGGAAGGTCGACTAAAAAGTAGGTCACAGTGACCTACTTTTGAAAATTTATGGCATTAATTAAATATTTCGGGTACTAATTGGCTTAGAATCATCAAACTTTGTCAGTTGATGCATCTTGGGTCTTCAGAGTAGATCGACTAAAAAGTAGGTCACCGTGACCTACTTTTGAAAATTTATGGCTTTAATTAAATATTTCGGGTACTAATTGGCTTAGAATCATCAAACTTTGTCAGTTGATGCGTCATGGGTCTTCGGAGTAGGTCGACTAAAAAGTAGGTCACCGTGACCTACTTTCGGAAAATTTATGGCTTTAATAAAATATTTCGGGTACTAATTGGCTTAGAATCATAAAACTTTGTCAGTTTATGCGTCATGGGTCCTCGGAGTACAACAACTGAAAAGTAAGTCACGGTGACCTACTTTTGAAAATTTATGGCTTTAATCAAATATTTCGGGTACTAATTGGCTTAGAATCATTAAACTTTGTCAGTTGATGCATCTTGGGTCCTCGGAGTACAACAACTGAAAAGTAGGTCACGGTGACCTACTTTTGAAATTTTATGGCTGTATTTAATATTTTCAGGAATTATTTGGCTTAGAATCGTCAAAATTTGTCAGTTGATGCATCTTTGGTCCTCGGAGTAGGTTGACTGAAAAGTAGGTCACTGTGACCTACTTTTGAAAATTTATGGCTGTAATTAAATATTTTGGGTACTTATTGGCTAGAATCATCAAACTTTGTCAGTCGATGTATCTTTGGTCCTCGGAGTACAGCAACTGAAAAGGAGGTCAGGGTGACCTACTTTTGAAAATTTATGGCTTTAATAAAATATTTTAGGTACTAATTGGCTTAGAATCATAAAACTTTGTCAGTTTATGCGTCATGGGTCCTCGGAGTACAACAACTGAAAAGTAGGTCACGGTGACCTATTTTTGAAAATTTATGGCTTTAATCAAATATTTCGGGTACTAATTGGCTTAGAATCATTAAACTTTGTCAGTTGATGCATCTTGGGTCCTCGGAGTACAACAACTGAAAAGTAGGTCACGGTGACCTACTTTTGAAATTTTATGGCTGTATTTAATATTTTCAGGAATTATTTGGCTTAGAATCGTCAAAATTTGTCAGTTGATGCATCTTGGGTCCTCGGAGTAGGTTGACAGAAAAGTAGGTCACTGTGACCTACTTTTGAAAATTTATGGCTGTAATTAAATATTTTGGGTACTTATTGGCTAGAATCATCAAACTTTGTCAGTCGATGTATCTTTGGTCCTCGGAGTAAAACAATTGAAAAGTAGGTCACTTTGACCTACTTATAAAATTTTATGATTATAATTTTAAAAAATATTTTAGGTATTAATTGGCTTAGAATCATCAAACTTAGTTGATGGGTCCTCAGAGAATGACAAGTGATAAGTAGGTCACCATGAGCAACTCTCAGGTACTAATTGGCTTAGAATCATCTTGGGTTCTCAGAGTGTGAATTGGAATTTCAAGGGTTTATGTAAATATACAGGATACTTCGAGGCTTCAAATAGAAGTGATAGGTTGTACAGTTAATCAGAAGAGCGATTCAAGGCCCATGGGCCTCTTGTTTATGTTCAGCTGTCTACTAACATTTATGTTCAGGTGTCTACTATCAGAAGAGTAATCAATCAGGATGTTTTCCTGCAAAACTGTTTCAAAAAAAAAAAAATAATGATAATAAGCAAGCTTTGTCAGTGGCATGTAATGCTTGTTGGATTGAAATTTTTTGGAGAAAAACATCTCAGTTTACTAACTGAATTACTCAAGAGGATTGTTGTTTTTGTTTAACAGATTTGGAGAAAAAAATCCAGATACTGTAACACCATTTAATTCATGTACCACTGTAAGGATTATTCATTTTTTGAAACAGATTTGCAGGTAAACATCCAGATTGACTTTTACTGTAAAAAGCAGAAATATTCGTTAGGGATTAAATTTTTTTTATTTTGTTGTTAACAATTATCAACGAATTAAATCCCACATGAAATTTTTACATGATTATATATTGAATAGGGTTTCTTTTGAAACAAGGAAATTTAATTCCTATGAAACTTTTTAGATGACAAAACAATGAAATTTTATCCCACCAAAAATTTGTGCTGCTACAGTAATTTTACACATGTACATAGATATTGGTGGAAGTGATTCAGATAGAAAGGTTCTAATATATAATTAACTTCTTATAGGAAAATATTGTGTAATCTGTTTAAACAGTTTTGGAGAAGTTGTGGAGCACTTACCCCAAGGTGTGGTCACTGAAGTTTGGGGACTTTTTCTGAAAGAAATTCCTGCATTGCTTCTTAGACTGCAGACTGAAGGTGTGTTCTCATGTACATGGCCAGTCAGGGACATTAAGGGTTTGCTTACCCCCCTCCCAACCCCCCTTTCCAAAAAAAAAAGAGAAAATTAATTTTCAGTTAACATTGAAGTATGTGTATATAGCAGGAAAACTTCAGTATCTTGACATTGGCAGTATCAGTGGAAAATTGTGAGATACATATACATGTATTTAGAATTGAAACTGAGATATGATGCCATCTAAGACAATAACCCATGAGGGATTTATTATACACTTGTAATCGTGTACACTGTAATACATATAACTTCAGCAACTGGCTTACTGGAATGCATATTTATTCATAAAATACATTGTTTATTTTCTTACATAATATTTTTGGTATTGAATATGTTTGTTAGTATATAGTAAATTATAGGGATGGGTATCGGCAAAAATTTCGTATTGTGATATATCACGATTTTTTCCCAAAAATATCACGATAAATCGTGATATTTTTACACACAATTTTTACTACAATTTCAAATGAATTTCCGTAATATTTTTTAAAAAATATGCTATAAAAACATAACTTTACTTTTTAAATTTTCATTTATTTAATATAAAGCATGTTAGGATGTCGTTGTTTAACTGTTTTCGACATTTTTTATACTTTCTGTAATTGTCATTCAATAGTTTGAACAAATAAATAAATAATTTCCGGAATTTATAGTTATGTACCAAATACCAGTATTTTAGTCTCCGTATCACGATACGTATCAAACAATAAAAAATCGCGATATACCAGTATACCGATAAAATCTCGCATCCCTAGTAAATTACATGTATTTGCCTTTTACACGTACATGTACCATATTTTGAAAATTAAGTGTTATGTTTGACACAAGTAATAAATGTTTTTACATTTACACACATACACATGTGCACTTATCAGTATTATACTTTAGTTAGGGTTGATGTATGTATTTATACCATAAGAAATTCTATATGAAATCCAAGGACAGTTATATGCCAATGCACTTTACAATTATGAAGAAAGCTCAAGCAGAGCCATGTTTTTCATCAGTTCTAATGCATTAAAGTTATAATGAAACCATTCAGTTTACTTTAATTTGCTTGAAACATGGTCCTTTTAGAAGGGTCAAAATAGAGTTCAAAAATACAGAAAATGAAATGTTTTATACCCCTTATTGTGTATGAACCCTGAGTTGTGGAGAACTTTCCCAACAGAACACTGTAATTTTTATGTAGAATATATTTCAATGTGCAACCGAGAACAGTTACATGTAGCATTTTCCTTTACTTTAGATATAATTCAACTGAAATCAGTTACATGTAGCATTTTTATTATGCCCCGCCATGAATATGGCCGGGGCATATAGTGTTTGTCATGTCCGTCTTCCATCCTTCCGTCCTTCTGTCCTTCCGTCTGTCCTTCCGTCACACTTTGCGTTTAGCTCTGTTCAAAGCTCAGTTTCAAAGAAACTATCGAAGATATTTTTATCAAACTTCATATGCTGATAGATATTGATGAGGGCTATGCAACTGCATCAACATTTTTTGACCTTGACCTTTCCTTTGACGTTGACCTCACTTTTCTTAAATTAGTGTTTAGCTCAGTTTTAAAGATACCATTCAAGATAGTGTAATCAAACTTCATATGTTGATACATACTGATGTAAGATATTCAATTGCATCAACATTTTTTGACCTTGACCTTTCCTTTGACCTTGACCTCACTTTTCTTAAATTAATGTTTAGCTCTGTTTTAATGAGACCATTCAAGATATTTTTAACAAACTTCATATGCTGATACATACTGATGAGAGCTATTCAACTGCATCAATATTTTTTACCTTGACCTTTCCTTTGACCTTGACCTCACTTTTCTTAAATAAGTTTTTAGCTCAGTTTTAAAGATACCATTCAAGATAGTGTTATCAAACTTCATATGCTGATACATACTGATGAGAGCTATTCAACTGCATCAACATTTTTTGACCTTGACCTTTCCTTTGACCTTGACCTCACTTTTCTTAAATTAGTGTTTAGCTCAGTTTTAAAGAAACCATTCATAATATTTTCATCAAACTTCATATGCTAATACATACTGATGTAACCTTTTCAACTGCATCAACATTTTTTGACCTTGACCTTTCCTTTGACCTTGACCTCACTTTTCTTAAATTAGTGTCAAACTTCATATGCTGATACATACTGATGAGAGCTATTCAACTGCATCAATTTTTTTTGACCTTGACCTTTCCTTTGACCTTGACCTCACTTTTCTTAAATTAGTGTTTAGCTCAGTTTTAAAGAAACCATTCATAATATTTTCATCAAACTTCATATGCTAATACATACTGATGTAACCTTTTCAACTACATCAACATTTTTTGATCTTGACCTTTCCTTTGATCTTGACCTCACTTTTCTTAAATTAGTTTCTGAATCAAACGTCATATGCTGATACATACTGATGTAAGCTATTCAACTGCAGCAATATTTTTTGACCTTGACCTTTCCTTTGACCTTGACCTCACTTTTCTCAATTTGTGTTAAAATGTTGCATTACTAATATACCCTTGGCGGGGCATTCATGTCCTATGGACATATTTCTAGTTTACTTTAGATACAATTCAACTGAAATCAGTTACATGTAGCATTTTTATTTACTTTAGATACAAGTTCAGCTTGCAAGCTTCTTTTTGTGACCAAACTGTTTGCTGTTTTCCTGTCTCATGTAAAAGTAGCCGATTATACGATTACCCATCTGACAAGGTTAAAGGTCAAAGGTTTGATGGAGGAGACACAATCAGGAATAATAGCTCCACTTATTGAGAGAGTGGCAGATAGAAAGGTAGGAAAGAGATAAATTTTCAGTTCTTAGACATACTCATACATGTAGAAGTAATATGTATGTGATGATCTCATTTTTTTCACATCTCAGTTATCCACCCCTGAGCCAGTGTTGTTCTCTGCCCTACTTCTGTCATATTTTTGGGGAGAGCTTCATTTCCTTCTGGAGGCATTTAATGTAGGTGACCAAAGATCCGAGTGTCACGAACAAAATATTTACCGAAACCTGGAGGTCATCTTTACCATTGACAGTAAGAGCTGGAAGAAGGTACATACAATAGTTACTGATGCTGGAGTGAAAAGAAACTCGTACTTATGGGTAAATTTTTATGTAACTCGTTATTTTAAAGTTAACTCAGGAAGACTATTTAATATCTTAATTAAGATTCTGAAATAAAATAATGAATTTGATGCCCTGCCATGAATATGGTCAGGGAATATAGTGTTTGTCATGTCTGTCTTCTGTCCTTCCATCCTTCTGTCTGTTTATCTGTCACACTTTGCATTTAGCTCAGTTCCAAAGAAACTATTCAAGATATTTTTATCAAACCTTGTATGTTGATACATATTAATGAGTGCTATTCAACTGCATCAGCATTTGTAGGCCTTGATCTTTCCTTTAACCTGCAACCTCACTTTTCTTTAATTTGTGTTTAGCTCATTTTCAAAGAAAAGATTTAAGATATTTTTTATCAAATTTCATATGCTGATACTTCATATGCTGATATATATTGGTGAGAGCTATTCAAATTATTAGCATTTTTTTACCTTGATCTTTTCTTAGACCTTGACCTCACTTTTCTTAAATTTGTGTTTAGCTCAGTTTCAACAAATGTATTCAAGATATTTAGAACTTATCAAGTGTTTGATTTTTTTTTACCTTCCCTATGACCTTTGACTTTACCGTTTGTTGTGTTTAAAACTCAGTTTCAAAGAAACTTTTTACAATATTTTCCTCAAACTTCATACACTAATTCAAATTGGTGAGAGCTATTCAACTGTGTCATAAATTTGTGACCTTAACCTTCCATGTGACCTTGACCTTACTAAGACTTACTAGTCTTCATTTACCATAATCTTAAACAAAGAAGCAAGGTACATTTCTATTAAGGAACCCTGGGTGGTTCATGTCCCAAGAACATTTTTCTAATTAATATAATTTCCATTTCCATGTAAATTCTGTACAGTTATAATATTGTAATGCAGTGCACTGTAATACATGTCCACATTATTTGACCAAATTGTTTTGCATTTATGACAACTGTGGCTTCTAAAACAGCATTCTTAATCACACTTTTCAATTGAAATAGAAACTGTTGACGACATTGGTGCTGAAAGCAATGCTGGCTGACAAGAGTATAGAACTCCCAAAAGACATAATGAGGATCCTATTGAAGCTGTTCTCGGACATAGAGAAATGTTTGTCAGGAAAAGCATGCTTGGCACTAGGAATGGTATTAAATCACTTATATTTACATCCACTGAATATTTTCTCTTTATTTCTTATGAAAACAACAGTCATTTTATCAATCAGTAAATGCCGTTTCCAGGTCACCTGTATGAATTCTTATGAAGTGTGCTCTTCCATCTATGAAACATAAAGTGATGTACATATCAATAATACAATATTTACTTGAACCTACTTTTGAGGACTATTTATACAGATATAAATACAAACAACAAAATGTCTTTCTTTCATTGTTAGTACTGGATTAACAGTTGCAACTGGTACAGAAAAATATTGACATAACTTATGCAAGTCATGTATTTTTTCTATAACAGCTGCAACCATTAACTCCCATACTAAATCAAAGAAAGTGTGTTAATGTTTAACTTAATATTTTAAAATAGTATTATACATGTATATTGGTCTTCTCTAGCCAAATGCTCTTCAAGAAGTTTTTGTCTGATTTCATGAAACTTGATACAAATGTTAACTGTTAACCATGCTTGTTTAAAAAATAAAATTTTCCATCAAATATCATTGAAATATGCTACTAATGCATGTTTTGTCTGATTCAAATGAAATGCAGACTAATCAAGGTCTATAATTGTTTTTTTTTTTGTTTTTTTTTTTTTGTCATATTAAATTTTTACTTGCATGAATGAAGCATGTTCTAAATTTGTGTTCCTAAGAAAATTTTCATTGATTTCAACATATACAGTGAGGATCTTGCATTAAAAAAGCTTTTGATAAACATCATGAACATTGGTAATTTAAAATTATTAAAGAAAGACCTCGTAATAGCCACTTGTGAAACTGTTCCTACAAATAAGTCATGCTTGATGACTGCAGTTTCATGTCTCATGAATTTTATTCTTTAAACAAAGAACTGCTTATGTTTATGTTCTGTTTTGATATAGTAACTAGCCAGAATTGACAGTGTTTCTAAACTGCATTGTAAAAATAAACCTTTTTCTTATGTTATCTGAGGGTTTAGTTATGTAAGTATCAGTTTCATAACTTTGGTGAAGAATAAATACATTTGTATCCCACGTAATTCTGTCTTAGAAGGGAAGAAAAACCATCTGGTTGTTAATTGTTTTTCTGTATTTAAATGTTAGGCAAAGTTTGGACCATATCACTTTTAGCAATTCACGAATGTAATAGTGCTAATGTATGTTAATGAAAATATTTTTTTGAGAAAAGGTTTTTCCTTTTAAAACTTCCTTACACTCATTGATAATTTATTTTGGCATTTGGGATATGATGAGTGTTGAGCAGAAAAGTACTCTTATATACCAAACATACTCTGTGAGCAAGAATTCCTACTGAAGCACTGCAGTATGGAAAGTTAAAAAAAAAAATTTAGTCAAGGTTGAAACATAAATTGTTACCCTATGAATTAGGTATCTGGTAGAGACCAGGATCTGATATTAAGCAAATTAAAACTATGCATGACTTTTAATTTCTGTGAAGAAGGCAGGAAACCAGGGGCCCATTTTACAAAAGAACTTACGACTAGGATGAAAAAACTTAAGTTGTTTGCAAAATTTTTAAAAATTAATTATTCTGTTTAAAATTGCTATTGTTAACATATCTTACTATATTTATTTTAATAAGATTAAAACCATTGTCAATATAATGTTAATAAGGAAGTAATATGCAAAATTAAATTTTGGTCTTAGTCGTAAGTTCTTTTGTAAAACGGGCCCCAGAGTTGAATTAGCTTTGCTTGAAATTTAAACTTCAAAAATGTTGAAGCGCTATTTTTTCATATAGCTATGGGAGATATCAGAGGAAAACTATAGTCCAGCAAGTTTGGACCTTGTGTTAAAGATGTTGCCCTTGTGTGGTTCCCGCTTGTCCTGTGACACGACTCAGCAGATAACAGATCTGGTCATGAGAGTTATGACTAATGTTATTGATGTTGAGTGTCAGTAAGTTTTACAGTTATCTCCCTTTTAATACTTCTTTGTTGGTGAGAATGTGCTATAGAGTTTATAACTGTGACTATCTTTTTTAGGCAGATACTGGGGAGTCACTTCCTGGAGAGGTGTTCACATTCAGATATCCTGGAGAGTTCCTCATGGTCCTCCTGTATGCTGACGGCCACGTTCAAAACAGTCCGTTTAACAATCCGGGAAAAACAAAAGTATGTTAGCTTAGTAAGGATATTTGTGAACAAAAATGTAGAGAAACTATTAATATCTATCAGAAATTGACATCATTAGTAGATAAACAATTAATATCTGTTAGCTATCAACACATCATTGCTTTGACAAAACAACTAGTCTCCTGTGCAACAAATTTAATCCAGAGATCATAAATGAGCTGTACATCATATGGAAGTATAACAGTGGTTATGGCTGATGCATATAATGTTTTTCATGTCTGTCCTCTTCTTCCATCCTTCTGTCTTTCCCTCAATCTGTCTGTCCATCTTGGCCTAATTTTCAAAGAAACTGTTCCAAATATTTTCACCAAACTTCATTCACCTATATAATTCAACTGTTGAAATTTTTGACTTAGACATTCTGTCAGATTGACCTTGACCTCACTTTTCAAAATTCTGTGTTTAGGTCAGTTGCAGAGAAATTGTTCAATGTATTTTTTGTCAAAATTCATTGGAACATATTGATGAGAGCAAAATCAAAATATGTCAAATTTTTTTGACTTTATAAACCAAAATGTTTTCTAAGTTATATACACACCAAATACAAATATTTCACAGAAAAAGGTGTGAAAATTTGATGATCAACAGTACATGTATTATTAACTTTGAAAACTTTCTCTATGACAACAGCATCATTTGATGTGTACTTAAGAGATTGTGTAAACTTGCTGCATAAGAAGAATCAATAAGATATCATTGTACCCCATCCGCTTGAAAAGCAGGGGGGTATATAGTGATGGGGGTGTCCGTCCATTGGTCTGTGCGTCTGTTTGTCCTTCAGTCCATTACGCTTTGGGGTACCCATCTCTTTTCTGCAACTCCTCTTATACCACTGAAACTTAATGATACTTTCACAGACTGAATCTTTGTTACTTAGTGCCATTGTGAACTCCTATTTTACTTCTTGATTGGACACATACGAAGGGCATTTGAAAAGTTCTGAGAACTGTTTGATAAAATATTAACCTTTTAAATTACTGAATTTGATATCATAGGACAGATCACAAAAATATACACATATTGTGACGTCACTTTGTAATTTTTATTAAGTAATAACTCCAAAAATGACATCAGAATCTCGAATGTCTAGCATACTGACCATGAAAATGGCATAAGAGACACAATTTCAGTGAAGTAAAATTCTAAAGTCAACTTTTGTTCATTACTCGGATGCACGCTAATGGACACAACTGCCAGTTGGAAAAATGTTTACATAGACTACAGTCTATCATATGAAGTTATATTTAGGAGCTCCTTTAGTTCTGAGATGGGTTAAGAGAGTGTCAAACATAGCATGTTATTATCGAATCTCGTGCAAAATATTGAGTGAAAAAGACGATGCTGTTAGAAAATCAAAAAGTTTACAATCTCAGGAGAGTAGTGTACGGTGTTACAGAGTCTGCTGGCATTAATTCGTCAGGTGTTTTAACCAATTTTGCGGGAATGTTTAAAGCTCAAGAGAGGTTAAGCGAAGGGTGTCCTATATTTTCTCATAAAAACCAAAATGGTGCCGGTGTAGTTCTGACCCCAACCGTAACTCAATATGTTCGAAAATTTTAAATCATGGAAAATAAATAAATTTGTACATAGCAAAGAAACTCAGATTTATTTTTTTGAGTCGAAAGTCAAAGGCAAAAGTGAGTTTTGGATTGCCGAAGTTGAAATAATATGAAAAAATGCGCACAGAAACAAGTCCGGGGGAAGACTTTTGTTTGTCTTATTCGTAAACGGTAAGAGTCCTGACACACAAGATACATTTATGGAAAACTGCATTGTTACACTTCAGTTTTATATAGAATATCTTTTATTTAATATAGTGGAGAGCTTTATAATAGACCGAAAATCCATCTATATCATATAAATAAAAATATTTTATGAACGCCTAAGATAAAATTACCGTGCTTATTAACCAAGCAAAAAAATAAAATATGGAATTACTGATTTACTGTACCATTCTTACAGTCGTACACTACCTCCATACAAATTTTCTTTAAAATATCTTTTCAAACAGGTCTTTGCCAGCACTTTTTCGATGTTCTCATGTGGACAAAAAATGCGACTTTTCAGTATGCTAAACATTCAAGATTCTGACGTCATTTTTGGAGTTATTACGTCATAAATATAAAAAAAGACGTTAATATAGGTGCAAATTTTCCAGCTCTTTTTAATGGTACCAAACTTCTTAACTTCCTTGTAATGGTTAATATTTTAGCAAGCAGTTCTCAGAACTTTTCAAATGCCCCTCGTATATCAGGTTTCCCATAGCAAATAAGGACACTGCCATTCTTTCTATAATATTGAGGGGTACCCATCTCTTATCCCCAAATCGTCCTATACCACTGAATAATATTTAATGTTACTCTCACAGATTCTTTATTACATAATGCCATTGAGCACCTCCTATTTTTCTTTTTCATCCAACACTTATTTCGGATCTCTCATAGCAAAACATGGACTTTGCCATTATAATCATATGGGAGGCGGGGGTATACTATTGTGAACTTAGTGCTCACAGTACCTCTAGTTTAACTATGTGGATATGACATCAACACTATTTACCAATGTACCATTATACAAAACAGCACAATTTTTCAAGAGGTATGAGTTCTGTATATGAAATAACAAGAAACTTTATTCTTGTGGAGCCCTCTCCTTATATGTCATACATGTAATTATCAAGACATATAAATAGGTTCTATGATAGACAATACCGGTATGTACTTCTAATCTTATTTGTCAAATGCATGGAAAAGATGTTGCCTAGCTGTTAAATGAACCTTTTGTTTTTATACAGTGTTAATTTTTGTTAAATGTTACATTGTTATGGAGTCATTCATTGTGAATGTCATTGATGTCATTGACAATTGTATATTAGGCCATTATTAAAAATATCTTTGTTTCCCCTAACCTAATCCTTACTTATAAAGTAATTCACAGATACATGTATTGTTGAATTTGGATTTTAGACACAAACTTGACTAGATGTACTTACAATTTCGTGGTTTATATATATGATTAACAAGGTACAACATACATGATAGAATTAGAGATGACTGTTTTATTCTGACTGATGGAAATTTAGAGGACTTGTCATAAATACGTGTATTGGAGATTAACTTATGAAATATATGACACCAGTGTCCATTTCTTACTATTTACAAAGGGACAAGATTCTCAGACAACCAATGACTAGGCATCTGCTTATATTTTTTCAAACCTACTACATGTCAACAGCTTCTAGGACATGCACAGGCATTAGTGCTGGCAGCCCATCAGTCTTTAAAGGCCTGATTAAAGAACAGTGCACTGATATCATCTGAGAAATACTGGCAATCAAGCTTTACAAATTAATTCAAAAGGTTTAAAAACATATTTGGAAGAAAAGAGGATGTAAACAAGCAAAAATTTATTCAAAGTTAACCTACTATGCAAAAAACTGGATAAAAATCTAAGAAGAAAAGTTGATATAAGGGTCATATCCAATGTTATGGTCACTAGATTTATCAGTACATGTGTACCAAGACAAGTTGTATCCTGATCAACTTTCAACTAAGTAAACCCAATACATCAAATTCTTACAAAAAAGCAGAAGTCAACTTCTAAAGTAGGATGCTAGTTGACTAGAAACTGTTCTAACCTGTGTGTAAAATATTTGAAGAAACAACTTTTGAAATCCAACGCATTAGGAGAATGTTCAAAATGACTAATTCACATTATTGCATATTGTAGTAAAAATATTTGTGATTTGATCATTAATCAGTGAGATTTAGTGTTTTGTGCATAAGCTTGACCTTGATAAGGCTGGACTTACTACATACTACCTTAGCTATTTTAAAAATGGCAAATAAAGTGCTAGAAATACATGTACTGCCTTAGTGATTTAAAAATATTATTTTTTGTACTGACCAAATGCTTCATTAAGAATGTAGGGTTCTATGATAAGTTTAAAATGTGTGACTGATAGGATGCAATTGCTTTATAATACTTTGATCTCCTTCTCAAAACATCACATGTTTTGTCCACCATTTTGTTTCCATCAAAACTTTGAAAATTATTGTAGAACACAAATAATCTTTCTCATGCAGACTGATTATAATGGATTTATATTTTTAAAAAATGGATTTTTTTAATTTATAAAAAAATGAAATAAACTTAACAGACAAAAAATATATCAATCCACTTGATTTAAATAGAACAGTTGTGTTAAAGAAAACAAGGGATTTTTTTTTTTACTTTGGCCTTATCTTGTTTTGTTTTTTGTGCGTTTAGACATATCCTGTTAACTAATTGTTCATGTAGATAATAGTGCAATCCCTGACTGAGGCATTAAAGAAAAGCCCCATGCATGCAGGCTTCTAATAATTATTAGCTCACCTGAGTCGAAGGCTCAAGTGAGCTTTTCTGATCGAAATTTGTCGTCATCGTTGTAAACTTTTCACATTTTTGACTTCTTCTCAAGAACCACTGGGCCAATTTCAATCAAACTTGGCACAGAGTATCCTTGGGTAAAAGGGATTCAAATTTGTTCAAATAAAAGGCCACTTCTTCTTCCAAGGGGAGATGATTACGAAAGTGTGAAAAATTAATGGCATACGGTAATTTAAAAATCTTCTTCTCAAGAACCACTGGGCCAGGAAAGATGAAACTCATGTGGAATCATCCTCAGGTAGTGTAGATTCAAATTTGTTAAAATCATGACCCCCGGAGGTAGGGTGGGGCCACAATGGACAATCAAAGTTTAACATAGGAATATATAGGAAAAAAATCTTTAAAAATCTTCTTCTCAAGAACAGCAAAGCCATGATTGGTCATATAAATATGGAAGCATCCTCAGGTAGTGTAGATTCAAGTTTGTTCAAATCATGACCCAGGGGATAGGATGGGGTCACAATGGGAGATCAAAGTTTTACATAGGAAAATATATAGGAAAAAAAACTTGAAAAATCTTCTCAAGAACAGCAAAGCCTTGTTAAGTCATATTGATATGGAAGCATTCTCAGTGTAGATTCAACTTTGTTTGAATCATGACCTCCAGGGTTAGGGTGGGGCCACAATGGGGATCAAAGTTTTACATAGGAATATATAGGAGAAAAAAACTTGAAAACTCTTCTCAAGAACAGCAAAGCGATGTTTTGTCATATTGATATGGAAACATCCTCATGTAGTGTAGATTCAAATTTGTTCAAATCATGATCCCTTGGGGTAGAGTGGGGCCACAGTTGGGGATCATAGTTTTACATAGGAATATATAGGGGAAAAAACTTGAAAAATGTTCTTAAGAACAGCAAAGCCATGATTAGTCTTACTGATATGGAAGCATCTCAGGTAGTATAGATTCAAGTTTGTTCAAATCATATATCCCAGGGGTAGAGTTGGGCCACAATGGGGGATCAAAGTTTTACATAGGAATACATAGTAAAAAATCTTTTCAAGAACAGAAAAGCCATGTTTAGTCATATTGATATGGAAGCATCCTCAGGTAGTGTAGATTCAAGTTTGTTCAAATGATGCCCCCCACCTGGGGGTGGGGGGTGGGGGGGGGAGTAGGGAGGGGCCACAAATTTTTGACAATGGATTATTTATGAAAAAATCTTTAAAAATCTTCTGCTCAAGAACAGCAAAGCCATTTGTTACATTATATGGAATCATCCTCAGGTAGTTTAAAATTCAATTCCCCCCCCCCCCCCACACACCCCCAATTAAACTTTTCAATACTGAACTGATCTGTGCTTTTTCCTAGCCAATGTGCTCAGGTGAGTGATGTGGCCCATGAGCCTCTTGTTATATCAAGCTTTTTGGTATTTCTTCACAGCTATTTGATATATTCATAAATTTTCTATGCACCATACATAAAATGCCAAAACTCTCACAACAGACATGCTTGTAATATAATGTATAGCACCCAGTGTATTTACATTACTTTTAACAGGAACTCAAATAAAAAGATGAAAACAGATTCCAAACTCTCCACAATTAGTACTGTTTTAGATGAGTTGTGTGATGATGTTTTTACAACAGCATCAGAGTATAGGTAAGAGTTTCCAAATTTTCAGTTTAGGTTTGAATTTTTGGCATCGTTGCAAAAAGATCAGGTGCACATTAGTTGTTTCTGGTCCATCTGTGTATATTCTTATGTAACATTTTGACAACATGCATGTTCAATACAGTATTTCTATGTAGTAAAAGTTAACGAAGCCATGTCTCCATAGTAAGGAAAAGGACAGTTATAAATTGTCACCAAAGATCAGTTAATTAAGGAGGCTGGGGGGTCAACAAATTAACCATCAGATATAACTTACTTTTTTAGATATGATATCTTAGGCTGTCAACTATCATTTGGCAAAGAAAAAATTCATACATTTTAGTTTTAAAATTTGATCATTTTTGTATATCTTTATATGGAGCTCTTCTTCTAAAGGAGATCAATATAGTCTAAAAATGGCCACGACCACCCAGCCCTCTTAATTTAGTTGAATATATGTAGATCTTTTCAGGTCTTTGTTCCCTCACTTTTGCCAAGTTCTTAGGTCTTCTTTGCATGTTTATCTGAATCAAAGTTTTTTGTTATGTTTAATATTGTGAAATATTGACTTGTATCAACATTTCTAATATATGCCCTAGTTGAAAGCTTGAGTGTTAATTGCAGTAGGTGGAAACAAATTTGGGAGGGGGCACTGCCCTTAAAGCATAATGCCACTAGTAGTTAATAACCCATCCAATAATGTAATCATACAAGTAACTTAATTCCTTATATGGTTTAGTAATTATACACTTCATTATAGGTAAATTACATTACTGAACATTCTTTATGACCACATGTAACAGAAATATTTGCTGAAAATAGTGCCCACTCATTCTGAAAGTTTCATTTACTACTGCTAATTACATTGCATAATATCTGCCCCATATTTTTGCCACCTCTAAAAATTATACAGATCAAATCAGAAGATTATGTTAGAGTTTGACAGATTCACTGATGAATAAAAAATAAAATTTTCCAAAATTTGATTTAGAATGTGAGTGTAATTATTATTATTTTTTTTTTTTGCTAAAATTTTATATTGTAGTAAGAGAATGGAGAAACTTCAGTTCATCTCTCATTTAATCAGTGACAGGCTTTTGAATGTCCACGGAGAACGTCAACTCACAACTGACAAATCCTCTTGGATTATCTGTTTACAGGTTTGGTACATTATTCATTCTTAAGTATACAACACTGGGAAAAAAACTATCACTTAAGGTCGAAAATTTAGTAGTACATGTACTGCAATGAGGTTCACTACCATTCTCTGAGAAGTTAATATTTTTGGCAGTTTTGCTAACACATTGAAATATTGTATTTCAGCATATAGAGATCTTGACCCAGTGTGACCATTCACCGGAGGAGATGGTCAGGGGTTTTCTGGGAGTCCTTACTCAGCTGACTGCTATAATGGCCCAGAAGCAAACTGAGGATGAAGAATTATTGGGGAGGATTCTTTCTGTGATGATAAAGACTATAGAAAAAGTGGCACGGGCCCCATTGTTTCACATGATCAATGTGGAAAAGTTTTTGAACTGGTGCAGTTGTCTCTTAGCCCAGGAAAAACAAATTGTATGTCATTCAGATATGTGATACATTTTTGTTGGTTTATAAGAAGTCATTCATTTTTCTTTTAATTATTTTTGTTCCATTTTCAGTATTCTCAGGCCATTTGTCAGAAGTTGGAACTTCTACTGGAACTCTCCTGCAGAGTTATGGTTACTGATTTTCAGTTACTGCCTGAACTCTTTCACATTATGAACAAGGTATAGAGGGAAATATGGATTTATGCAAAAATAAAATAAAAAAGAATGAAAGAAATATTAAAAGAATTTAAGAAAAGCATTATACTTCAATATTTTTATATTTTCCCACAGGGACTGCAAGGTTCTCCCGTCACAGTAGTCCCATGTTCTGTTGTATTATTTCTAAAGGAGATTTCTCAGGTATTATTTATAATGATACACTCCATTGTGTTGATATCTAGATATTTGATATGTTAGAATTATTGCCTTTCCATTTACATGTTTACATATGTCATGATACTATGAAAACCATGTATAAGCCACACTACTGTTAATAAAGTGTACCAATATTTATTCAAAAGGTTCTTTGAGTGCTTTCAAAGAAAAAAATAAACAACGGAAGTTTATTATTCATGTATTTTTCCAATGTTTCAGTTGCTGAAGAGATCTTATCTGAAAGAAGATGTAATTGGTGTATGTCAGACAGGTGTCCTGGAGATTTACAGATACCTGAAGACACACCTGGACAAACTGCAGGAATCTTCAGAGAAACTGACCGTTGGTCATGTCTGGTCTCTTTCGGCTTTGGTACAGATTCTACCTAGAGAGCAGATTGATTCTAATAATGTCACATTTATTCTTAACTTCTCACTGAAAATTCTGGAAGACTTACAAGTAAGATCCATCTTAAAATGGCCTACTGACTTTAGTCTTCTCCGAGTCTCTGATAAATATATTCCAAGAAAGATAACCCACAAGAGTAAAAAATAATGTAAGATCTCTTTGATGTCCAATAAAATATATTTTGAAAAAGAAAACTCACAAGATGTCTTTGATGATTGTTTGAAATTTATGTTTTGAAACATTATTCCATGATGTACTGTAATCTTATAAAGTGATTTTTTTTTTTGTTGGCAGGGAGATCTTTGCCTGACAGGTGCCTGTTTGGAGTATATACAAAGTCTCTGTCTATCTCTGGATCCGGATGTTAAGCTGCTAAGCTGTGAACAGAAACTGACTTTGTGGACAACATTAAAGACAGTGTTTAAACACATGCTTATGCAAAATGGCCAGAAAACATCTATCAAAGGAGAAAGCCAGTCATTGAAGTGTCTAGTGGCTAGTATCCTTAAGTCAAAAGAACCAGATAGAAAGTTTGACTACTTTACAGACTTTCCCATGGAATGGACATCACAAGATGAAGAGAAGCAGCAGAGCTGGGCCTGGATGAGGAAGAAGATGATGTTTGATGGTTGTTTTGAGAGAGATGGCTGGAGACTCATTTTTCAGCAGATCCAGAGCACTATTGGGGCACTTATCTTCTGTGTGGATGCTGATCAATTCCAGACCATTATTGACACTCTGGTATTAGATTGTGTAAGTAGGGACTGAAATAAGTTTTAACTTAAAACTGATTAAATCAAAGGGTAATTCTGTAATAGAAAGAGTATTTCTTTAATATATCATGTGCTTAAAGAGTTTTTCTTTCTTAATTCCCTTGATGACAAAGATTTTGTTAGATTTTGTTTATACTGATAAGCTGTAAAGCTTAAAGTAATAATAAAGAAGTCTACACTTTAACATTGCTCATCATATTGAAGTATTTAATATGAAGACCTTACACGTGGCACAAAGGTAGGTAATAACTAGAAGGTGTCATTACTCTTACAAAAGGTCATTTAGAGAAGAATAGGGTCACACTAATCAGAATTGTAAAATTCTTGGCTGGTCCATAATTTTGTAATTAAAGCTCATCTTAAGTACTGAGGATAGTTATTGTAGAAGGTGACCCTGACCCAAGATAATTAGGTAAAGGTCAGGAGGATTGGAAGTGGATTATTCTTGTCCTGTCCATATCTTTGTAGTGCAGAAGTATCAGAAGTTTATATTTTGTACATGTCAAGTAATGTGGAAATATCAAAAGCTTGTAGTTTGCAGAAAGTTAGGTAATGATCAGAGGGTGTGACATGACCATTACAACCCTTATCCATTGTCATTTGGACAATATCAATGTCATATTTGTAGCATTTAAAATCGGCCAACTCTCAGGAGCCTTCTTGTTTCACACACAAGTCTTGTGTGAAATTATATTATTATTCATTAGAAATTAAATCATCAGAGCATCAAAAAATGCTAAATTTTAGTGATGATAACATTAATTGCATCTAGAGTTTATTTTATTTGATAGCATCTTGAAGAATTGGTCCAGCACAACTTCTACAAAATGTTTGCATCTGTCCATCTCTGGAAACAAGTCATTCAGAATGAATTAACAGAAGAAAAAGGTGCTATTGTTGTCCAGGCTGTGGAGAAGGTGTTGTTTAATTCTAACTTCATTTGAAACACAGATGAAAAAGTACAGTTTTGATTTCAAGTTTATTTCAAGTGAAAGAAATACAGTGTTATGCATCCTAAATGTAACTTTTAAATGTACCTCCATTGCACCAAAATTGCAAACAGGGAATAAAATATCCAGTTTTAATTCTATGAGATACATGTACCTTGTCTTTCTGTAAGATGAACTTTTTTGGCTTAAGAAAAATCAAAAAAATAAATACTAGAATTTTGAGATTCTTTGAATTATATACTTACATTGAGAAATTTTTAGGGATAATTAAAGGTGTCTGAAGGATGAGGTGTTTTTATTGGTTTTACTGGTCTTTAACCAGATAATTTTTTATTTCACTGAGATGAATGACTATAGTTGTCGAGGTAAAAGACAAATTCTGTCAAATTTTGCCACTCAAATAGTCTGTGTTTTACATATAAACTGGATTTCTCCAAGAATCTTGAAGAATTTGTTCAGCATAACTTGTACAAAATTATTTTTTTTTTTTGTCAGTTTTTGTTTTCAATGAATGAAGTTGCCATAGTCACCAAGCACAGAATAATGTCATTATGTGGTGAAATTCCCTCAAAATGCTACTCCCCCTGTAGTCGTGGTCTGTTTTTCTGTTTTTAATAAAATTTTGATAAGTTCAGAAAACATTAGAATAAATATTTGTGTAAATGTTAATCATCTGTGTAAGTATTGATCATTTATATGTAAATGTTAATGATTTGAGTAAATGTTAATCTAAAAGAAGAAATGTTACAGGTCCAAGAGAGACCTTTCTCTTTCACAATATTCACAACAAAGACTACGGGTTTTCCAGCATAATATTGAGATGATGGTTTATTATTCAAAACAAACCTTTGCATTCAAAACATTTATTTTATTTAGTATAACTTAGTTATTTTTTAATCTTTTATATATAGTGAGAATAATTGTGGTACTGAATCCGTTTCCTAGTCTACCTCATCTTTTCTTTATCATTCCTTTATAAGTGGTTAAGTTAAAAGACAAACGCTGTTGAATTCTGCCCACTGAGGTTTGCTGAAGTAGCGAGCATTTTACTCATAAACTCGAGTTCTTTTGAAATAACAGTAAGCATTATAAAAGCAGAATTTTAAACAAGCGAACGGAGGGACAATGAACCTTGTCAATTTCTTCACAGGTGATGATTCATTTCCAGTCAGCGATGTTACAGTTAAAGGACATACAAGATGATCATGTAATTCTCAGTTTGGCAGTACCAATAATGAAATGTCAGGCTGACATGCTAAATTTTGGACCTGTAAGTATTTAGTCTTTCATTACTTCTAAAGACATCTAGCAGAGTATACAGGTATCTTTTTGTTTACTTTTCATTTTGATAAAGATTTTGTAATGTGGAACTTCAAACACTTACCTTTATCAAATGCTTTTTCTAGTTTTAACAAAAGATATCACACACAAATCAATTTTATCTTCTGCACAGAAGAGTTACATGGCTATTTTTCCAGGATTTGCAGTACTTGCACACACATTGCTTCATAATGTTCACAATTAATAATGAATGTTAACTAGAGGAACTGTGAGCAGTAAGATTTTGATACCCCCTTTCCCCACTTCCATATGAGTGGGATGGCAAAGTGCATTTCTTCACAGTATATTAATGAAATTCTGTGAAAGTTCCATTGAATTTCATTCAGGGTTTTAGGAGCAGGAGTTTGCTCTAACAAAATGGATACCTCCATTATCAAGTATAATGGCAAGGTCCATGTTTTGTTATTAAAACCCAAAATATTTGTCTAATTAGAATGTAAAATAGGCAGTCCACAATGGCACTATGTAATAATCTCATCAAATTTATTCAGTGGTATAAGTGGAGTGGCAGATAAGAGATGGATAACCCTAGTGTTAAATGAAAAAGTGGTAAAGTCCATGTTTTGCTATGGGAAACCCCAAATATCTTTCTAATGGAAAACAGAAAAAACAAGCTTATAAGAAAGTACCTTGGATGGGCGATTTTGCTTCGTTATAAAAGTAATTCATTATATCTGCTAAATACACAATATATTTTAAAGCCATGACCCTGTAATGAAAATGACTTTGTTGTAAGTCTCAATTCATTATAAGTGTCTTCACTATAAGAGTATTATACTGTATTTCTAAAAATGTATCTTTTTTTTTTGGTCTGTCTGGAAAAGAGAGAACAATGATATTCAGGGTGGAAAAGGCTAGAATGAGTTTGTGTTATTTAAATACATTGTACTTCATGTGTCTAGAAATGAAGATGATCTATTTTTTTTCTTATGGGAATCAGAGAACAATGGTATTCAGGATGGAAAAGTTGTCTGTCACCTTTCCATTTTCTAAGATGTCTGGACTATATAGCTAGAAGGGTAATGGCATACACCCTTTTAATAATGCAGTTATAAATAGTTCAGTTTAAGCAGGTATTGATATTTTAATCTGTATTTTCACCTTGTTCTCTTTTACTGTTTTTGTCCATTATTGTACATTTTCCATAAAATTTTAAATATTTTCACCATCTCTGAAACATATAAACAATTTAAAGTAAACTTGGTTGACAGCAGAGTTCTTTGGTTAAACAGGAACAAAATTTTAATTTAAAAAAAAAAAGAAATTGTTTAAATATGTGTGTCATGAAGTTCTTTTGAATTTTGTGCAGGCTGGCCAGGCCAGTAGAGAAAACGATAAGCCGTAGAATAACACCCCCCCCCACCCCCCCACCCCCCCAATAAAATAAAGAGAATATCAAAACAAACACACTCTCTCACAAAGAAAGAAAATATAACTTTAAATTGCAAACCAGATACTAGTAATACTGACAATGAAATAAAGAATTAACTTTTATCACATTCAATTGTCAATAAAACAGATGATGGTTTTAAAACGTAGATAATTATAACAGAAAACAAAGTATCTCAAAGTTCAACACTTGTAATAAGTTTTGTAGAAAAAATTTAGTTTTAATCAAGTGATATCTGTAAATATGTTATCCGTTAAATTGTAATGAACTTCTCACTCTTTTATTTCTTTAAACTGAATTGTAAGTTTGACTATTCAAATTTGTATGCTGTCACAGAACTGCTACCACCAATTTCTCTACATGCTCTGTCTACATACACCACGGCCTTTGTTGTCAATTTGTTTTGGCCTCAGTCTCAACACATGTCCCAAAATTCCTCCTGAGATCCTAACACCTACTTCTGTCTTGTGGATTATAATCATAACCCCACCTCACTGAAACAATAATTACTTGGTCTAAAACCTGTACACTACTCACTCAAACAACAAGACTTAGTATAATCATAACCCCTCCTCACTGAAACAATAACTACTTAGTCGAAAACCTGTACACTACTCACTTAAACTACAAATAGTAATAAATTTACAACAAAACCCACAAACTATATACACGAGAAAATAGCTTACTGACTGGAGAAGCAAATGCCCTTGCAGTTAAATTACTGACTTCCTGGCTACCTGTTTACCAGACTATAACTTCTGGAATTCACCATGGACATTGACTACAGGGCAAATTCGAAACATGCCCACACTGATCAAACCAGTTAAACTAAAAATAGCCCTATTTACGAAAACTCTTAACTACAGAACCAAACTAGGGATAAAAGAAACATTATTCAACTTCATCACAATATGCATATACTTTTTGAAAAATTGAACCATATGTAGGCTGTTTAACAATACTAGCATTTCAGTCCTTTCTCAAATACTGTAAACATGGATGTTTTTATGGGGTAAAATTTTGCGATTTCCATGGAACTAAGCATTTGCATGGGGCTTATTTTTGTGGAAGTTAAGGAATTTCTAAAATGTGTTGCTTTGTTGTTTAGTATGGCTTCATTAACCCCAGAATTTGCCAAACTTTCTCCTACTTGAACATTTTAACATTTACAGTAACTGTATTTGATGTCTCCTAAAACTTTATAATATTTATTTCGAATTATACCAGATAAATGAAAAGCGTAAAGATGCAAAAATTGTTGACTGAACAAAAGCTTTTAATGTACCAAGTACTGTGCATATCTAATCGTACATTTCAGAATTATTGCTCTGTCAATGTTTTGTGATTTATGGTTTAATGGCTCCTAGAAGCTTCTTTTAAGATGCATGTACACATGTATGTGTGTTAGTTTACCTTTTTTTAATTTACAGGTTTAATTAAAACATATATTTATAGCTATTTGTTTTTCAATACATGAAATAAAGTAATTTACACTCCCTTTTGCTCTACTGGTCATAGACCAGAGGAGCTTATGTGATATTGGCTGATTTTAATACATTTTGGTTCATAGTAATAATAAAAAATAATTTGTTTTTATTTTGATAACAACTAATGTTGCCGTATCATGAATACAAAAAGATTATTCTGTGAAATTCTTGCAAAATGCTCCTCATTCTACAGTTTTGGTCTGATTTTATTATGATACACAAGATTCATGTGTAGTTTTTTTTTTAAATTTTGTTTAACTTTTTTGCCATGGTAATTATAAAGTATATTTTATATTTGAATATGCTACTCCTACAGTTTCTCTGAATTAGATGTTCGAACCTTTTAAAGAATGTTCACATCAACACGCATACCGGTGATTCTGTGATTCAAATTTTGATTTGGATTATTCAATTGCTCTTGATGGTTCAAATGGAATAAAGATAATTAATATTTGAAAATGCCAGTCCTTCAAGGGGAAGTTATGTAGGAAATAGTGAAAATAGAGTTGGGTCATTAAAGCTTCTTGTCAAGATTATCTGTAATAGAAGACATAAGATTTGAACAAAAGCATACTTTCTGTATATATATTCAAGTACTTTAAAAAGTTACTTTTCAGCAGGCCTTAAGTTTAAGTTGCATTTATATGGAAACATTCACATGAAGTGTAAAATCTTGTTTGTTTGTTTACATCTTAATTGGCCCCTCTCGGCCAGGTAGTGCAACAATTTTATGTTGATCTGCATAGGAAAAAGTAAAGAAACCTCAAGATTAGCGGGATTCATATTAGTCAAATTAATATAGAAGCATATCTATATATAGTGTGGTTTTAAATCATGGAATCAAATCTTAAGGTGATCGAGGGTGAATCTTATTCTGATGACGACCGTCTCTGGTCGAAACCTGTCAACTAAATAAATTCACTTGTGCATTCTCACGAAGTGTTGGTGTTTACTACTTTTGATCCAGACCCTATTGAATATCACGTGGTATCCACTCGTGAGAATCTTCGGTAATTTCAACCTTAAGGTGTTGGTTTCCAGTTTAATTTTGTTCAATATACAAAAGTTTGATTATAACTGAAATAAAAATAAATTATATGTTTCAAAATGCTTTTCCTTAAAATACTTTTGACATGCTATGTGTCTTAACCTTTCTGTTAATTTTCATTAAATATTTTTACTTTACACTGAAATTCAGACTGAAAAAAGTATAAAATCTACTTTAAGTCTTAATCTCATATAGCTTACAGTCTCACCAGAGATGTTGATTAAAAATTCAGTAGTATTATGTACAATTATTGGCTGTGATTGACAAGATACTATAAATGGGTCTTAATTAAAGCTTTGCATTTAGCTTTTATAAACAACCATCCCACTTCTTCATGACAATTAATGTTGATGTGTAAAGTTAATGACTGTAAATAAAAGAGAGTGATCTAAACATGGTATCTACAAGAATTATTTATAAGGACCCAGCTCTGTGTTTACCCTGAAGTGATCAGTATGTCCAGCTGTCTATCTGTCCATCAAATTTCATATGTCCAAAGCATATTTTCTCCTCCCTTGGCCCAGTCAAGCTCAGACTTCACCCATAGATTGCCCATGGTTAGAGGGTATGCAGTGATCTTGAACCAAGTTTCTGGATCAAAGGTCAAGGTAAAACATCTTTGTCTTCTTTTTCCTCCTTGGCCTTGTCTTGCTTATCCTTCACTTACAGAGTAAAAGTAGTGACATTTAAAACAAATCTTTGGATGAAATGTGGAGATAACGAACAGTAATCAAGCTCAAAAGTCCACTGAAACAACACAAATCGGAAGCAGAGCAAACACGGACCTCTAAAAAACATCAGAGGCGGGATCAGGTGCCATGGAGGACTAAGTATCCCCTGTGGACCATTCACACCAACGGTTTGCTCATTGGTATGATTGGGCAAACAGAAAAATCCGCAGACAACTCAGTCTTCAAACATAGATCAAAAGCGAAGGTAAAAAAAATCACTGTGTTAAATCCTTGTTTTGAATATTTTCTCTCCCCTTGGCCCAGTCTTGCTCAAACTTAAGACACAAAGTGCCCATGGATAGAGGTTGTGCAGTGATGTTGACCAGTTTTCTTAATACAAGATCAAAGTCATATTAAAACATCTGTGTTTTGGATTTAAAGCATAGAGAGTGTGTAGTGACCGTAAACCAATTAATTTTAATTTCAATTCAATTTTATTGATATGATTTACATCAGAATGTCTTGTAATACAATAATGTAGATTAAAATACAAATGTTAAAACTTTAAAAAGTAGACAAAATTTTACTTTAAGACTCTGAATTTCTAGGGAAAATAAAATTTTACAAAAATTATCACTCTCAAGTTAGTCTTTTTTGATAAGGTACATGTACTTACTAATCCAATGAGTTGTCTCACAATGGGCATTCACACAGTTGGAAGGCTCTACACAGGGAATTTCTTATCATAATAAATTGAATTCAGAAATTTTATGTAATGCAAAAGTCAGTATTTTATATGATTACTGCTCCAAAGCCAGATTTGTAATAATGATAAATGTGCAATATAGCTATGTATAATATATAATTTTATCGGTAGGAAAAATTCTTTCAGTGTAAATAAATGCCAACCTAATAAGCAAAGTGATCAAAAGCATAATCAGGAATCTCCATTGGCACCATCACTTAGATTTTAAACTTATTTGGCTAATGTTCGAGTTCATTAGCATCACATAACCAGGTTTCTTTGCATGGACAATAGTATTAATACAGTTGAACTTCAGTATCTCAATCACCTATATCTCAAATACCATGGATATGTTGAAGTGCTTGTGAAGTACCCACCATTTATTCTTTAGGTATTTTACCCTCAATATCTCGAATCCTGGGATATCTCAGGTTTTATTTTGTTTCACCCATTCAAGATAACAAGAATTGACTGACTATTTTTGCTTTAAGGACTTATCGCATGATCTTTCAAAAATCATAATTTTATGAGAAATATTATCTACAAACTTGTTTATTAAAATACTGAATACAATAAACGTTGTTGAAAGCATATTTTATGAGATATTGAGAGTTGAAATTCAAATACGGTATAGCAATATGCATATTTCAGTCGGATTTCGGTGAAATACTGCTCTGACGTTATAAGCGACAATTCAGTGATAGAGAGATGAAAATATGCACACTATTTCTGGAATTATCAACGAAAAATGCAGCTTACTTACGAAAAATGCCGAAAAAATAATTCCTAACGACTGCTTTTCAATTACTATAGAAATGTTTACTAGGTCTAAGGTGTAAGGCTTTTGAGATATTTTCGTTTTTTCATTCCAAAAATTTAGAATCTGTAGCTCTGATTCAGGCAATGTTTCGTAATCGGAAAATTATTTTTCAAGACCGCCATCCTTTACAAAACTTGCATAAATCAATATCATTTTAAAAACGAAGAATAACAAAGTTATAGAATATTAAACTTGTGAATCAAATAAGTTAATAAGATGATAAGATGACAAATCAAATTGTATTGCGATGGTGAGTTTCTTCGTCTTCGCCGCGTCTCCCTTGCTATCGTCGCTGCTATTTTTACAATGTTAAGAAATTTTTCATATTTTTCTTGCTGACAATTCTAATATATAAGGTTGGATGTTCAATTTCATATCGTGTCACAGGGTCACATGATTGCTATCTAATTAACTTAGATTTTTAAATCAGGGGTTTTCATTTGAGTGAATAATTGGTTAATTACCACGGTTTATCTGCAGTTACACACAAAATTTATAAACTGTGGTCATAAGGAACATTTTACGCTTTTAATTTCAAATAATTTAGAAACATGCGATAAGTCCTTTAAGACATACATCTTATGACATTCCATCCAACAAATATACAAAAGTGCAGTTTGTTTTGTAGCCTTGTATTACATTGTTACGTGGTATTTTATAGATTAAAATAAATACAGAATTAATTGACCTAGAACATTAAACAGAAAATGATCTTGTGACATTTTCATGTACTTCAGAAGCATGTTGTGTATGGAATAGAAACATTCTTATGTCCTTTTGACTGCAGATTGTACATAACAGATGATATCATACCAAATTTGATAATCAATTAGGTGTTAATTATTAACTGTATCATTTTTACTAGCTCACCTCAGCAAGTGGGTGGGTGGGGTGGGGGTGGGGCTTATGTAATACCCTAGACCTCAGCATCCCAGGTTAAATTTTTTGGAGCAGATTTCTTATCAAGTACTTCTATGCCTTATATTTAATCACAGATACATGGACAATGCCTCCGGTATATTTCATTGTACCAGTCAAGGTTTCAGATATGTTGCAATTTCAGCTAAAGAATGACCAAGTTAATGTTTTTGGAGCTGGTCTCATTTCCAAAAAACTTTAAGCCCCTTATTGAACAAATTTGCATGGATGATACATCTAAGGATGCACACTACTAGACTTGCTTCGGATGCTGGATCTGACCTACATTTTCCGAATGAGTGACCAGGCAAAAGTTTTTGGAGCAGATTCATTCTAAATAATTATTTGCCTTGAGTTGACCAAACTTGCACTGATGATACATCTAAGGATTCAAACTACTGGACTTGCTTTGGATGTTGAATTTGACCTATATTTTCTAGATAAGTGACCAGGTTAAAGTTTCTGGTTCATTCTAAAGTGACTATAAGCCCTTTGCTAACCAACTTTGCACTGAAGATACATATATTGATACACACTATCTGAGTTGTTTGGATGTGGGATTTGCCCTACTTTTTCCAGATGAGTGACCAGCTTAAAGTATATTTGAATCAGGTTCATTTCCAAGAAACTCTAAGGCCTACCTGAACCAAACTTGCATGGATGATGCATCAAGGGATGCACAATAATAGAGTGGTCTAAGATACTGGATTTGACCTACATATTTTTCAGATTAGTGGCAAGGACTTTAGGGTTTTTAGAAGGTGGGGTGCAGTGCATTGAACCAAACTGTATGTCCTAGCTTGTTTGTCCATCATGCTGAATGGAAGTTATATATTTTTTGAAGAAGAATGTTCTGGTGCAAAGCCAAGTTAATTTATTTGAGAAGTAAATCAAACTTCAAAATCAAAGTGTTTATCTTGATTCAGGTAATGCACATGTAAAAATATGAAAGCCCTGTCTTTTCAGGTACAAAATGTATGGCCAAGGTTAAAGTATTTGAAAACTATGTCTATAAACTTCAAGACCATGAGATCAAAAATCAAAGTATATTTAAAATAGATCTTCTCATAATATTAATGCACATGTGAAATATGAAAGCCCTATCTTCTCTCATTTAAAAGTTATTACTGAGGTTAAAATTTTTGAAAAGTAGATCAAACTTCAAGGTCTTGAGGTCAAAAATCAAAGTACATATTTGAAAAGGATTTGTCATAGGTAATGCACTTTTCAGTGAACCATCTTTAATGTGGTCATTTAAAATGTTATTGTATTTGTTCTCTGAATAAATAACCAATTCTCCAAATATCTTTATCATTAATTTAAACTGCTCATGAAACTTGATCTTAACGAAAACTTGTTTTGATAGTTGACCAATTTTTTTCATGCAAATGGTTCTGTGTAAATTATATTAACATTTATTTGATTTCATTTTATTGCTTTTTTTTCAGTCTTTGATGTCCTCCCAGTGTGCTACATTGGCTCTACAAAGTTGTGCATATATCCCATTATGCACCTCATCTCATTACCCAGCATTCAATGCTGTATGTGCGGTGTTGACTTCCATGATGGTACACCATACAGAGGCAGCCCTCAGTGTCATACCGACCTTCATCAGCTGTGCTAACCATATCCTTTTGAAGAAAAGAACATGTGTTGAGATAAAAAAAAAAATTCTCTTTTGTGATTTTGGAAAGGAACAAAGTATGGTTGCTATTACTGTTTGCAAGAAACCCTATAAAATTCATTATATTGAATGTGTACTAACCAAGAAGCAATATTTAATTATAAATGATTTTTACTTTCTCTATAATGTCACACTCTTCTTTGAAAGTAAAAGGCTCTCTTTGACCCTTGTGGAAGTCACTTAGAATAATACAAAACTATTAATTTGTGTTGTTGTGCCAGAACTGATTTTAAATGAAAACAAACATAAAGGCCAGCTATCCAGATTTTCTAGTTGCTCTGTTAGGAGGAGGAAGGGGAAACATATGTGCTTTTTATTAATTGTTATATGTTATCTGAGTTTCCTTAATATGCAACGTTTGATGAAGTTTGTCATAGCAATGGGAAACCAAGAAATATTGATTGAAACAAATACTGCAACTGAGGCCAGAAATTGTGCACATAACCTCAACAAGTAAGACAGTAGACTTTTTGTTTTTTCTAAAATAGTCTTATTCTTATTAATTAAAAAGAAGGTCACATAAATGTCAACATCCATTTATGTCTGTATTGATGCTATACATCTTAGCTCACCTGGGCATGTGGCCAAAGTGAGTTTTTCTGATCAAAGTGTGTATGTACATGCCATGAATATGGCCGAGGCATATAGAGTTTGTCATGTCCATCTTCTGTCCTTCTTCCATGCTTTGCATTTAGCTCATTTCAACCTCAGTTTCAAAGACACTGTTCAAGATATTTTTATCAAACTGCATATGTTATAAATATTGATGAGAGCTGTTCAACTGCATTATCATTTTTTTTAACTTGACCTTTCCTTTGACCTTGACTTCCTTTTTTCTTAATTTAGTTTTTAGCTCAGTTTTAAAGAAACCATTCAAGAAAGTGTAATCAAACGTCATATGCTGATATATACCGAAGAGAGCTACATGTATTAAACTGCATCATCATTTTTTTAATTTGACCTTTCCTCTGACCTTAACCTCATTTTTCTTAAATTAGTGTGTAGCTTAGTTTCAAAGGTACCATTCAAAATATTTCTATCAACCTTCATAGCTGATACATATTGGTGAGAGCTATTCAACTGCATCAACATTTTTGAGAGCATTTTTGACCTTGACCTTTCATTTGACCTTGACCTAACTTTTCTTAAATTAGTGCTTAGCTCTGTTTTGAAGAAACCATTCAAGATAGTGTAATAAAACTTTCATATGCTGATACGTACTGATGAGACCTACTTAACTGCATCAACATTTTTTTTACCTTGGTCTTTCCTTTGACCTTGCCCTCACTTTTCTGAAATTAATGTTTAGCTCATTTTTAAAGAAACCATTAAAGAAACCATTCAAGAAAGTGTAATCAAACTTCATATGCTGATACATACTGAAGTAAACTATTCAACTGCATCAACATTTTGACCTTGAACCTTTCCTTTGACTTTGACCTCATTTTTCTTAAATTAGTGTTTAGCTCAGTTTTAAATAACCATTCAAGATATTTTTATCAAACTTAATATGCTGATAAATATTAGTGAGAGCTATTCAACTGCATCAAAAAAGTTTGACCTTAAATTTTCATGTGACCTTGACCTCACTCTTCCTTAATTTGCTTTTTGCTTAGTCTTAAAGAAACCATTTAAGATACTTTTATGTAAGCTTATGCACTTATACATAATTTGACAAGAATTTATCATCTATATCCATTTTTTTTAGATTTCAATTTCAATTTTAAAGAAACTATTCAAGATATTCTCATCAAACTTCATACACTCATACAGATTTTCATGTTGCATCAGTAATATACCCTTGGTAGGGCATTCATGTCTTATGGACATATTTCTAGTTTGATATGTCTTACATACAATTTGTAGCATTCATTCGAACTTTTTAACCCCTTTGTGGAAAACCTTTGAACAATGAAAGTAATTGATGGACTTTCAGAAAAGTCTGAGATCTACCAAAAATTTTATAAGAGTAATTTAGTGTCTGTAATGATTGTGGTCTCTCTGAGAGTTTTCACATTCTTATCTTCTTGTAAATGTGTTTTTAAATTTCTTCACTCTTGAAGTTCATGAAGCTACTATACAAGGAGTTAACTCAGATTTCATTGTTTAATATCCTAAGGTTGAGAACTGTTTCTTATGACCTTTAAATTAGACTGTAAGAAAATGATATAAAAATGTTATTTGAAAGGCCTGTTAACCCCCCCCCCCCCATTCTAATATGCTTAAATTGCCCCATCTTTATGTATCCAAAAGTTTGTGGTAAAAGTTGGAATCTAACCCCGACTCCTCAAGAAATGAAGGGTTTCTAACAATTTTATTTATTTAATGCTGGTCAAAGCCAAGGAATGAAATAGGGTTTGTAACAATTTTATTTATTAAATGCTGGTCAAAGATTTTTCATATCGGTTTTTTTTCTGCCCCCCCCCCCCCCCCTTTTCCCCATTCAAAAATGAATATGCAGTAAAATTCATTTATAGCTAAGTCCTTAAGTTCTAGGGACCCATTTATTTCCTCTCTCTCTCTCTCTCTCTCTCTCTCTATATATATATATATATATAACAAATTGATCATGAAAAATATAGCAAATTCACAATTTTTAATGTTTTCCGTCAATTATGACTATTAGTTTTTTTGTACATGACTGCATGTCCATTTCTTCATAAAGAAATATGACTCAGGTGAGCATTGTGGTATATTTTTTTTTTGTTTGTTTTAATAGTGATTCTAATTCAATTCTATGTTCAACAGCAAACATGAAAATAGAAAAATAAAATGATTTAATGTGAGATGTCTGACATTAGATGATAATCATTTGAGCACAAATATTGCAAGATTACCTTTGCAGGTTGATGTGAATGGTAATAACATTAAAACATATATATATATATATATATATATATATATATATATATATATATATATATATATATATATATATATATATATATCATAATTTATTATGCTCATTGTTTTTGTATTTTTACAGGTTATATGTTCTGATAGCTTCTCATAAGCTAGATTTCTCCAAGGTAGCAGTTTATTTGGTATCTAATTTTGTATCAGAGGTTCAAAAAATGACACTACTTCCAACTGTCAAGGTAATAGAAAATATTATTTGTTATTATACCCCACGCAACTAGTTGCGGGGGGTATAATGCTTTTGACCCGTCCGTCAGTCAGTCAGTCAGTCAGTCCGTCAGTCCTGTTTTTCTTGTCAGCGCAACTCCTCCTAAACCGCTGCACAGAATTTCGTCAAACTTTGCAGATATTTAGGACACAATGTGTAGATGTGCAAACTACCAGGAAATTCCGATTCCTTTATTTTTTCTGAGAATTTCGGCACTTTTCAACTTAGATTTTTGGCCATATCTTGAATATAGAGATGAACAGTTTCTCAGTGCAACTCCTCCTAAACCGCTGCACAGAATTTCGTCAAACTTTGCAGATATTTAGGACACAATGTGTAGATGTGCATATTACCAGGAAATTCCGATTCCTTTATTTTTTCTGGGAATTTCGACACTTTTCAACTTAGATTTTTGGCCATGTCTTGAATATAGAGATGAACAGTTTGTCAGTGCAACTCCTCCTAAACCGCTGCACAGAATTTCGTCAAACTTGCAGATATTTAGGACACAATGTGTAGATGTGCATATTACCAGGAAATTCCGATTCCTTTATTTTTCTGGGAATTTCGGCACTTTTCAACTTAGATATTTGGCCATATCTTGAATATAGAGATGAACAGTTTGTCAGCACAACTCCTTTTAAACCACTGCACAGAATTTCGTCAACTTTTGCAGATATTTAGGACACAATGTGTAGATGTGCATATTACCAGGAAATTCCGATTCCTTCATTTTTCTGGGAATTTCGGCACTTTCAACTTAGATTTTGGCTATATCTTGAATATAGAGATGAACAATTTGTCGGCGCAACTCCATTTAAACCGCTGCACAGAATTTCATCAAACTTTGCAGATATTTAGGACACAGTGTGTAGATGTGCATATTACCAGGAAATTCGGATTCCGTTATTTTTGCCCTAAGAGTTTTGTATTATTGAAGAAACTTTCCAGCTAGGTAATAAGGAAATCCACACTGGAATCAGCCTTTGTAATGACATTTTATGTGAAATATTTTATGACCTTAAAAGACCCCTATTGATTTTGAGATCAAAATATTAATGATTTAACACACACATAAAATCTTTAATCTTGGATAGTTCTCAACCCCCCCCCCCCCACCCCCACCCCCCACCCATCCCCCTCAAATTGGTGCTTTGCCTTAAATAATTTCATAAGTACAGTATATAAACATTCATATGAGTACATCATAATTTTGTTTCCATCAACTATTTAAATGTGTAAGTTGTTGTTGGACATGGACTTACACTCATTAACAAATTGAAATCACTGAGGAATTTAAATAACAGTTTGTCAGCATAACTCCTGCACTGAATTTCCTGAAACTTTGTAGGTATTTCAGACATAATGTATAGATTTGTATATTACCAAGAAATTTTGATTCCATTATTTATCTAGAAACTTCAGCCCATTTAAATTTGTAACATACAAAGATTTGAATGTCCTTATATGCAAGAAGTTTTGATGTGATGATTTTTTGCAAGTAATGCCCCTATTTGAATTATACTGTGTATTTAAAATGCACTATGCTATTCAGTACATGTTGCATTGTCGAGTTTTGGGGGAGCGTGGGGTATGTGAGCTTGCTCACTTTTTCTTTCATTTATAATATGGCAAGAAAATCCATGAACAGAAAAAAAACTTGGCATATAGCCCCCCCCCCCATTCATCCCCCCAAAAATAAACAAGGAATAAAAAAAAAAAACACTCTCTGTGAAGAGCAACAAGAGTTTTAGTGAAATGGGAATTTTATGAAGTTAGGAGACTCCCCGTTTATGTAAAACTCGCGTATTGCAACATAGCTACAAACCTACATATAATTATGAATTTATAATTATCATGTTTATTAAAATCACAACACATCATGCATCCTATCGAACACGTGTTTACTCGATCTTTATATAGACGGCCAATCTGATTGGATATTGTATTCATAGAATTCATGAACCATTTGACCGTTTTTTTAGCTCACCATGACAAAGTCGAGATGAGCTTATGCTACACCCCCGGCATTGGCGTAGGCGTTAGCGTCGGCATCCAGGTTAAAGTTTTAGGAGCAAGTCCATTCCCAAGTAACTATAAGCCCTACCTGGACCAAACTTGCATGGGTGATGCATCTAGGGATGGACACAACCAGACTTGCTTAGGATACTGGATCTGACCTACATTTTTCAGATGAGTGACCAGCTTAAAGTTTTTGGAGCAGGTCCATTTCCAAGTAACTATAAGCCGTACCTGGACCAAACTTGCATGGATGATGCATCTAAGGATGGACACTACCAGACTTGCTTCGGATGCTGAATCTGACCTACATTTTCCAGATGAGTGACCAGCTTAAAGTTTTTGGGGCAGGTCCATTTCCAAGTAACTGTAAGCCCTTCAAGTTCCTAGACCAAACTTGCATGGATGATGCATCTAGGGATGGACACTACCAGACTTGCTTCGGATGCTGGATCTGACCTACATTTTCCAGATGAGTGACCATCTTAAAGTTTTTGAGCAGGTCCATTCCCAAGTAAGTATAAGCCCTACCTGGACCAAACTTGCATGGATGATGCATCTAAGGATGGACACTACCAAACTTGCTTCACATGCTGGATCTGACCAACATTTTCCAGATGAGTGACCAGGTTAAAGTTTTTGTAGCAGGTCCATTCCAAAGTAACTATAAGCCTTACGTGGACCAAACTTGCATGGATGATGCATCTAGGGATGGACACTACCAGACTTGCTTCGGATGCTGGATCTGACCTACATTTTCCAAATGAGTGACCATGGCAATGTTTTTGGAATAGCTCTATAATTATATGGCCTGTTATGATTGAACTTGCATGGATGATGCATCTAAGGATGAACAATTTCAGACTTGCTTTCGGATGTAGGAAATGAAAGACATTTTCTTCATTAGTGAACAGGTTAAAGTTTTTGGAACAGATCAATTCCCAATGAACTATAAGACCTACTTGCACAGAAATTGCATGAATATTGTTTTCAGGATGCACACTAAATATAAAGAAAATATGATGTGAGATTTGCATTACTTATACTGATAACATTCGTCGAGATGAGCTTCGTAATCTTTGATTACCTATGTTTTCTATTCTGAAGAAAATGACCTGTTATTATGTAACAACCAGAGTTCAAGAAAAGCTCAAAATGTTCCATTCTTACGAGAAATTTTATCATTTCAATGCCCATTACTGTATTTATTTCAGAAAGGTCCAATACTACAACCCCCCCCCCCCCCAGCACACACACACGAAATAGGATATTCAAGTTTGGGCAGTTGACTTTTTTTGCTTGTTGGATTTTTAGGGGAAGTCCCTCCCCACTTTTAAAGCTGTTGCATTATTTACAATGTAACAACTAACTTCAAAAGATTCCAGTTGTATTTCAAATTTGTGTTCCATGTGACAAGACCGTTATATGTAACAACAAATTTTACGTCGTGACCTTGATCTTGGTTTAATATGAGATTAAATGTTAAAAGTTTGTATAGATATCTTACAAGGAAAGTAGACAACAATATATATTTATGTACATGTACATGGAGCAAGCCAAATAATTATTTGCATGAAGTAAAAAAACTTTAATTTTATTTATAATGCCTTATAATGCTTAATAAATATTGAATTTTATTTTGTAGCGTGCTTTGATGCCTGCAATATATGCTATTCTGGACATATGTGACAACCACGTGATTTCTCAGTTACACATGGTGCTGAATCAAGGAGTAAAAGCTGTATTCAAAGTGCTTTATTCGGACTACATGAAATATCACCACTACACTGGAAAAGTCTAATCTTGAATAAAGAATGCATTGAAATGTTTTTGCTTGTTTTTCCCAAGTGGCATTAAGCAGGGGTACGTTGTAGTTATTCGAAATTTCCGACGACGACTCTCTCTCAGTATAGAAAATAAACGACTTTGTAGTATTTTGAAATTAAGAAACATTCAAGACGACAGTTTATAACTAATAGTAAGCATTGGTCCCTCCCTTTCCCTCATTTTATAAACGGTAATTGTAAGCTGAACATTCCCTTTGTGACGGCACTTTTTACATCCCTCCAGATAAATCCAGTTTACAAGGTTTGCCTCCCTTTTTTGATGGATTTTTCGTAAAAGTTACCGTTTCTTCTGCGTAACCTATTCAACAACTTCTCATAATGATTGCCCTTAGACTACCTCCAGATTGTTTTGTTAACACATTTGTATTCCAAAAACATCATAATCGAACGGGCACTTGAGGCTTCAGGCCCGTAAAACGCGGGGGGGGGGGGTGGGGGGCACCCCTTTTTTTCTGAGTATAGTGTATTAAACTTGTATTTTTTTCTCATCATTTCTTACTTTTTCAGGAAATGAAAAAAGTACAGAAGGACGGTCAAAACCCAGGCCCCTAGCAACGGTTTCAAAAGTATGGTGGGGGGGGGGGCAACTTCCAAAAAAGTTTGACTAGCCCAACAAGAGGCCCAGGGGCCACATTGCTCCCCTGAGCACTATGGCTAGAAAAAAGCAGAAATCGGTTCAGTCTTGAAAGGTTGAAAAGTTTAAATATAAAAGTGTGTGTGTGTGTGTGTGTGGGGGGGGGGGGTCATGAATTGAACAAATTTGAATCTACATTATCTGAGGATGCTTCCATTTAAATATGACCAATCATGGCTTTGCTGTTCTTGAGTAGAAGATTTTTAAAGATTTAACCTATGTATTCCTATGTATAACTTTGATCACCCATTGTGTCCCCACCCGACCCCCAGGGGTCATGTTTGAACAAACTTTAATGTACACTATCTAAGAATGCTTCCATATGAATATGCATATCATGGCTTTGCTGTTCTTAAGAAATAGTATTTTTAAAAAGATTTTTACCACGTGTTCCTATGTAAAACTTTGATCGCCCAATCTGGCCCCACCCGACCCCCGGAGGTCATGATTTGAACAGACTTGAATCTACACTATCTGAGGATGGTTCCTTGTAAATATGACCAATCATGGCTTTGCTGTTCTTGAGAAGAAGATTTTTAAAGATTTTTCCTATATATTCCTATGTAAAACTTTGATCGCCCATTGTGGCCCCACCCGACCCCCAGGGGTCACGATTTGAACAGACTTGAATCTACACTATCTGAGGATGCTACCATATAAATATGACCAATCATGGCTTTGCTGTTCTTGAGAAGAAGATTTTTAAAGATTTTTCCTATATATTCCTATGTAAAACTTTGATCGCCCATTGTGGCCCCACCCGACCCCCAGGGGTCATGATTTGAACAAACTTGAATCTACACTACCTGAGGATGCTTCCACGTAAGTTTCATATTTTCAAGCACAGTGGTTCTTCAGAAGAAGATTTTTTAATGATGCCATTAATTTTTCACAAATTCTTAATTATCTCCCCTTGGAAGAAGGCGTGACCCTTCATTTGAACAAACTTGAATCCCCTTTACCCAAGGATACTTTGTGGCAAGTTTGGTTGAAATTGGCCCAGTGGTTCTTGAGAAGAAGATGAAAATGTGAAAAGTTTACGACAACAACGACGACAGACAACGGACAAATTTTGATCAGAAAAGCTCACTTGAGCCTTTGGCTCAGATGAGCTAAAAAAAACTTTATTTAATACTGTTTGAATCCTGGAATCCTGTGCTTGACCTTACAATATCAAAAAGTGGGGGGGGGGGGGGGGGTCTTAAGGAAAATTTACTGTAAATATATTTCCTGGTCTGTTCACCCAGTGCATCAAATTTTGGATAATTTTTATAATGTTTATTACCGATAAAAATGGACCACATAACTTGGTTAAAGTAGCCAGAAATCAAACTGGAAAATAATTTAATTTTTTAAATAAAAATAAACCAGAAGAAAACCATAAGGAGTGTGTGGGAATACTTATTATTTTTTAAGTCACATAGAAAAGTTTTTTTGCACAGTTTAAAGTTGATATGCAGGACATCGCCATTTGTGAACCTGACGACTATAAGCCTACCAGTAACCCGACGACGAGGTCAGATCGACCACCTTTATAGATTAACATGAAATATTTTAATCTTTATTATACAATTATATAGAGCACGAGTAATTATATCCGACTTTTTCGAGCGCCGAAGTCTTTATATAGAATAATAAGGGGGGTGTTTTCCAATACACTGTAACAAAAGGTGTGAAAGAAGAATGTCTTGTTCCTGTCGGGGTATTTTTAATTGATTTTCTCTTCTGAATAAATCGGTTTTTCTTTTACAATGGATTGTAATTTTCCCCCGAGAAATTACAAGAGTTAAATGGTTTAGATTTGGGAAATGCCCAATATTCCTTCGAATATATTTAACCTTTGTTTTCTAAGGTGATCAATCCCCGGTTATATTTACGTTAAAATCGCACCGAAATGTACACGAGATTAACGTAACTTTAAACATCCGTGTTTAAGCACACATGTACACGAAATATAAAAACTTGTCACAGGTATGGGTTTAAAAAACGAATGCATATGAATCAGAGATAAAAGAATACGAGTTTAATAAAATAAAGTTCAGAACAATTGAAAAGTTCTACGGTCAAATCAGCGTTCGTTGGTGTATTAAACACTTATTCTTTAAGCAGCGGTCATTATGGTTTAAAGACCGATTGAAATGTTCACGGATTGATTTCAGTAATCTTATTGAAAGACTTCTATACTTGACCCTGCATCTTGTTCTAGAACTTCAACATGCAACCAAAAGGAGAAAGATGGAAAATATAACGAATATTTCCCATGGAAAGATGAAACCGTGTGAATTGACTTTAATTTATATCTGTGGATTTGATTTTTGATGTGTATTGAGTGTGAAACAATAGACAAGGTCCTTCTGACAAAGCGGAATTGTGTTTCTATCACTTCGTAGTTAAATTCCATTGTTAGTCCCTATATGAGAGAAGATTTTATCTGCGATATGAACGAGATGCTCTTTAAATTATGGCCCGACAGTCCTACGACAGACGAGTGTTAGGAAGGAGAGAGAGACCCCTCGCACTTGTTCGGTAAGTGGTATCTTTATCTATGGACGTGAGAAGATAATGATGAATTACGATGTTTGCTCTCAAATATCTTCTGAGACTTTTCATGTCATACCTTTAAATATTTCATTAAATCCTTTCTTATCGGATGTGATTAAATAATATTGTTACTTGGCTTCTTGCTTTCAACAATGAGATGCGAAGAAAAAGGTAGGGGATCATTTTTTACCAGTTAAAAAAAAAATAGATAGCTTCCAATTTATAATTTATGGGAAGTATATCAGAGGAAATATTAATGTGTTCTTTCAAGCGTATCATTAAATGTCTTCTGCTTTACCTATATGTAGAAGTGAAAAAAAGAATACAACCGTATTTAATTAGATATTCTTTAATGGAACCATCTACCTACTGGCCTTTTTATATTCGTATATATTTGAAAATAATTTGTGAACAAGATCCTTTATTTACGAATATTTTAACACAATTAGAGCAATTGTGCTATGGGAATGTGCGAATACGAGGTTGTGTGCATTGAATAACAACGTATATTGTTAGGATTTTGGCACGGTGCTGATCTGGGGTTCAATATCACCGGGGATTTGAGCAATCTTAAAAACAAATAATATATTTTTTTAATGTATCGAGATGACTTATTTAATTTATTTCAAAGACAAACGTTTTCTTATTTTAATATGAAAATATCGTTGTTTTCTGAAATATGGCCCATCGAGAGGTATTGGACTTTTGCCACCTGATGTTTATATTAAATTATATCCAGACGAAGGATAGAGAAAATGTGTACAAAACAGAAGCTAAACATGCCTTATTTGGATTCTATGTAGATCATTTTGGTTTTAGGTTCTGTTGAGAGGTCTTCAGACCCCTCAGTATACACTTCAACAACCGTCTTAAGATGGCTCTTCAAGTTGGCGATGTTTGTTCACTCATTTAGATAAATCTTTGGAATAATAACTCGATAGAGAAGGATTTGACGAAAATGATTAATTGACTTTTATACAGTACGCGTAAAATCGATAACGTTGTTTACTGTTGGACAGACAGATAAATGTAGGTAAGAAACCAATCGTTGTACTTTTCACTTGCTGACCAAATGTGACACGGATTACTTGGGTGACTTTGGGTTTTTGATTCAAATATTAAAAAAAAAAAACAAATAAAAATGACGAGTAAAACCTTGGTATCCGAAATTTATGTTATTCTCAAGGATAAAAACATGCACGTTAAAGACAGAGAGAGAAAGGGGTAGGGAGGTGAGAAAGAGGTGCAATAAGGAACTTCGTAAAGTTGTTTCAGTGTTGCTTTGTGTGTGTGCGTGTGTGTGTGTCAGCAATACATGGTTTCTGTCTTGTAAAATATCAATTACATCTACGATGTATGACATACAATATAAATCAAAGTATTATCAAACCTTCTGTTGGTTTAAGAGTGTTATTTGCCTTCTTTTAAATATAAGTGTCAAATCAATCGCATCAAAACCCCTGTAAGAAGTTTTCGGAACTTAATGTGTGAAGATTAGTGAAAATCCCACAATAACTTTTCAACATACGTGAACTAATGATGTATCTGGGCAACTTGAACACGTTTTCTAACCACGAAGGTTGACCACTCGAAAGCATTATTTGTTCACGAATGATTCATGGAGCCAATTTAATATGTTTTAGTACAAAAAGCTTGTCAAATTTTCAAGTATTGTTAAATACTGTACTTGAAGGCGACAATTCCATGATTGTGGTCAATATTCATTTCAAAACTTCAAGTCGTATCAGTATGCTAAAATATGTCGAAGTATATTTTAGTGATAAATTTTGCAGACTTGTTGCATACAGAATCGAATTTGCTATACATTACACTCTATTATTTGATTGAATAGCTCTCTGATTGGCTGAGATCTAACATGGCATAAAATCATTCTAATTTATGTTCACCTGCTTCCAGGTGAATATAACTTTTTTATAAAACATTGGTCTTAAATAAATGGAGAACTTCTAATTAAATTGATATAATTTAATAAGTTAATTATGAAAAGTTATTTAATCTATACCCGACTTCCAGGTGAAAATATCATTTTTTTTTCTTCATTAGACTAATCTCGGCGGAGATTCGGCTCGGCTAGATCTCGGGACAGTCCTTCACAATTCACGTCTGGAAATTTAGCCCCAACTTTGATCGCTTGTCGCGGTTAAAATCGGGACAAAGCTGTGTTTCGCCCGCTTCAAATATGCAGTTTGAACATCCTATATGTATATGTACATCCATATATTTACATAAAATCTCTTTATCTTATCTTGACGTAGTATTTCTCCCACAACTTTTACAGCTTCATGTAGCGTATCTGTTTTGAACCCGTTGCCATTTTCGCTCATCATCCTCGGGAAGCTTGAAGATGATGCGCAGAAATGTGTGTTGATGCAAAGCCTCCAAATGACTTTATTAGGACTCTTTTATTTAAGAAAAGGTACCAAAAATGGCGGTTTGAATCAAAGCAAACACAGCAGCTAAATAAATTGTTGGAATAACCTTATGTAATGGACAGAAATGCACTTTAAACAGCAGTGATTATTAAAAGGAAGTTTGGGGAGACAAAACGAAGCGGGTGAAACATAGGTATGTCCCGATCTTAACCGCGACAAGCGATCGAAATTGGGGCTGAATTTCCAGACATGAATTGTGGAGGACTGTTCTGAAAATCGGTGAAGGCGTCAGTCCAAATATCTAGCCAAGCCGAATCTCTGCTGAGATTAACATTAAACCAAAAGTAGACTGAGAACTTTTAAATTGACACAGTTGGTGACAAAAAATTTTTTTCAACAATACCCGACTTTCGGATGAACAAATTATTTTTTTTCTACATCACACCAAAATTAGGGCAAGAAATTCCAAATACGTTTATTTTATTCTCGCCTCTTACCGCATTTGGCTAGGACTTCAACAAATGTAACAATCAAGAAGGGTGGCAAGTTTTACTTTTATCTTACCAAGATTGTATCATTTAATCATTGGTTCAAATAATAAAAACAGTTATTACTGTTTTTTATTTATTTATTTATTTATTTATTTTTTTTTTTTTTTTATTTTTTTTTTTTTTTGTTAACTACGATATTTTTTTATTTTTTTTTTTTATTTTATTTTTTTTTTTTTAGTTAATACGATAGTTTAACCACTCTCGAAGTACAATATTCACCTCGCTCTTCGGGCTCGGGGAATATTGTGCTCCTCTTGCGGCTAATCATAAATAGCAATTATTATCAAAAGAGGCTGCAAAGCACGAAAAAGGCGTAAATTGCTCCAACCTAGTTTATGCCGTATACAAAACATTAAAGAAAGGCGATGGTTTTCAATAAAAGGTAAAGAAAATATGCTTAAATTTTTAGCTCACCTGAGCTGAAAGCTGAAGTGAGCTTTTCTGAGCACATTTTCTCTGTAGTCCGTCTGTTTGTTTGTCGTCCGTCTGGCTGTTCGTCTGTACACTTTTCACATTTCCGACTTCTTCTCCAGAACCACTGGACCAGTTTCAACCAACTTGCCACAAAGCTTTTTTTAGGTGAAGGGGATTCAAGTTTGTTCAAATGAAGGGCCACGCCCTCTTTCAAGGGGAGATACTTAAGAAATAGTGAAAATTTGGTGGCATGTATTAAAACTCTTATTCTCAAGAACCACTGGGCTAAAAAAGTTGAAACTTTTAGAAATCCTTATTTATATAGTGTAGCTTCAAATTTGTACAAATGATGATCCCTGGGGGTCGGATGGGATCACAGTGGGGGATCAAAGTTTTACATAGGAATATACAGGAAATGATCTTTAAAAATCTTATCAAGAACAGCAAAGCATTGATTAGTCATATTGATATAGAAGCATCCCCAGGTAGTGTACATTCAAGATTGTTCATATGATGACCCCAGGGGTAAGGTGGGGTCACAATTGGGGATCAAATTTTACAAAGAATATATACTGGAAAAAATCTTTAAAAATCTTCTCAAGAACAGCAAGGTCATATTTAGTCATATTGATAATGGAAGCATAATCAGGTAGTGTAGATCAAAGTTTGTTTAAATGATGACCCCTGGGGGTAGAGCGGTGCCACGATGGGGATCAATTTTTTACAAAGGAATATATAGAAAAAAAATTTCTTCTCAAGAACAGCAAAGTCATTTGTTATATTGATATGAAAGCATCCTCGGGTAGTTTAAAATTCAAGACCCCCCCCCCCCCCGCTCTATGTTAACTTTTCAATACTTAACATATGTGTGCTTTACCTAATCAAAGTGCTCAGGTGAGCGATGTGGTCCATGGGCCTCTTGTTTTGCCTTAATCAAAATTTCTTTTGTAAAATGGGATTCGGGTTTGAGAAGCATGATATGTTACTGAATGTTTCTTGAACACTTATCATAAAGGCATTGTCCGAAATGATGGAAATGCTTTCTAGAAGTACGTTTGAAATATGTAATTCAATGTAAATTGATCGTCTGAACCATCGCTACTTACTAGTATGTTTAATTATTTTTTTCACTGTAAATATTGACTGAAAAATTATTCTGAAGTGTAAAGTTGTGCTCTACAAAATATGTTCAACATGACTGGTCTTTGTGACGTCATGTTTTTCAATGTATTAGGTCATTAATTTGCATGTAATGCCCCATGATCAATTTCATAGAGAAAGGTTAATATATGATAAACTGTATAATCTTTAACTGCATAAATTGCATTAATTTTTTTTTTCAAATGTAAAATTGAATTTAAGAGATAATAAAACCTTCGGATACAGAATTACATAATGAGTTTCTTGAAACGTACATATAGATTTTATTGTGGGGAAAATGTGACACCTATCCAAAAATGTAGTAGTTCCAACTACAATATTTTGTAAAGGGGGCTTTCTTCATTTTCCCCTCTAATGTTAGAAATTGAGGTATAATCGCTCTTTTTTGCAAAGTTTGGCATACATACTCGGGTGCGGCCTTATCGAAATTTGACTTTGAAGAGAAGAAAAACGCCAAACATAGGGCAGGGAACTGGTTTTAAACGTTTTAAAAATAAACAAAAGGGCATGTGAGTTGAGAAAAATTGTTACCCATTTCACACATACGTAAACCGTAAAAATTAATTGATACATTTGATATAACGTAAACATTTGTTTAATTTTTGCCAATTTTACAGGGCCGATTACAGGGGTTAACATACCCAGTTCTTAATCCCTTATAATTTAATTTTGGTTGTAACGCGTCATTTGATTGGTTATGAAAATTATAGTGTATATCGTATAACCTGTGTTGCCGACGTCACAATGAAAGGATCAATATTTAAAATATGACCAAGGAATTGTCTTATTTTCCACACTTAATGATGGAAAATTAAATAATAAGGAATACATTTATACTGATATAACCTGGGTTAGAACAGTTAACTTTTTGAAGTTAGTCTCAAAGGAAAATGATACTCAGGATTTTTATTACAAGGGTTTGAACACCACGAATATCACATTTTTTTAACAGAATAATTTTTGCCGAGAGATTTTTCCTTAGAAAAGTTGTGTTTATCATAATTTCATAAATTTCAATAATGAGAAATTTACTATAATACAAAATTCACAAATAGAATATGATTTTTATATTTTTGAAGCTATAGGCATTCCATATTGTTCTCCAATCTCCTTTAAATGTAACGTCAGGCTTGATTGATAAGTTTTTGACGCAATTAAGTTCTTGTGACGTAGGCAATACAATTTATACGATATCATTTTTTCCTATTCAAATGGAGCGTTCAACCAGAATTAAATTATAAAATAGTATTTGAGGAAGAATCTGTACTTTTTGTGAGAACCAGTAAGCTGGACAAATTCTAAGGCTTAATCTTTATAGATAAGAAGTCAACTCTGTAAATGATTCACTTAATCCAGGTCATTCAGTCGTCAATTTTCCAAGAAGAAAATAATCCATTGAATATTATTACTTCTTCATGTATGTTGTCATGTTGTAAATTTTGAATTTAAAATTAATTTTACCCGATGGCTGTAAATAAAAAAAAAATTGTAAATTCAAAATTTACAATATGACAATACATTTATCGATGCACATTTCTGTTAAATAAAAGTTTCATTGTGTAAATAGCCACACTATTTAGAGGAATGCTCTCAGCTAGGCAAAGGGAACAACCGTGAGTATGTTTCTATGGAGATCACGTGACAAATCTTTACCAGTGTCCTGGAAATTAGTGCTGATTTGTTGACGTGTTTTAATGAAGAAATGCATTAAAGCTTTTTAAAGCTCTCGAAGGTAGTGTTTAATGCTTCTCATCTAGCGCTTCATGAAAATTGGGCATGGAAGAAATTCTTATGAACTACAGAAGATACATATGTATTTACATTCAAACATTTATCTTATTTTATGATGCAGTCTTTCCCAAACTTTCGAATTATTTTCAATTTTATTTAATATGCTGTTATGTCGTATGAGGATTTAGTTTTTATGACGAACAATCGTTTACTACATTCCTAATAAACTCTTGCAATAAGAATAAAATATAATGTGACAAACGGAAAAACGCTCTTACATGCAACATGGAAGTTCGCTCTTTTCTTTTAATCGCCATAGTTAACTTCTAAATGGTCTCCATTTTTGTGCCTTTTAACTTTTTAACAGTGTTTTGTTCGTTTGCTTTGTTTTGTGTCGTTTTTTGAGTTTTCTTTTGTGTGTAGTATGGGTGAGTGTTAGATGTTTTCAGAGGCAGAATATTTGGTTTGGACAGTTCATTACTATTATTTTATTTATTCATTCTTCCTTTTTTTCTCGTTTTGGGTTAGACATGGCATACTTCTTAATGAATAAAAACAGAAACTAATTTTTCCATAAATATGTCAGTTTTTGTGCTTATATGCTAGTTTTATTAATTAACGATTAAAAAGGGGGTCATATTGTGCATTTATGTGATCGACGTTCAAATGTTAATTAAACGGGAGTTTAAGAAAAGGCGGATCAAAAAAAAAAAAAAAATTATTATTATTAAATGGTCACATAATTGGCAATCATTCTCTGGAATTGTTAACTTACCACAAAATGTTATTTTTATGAAAACAAATAGAAGATACGGATATACATGTAATACCAAATACCGGAAAGGCTTCTTTTATATAAGGTTGTAAAATATTATTCTCTGTTCCTTTTTGGGTTTAAATAATTAATTTATGTACTTTAGTAAAAATTAAAAATATAATAGGACTTTTCTTCTTGGCAGGAAAACTCCAAAGTTTCAGCGGCTGAATGGATGGGATCTACCGTATGGAAATGAGTCTCTTGGTAAGCAGCCATACATATCCAAATGTTAACGCACCGAACAAAAAAATTGTTTAAATGGCCTTAATGATGAAATCTTATCTGTTATTTCAGATATTGTGGCTTGGACAAGTTTACAAACTGCACTACACTCAAAGAAAGGTATGCCTTGATTTTCTTTTAGAATTTAAAAGTTTGAAGGTGAAGTTTAAGGAAACTGTTATTATATAACTTAGAACGCGTAATATGTGATTGTGCCAATTACATGTACATACCTTGGTCAGATTATGCAAATACGAAAACTATAAATTTATAGGAATCTCCAGTTATGGGAAGTCGATAATTTAATGTTGAATATTTTATCTATTACAAAATTATTAATATTATTCACATAATACCTGTACATGTAACATGTTCTGGATTTTTAAAATATTATTATCGTAATTTGTAAGCAAATATCAAAAACATATCTCTTTAGGAACCCTTTTATGACCCCACCCTATTGGGAAAGGAATAATTTGATCAAACTTGAATCTTAAGAAAGTAAGGTGCACTTACTGATCTGCGTAATTTATAAATGCTAATATGTAGAAGATTTTTCTCTTATTTCCTAATAATTAGTAGGAATAGAACAACCAATGTGGCTCTATCCGGACTCCAACTATCATAATTAACAATTTTTATATTTTTAATTTACATGTTGTTAATAAAATATTCTTAACCTTTTTAGCGATGTGATTCTGGAGACGAATTATTATTTTCGCTATTCCTTAATTTATATCCGTTGATAGAGACAGGACTCTTTTTCAAGAGATCTGAATTCTCCACACGTTAGGATTTGTGTTAGGTTTAATTTAAACTAATCCCATGTTTCTGAAGAGGAAAATAAGAATGTAAAAATATTACCGATTGGCAACACGGGTAGACAGACAGACGGATGGGCATTTGGCTTCTTTGTGAACTAAAAGGCAAATAAGAAATTATGATTTTAAATTTTTATTTTCAGACCGAAAGAAATCAAAAATATCAACAGAAGACCTAGCTTACAGACATGTTCCAAACTACAGATGTTCAGCTTTGGAAAACTCAACAGAGTTCGAAAGGCATAGTCTTCATGCCAGACTCTTCATAAAAGAGAAGTCTGTGTCGGAGCAGACGACAGTTAAACCCATTAAGCGGTCAAAGACCACACTTACACTTACCAATGTACGCTCAACCCAACCTCTTCAACAGAAGATTGGTGAAGTGCCAGAGGAAAGCTTTCAAGAAACAAAAGCAAAAGACGACATTGATGTTCTAACGCGAATTGTTGAAAAGGAGGTGGGAAGAAAAGATGAAAATATTCTGAAACGGAGCAAAAGTGTTCCTGTGCATTACATGCCAGAACGACCCGAAAATGCACCATCTTTTCGTCGTTTGTTGTATTACGCGCGGAAGTATGGGTCAAACGATGACGGTGTCTTGGATGAAGAGGACGAGGGTTATGGATCGAAAACTCCGAGTGCCGAGGACAAAGATGTGACAAGCTTGTTTGATGGTTTCTCAGGACGACGTTTCTTAGAAAATTCACTGGACAGTAACGGAAATGGAGAGAGAAAGTTTGCAAAATTCTCATATACGCATCAGATACCAAAGGCAACATCTCTGTTTGAAGAGTCAGAGGACGAGAAAACTCGAAAGAATAGTGAACGGGATATTAGGTGTTATAAAACTGGATACATAGAAGAAAGAGATAAATCAACTGTTAGAAAACTGTTAAATAGGTCCCACACAAGTATTGGTCATTATGAGAGTAGCACATTTTGTGCAATTGAGGACTTAAAACCAGCAATTGTTCTCAGAAAAATTACGATCCAAAACGCACAGGAAGATAACGCATCCTCTTGTGAACAACCAAACGTTCAGACTGAAAAGAAAACGTTCTATGAACCCCATAAAACTATAGTGAGACAAAATTCCTTTGCTCAAAGTCAAAGTGATAGAGCACAATACCCGGTGTATTGCACTAGCCCCGAGTTTAAATTTTCACATTTGCCACAGCAAAGACCGTCATCGAAAAAACAGCCAAGAGAAAGGAATCCATCAGCCAATGGCAAGAAAAGCAAGATGGAGTCTGCAAGAAAACCGAGGACGCCTAATTTGGACTTGTATAGGGCTCACACCAGTGTGTGCATGCCGATAGGGGACCTGTTACCGGCTGTTGACAGGAGCCTTCGCAAAGGAAACGCTTCTAAATCTAAACAAAATGCTCAAATTTCGCAATCCATGCCCGACTCACTAGACACAATTTTATCTGTACGCAAATCGTATGATGAAGTACAGCAAGCGGGGCTAGATTATATAATGAACAGGCAAAGCAAGGTATTTCTTGGATTATAAAACTTTGTATAATGTAATGATTATATCAAACAAAATTTCAGAGTTGTGTGCTTCATTTTATAAGAAAATAATCAAGAAATCCTGTGTACTTTTCTATTGCTAAGGGAATGGTAACACCCACTTTCCGAAATTCAAACTCAACGACAAGTTTAGATTCATCGACAACCATCAAATCAACATCGGATAGAAGTGGAAAGGTTCAGTACAACACACCATCCAAAATAAGCCTTGTAAGTCAGCATAAAAAGGGGTTAACTTTGAAACTAAACCTAAGCCAAAGACTCCAGTGAGCAGTTGTGATCCCAGATTGCCCGTTGATGTTAGCTTTTCGCATTTTTGAGCTCTCCTTCAAAACTAACGGGATTTTCAATCAGACATGTTTTTCTTTAAAAAAAAAAAAGGAGGACTACAATTAGTCCTATCTATACGTTTTGGGTCGGGGATAGGAAAGATCCAAAATTTTGCCATAATAGTAAACAGGCGCGGATCCAGGGATTAAGTTAGGGGAGCGCAGAAAGTAGGCAGGGTGTCTGGGGGCCGCCTTGAAGCTCCTAGATTCTAGAGATTTGTAGGGTAAAAATGAGGTCTACCAAGTAGACGTTTTTACATTTTCTTGACGAAACTATGATTTATGCTAACTTTGACAGTTTTAGGGGGGGGGGGTGCCCCCCTCCCCTTGAAATCCGCCACTGGTAAAGTAAAGAGAATATATCTAAAAACCTTCATGTGAAGAAAAGCGATTGGTCATATTAGTTGACAGATATTCCCATTTTGTGAAAATTCTCGTCTGTTCAAATTAATACCCTAGGGTAAGGTGTGCCCACAATCTGGGTTCTAAGTAGACATGGTAGTAAAGAAGGGAAGATCTTTTAAATCATGTGAGAAGCATGCGAGAAACGTGCGGCTTTCTGGCAAGAATAGAAAGGATTAAATCAGTCGTATTAAAATGGAAATCACTCTGTAGTGAAGAAATTATGGCCCCGCTTTAAAAGGTTGAGCAACAATAAAGGGTCAACGTTTTTTTTTTCGCAGGGATGGATATTTCTGCAAGAAAAGGTTACAATTTCTAAGCTTGTCTTCTCAAGATTCAATTTTTGTAATATTCGATATTCATCATAGTAAAAAATGCTGAAATAAAAGAATTCTATGAATTGGTGGCTACTATTTTAGGTTTAATTTATTTACATATCTATTTGTCAGAAAGATAATCCGACTCAGATGGGCAATGTTGCCCTCGAACCGGTTCCCATTAGGGTTGAAAAAAATATGAAAAAATATGCCATTAAGTAAAAACATTCAAGTCGTACCAGAGTTTCCTAACTTGGTAACAATATTTGTAATTTTTCTTTAGGATGACTTTGCGTCAGTTTCTTCACTTTCGACGTCCAGAGAGGAGACCAAGCCAAAACAAAACACGACAGGTGTTACCAACACCAAGACGAGAGAAGGGTAAGTTAGACTGGTTAATTATAAATTCCTCATCAGTATATTTAGTAATGAATTAACTTGATACTTGTTATCTTTAATGATCCCTTCACTTTAAAATTATTGTCACAATAGCAATGATCGGCTGTATATTTCAAAAGGGTGCAAAATTATAATTGAGGGAGGTTACACTAAACCATGAGACATTGAGCTTATTTTAAACAATTATGTGGAAAGTTTGTTTAATTAAAAAAAAAAGCTTGTAGATGATATTAACATTTAACCATAATAAGAGTACATGTACCTCACATTGTGGTTGCACAAACAACTTTTTTCTTATTTTTAACCAACCCAGGGTACCCTCTTTGGCACTTAGCATGTCGGGTATTGATATTGAAATAAAACATGGAATCCTTGATAAAAACGCCAATGCCATTGGGAAGTATGTCACTAGGCTGCTAGTGTTGTCTGCTTTGGTGGTAGTTTTTCTCTGTTTGTGCCGTTCTACAAGTAGTTAGCAGTATTGGACCATTATCTGCTATATGGTAATGGTATCCCAAACCCCCATTTCATCCAAACTGTGTATAAGGTACAAAGTTGGCTCCATATCCTTAAGAAAGATTACATTTAAACAATTTCATCTGTAGATTCATTTAATCAAGAAAAAGCTAAAATGAATATTTTGTCTTATATTTTATTAATTCATCTTAATTTTGACTTTTATTTGGGCTGCAAGGTAGCAGAAATTAAACTGAAAGGATTTCACCGCATAAAAATACAAAACACAATGTATTATTCTATATAATTAATCAAAAGGTAACTTAATCTCTAAGAAAAATATTACGATTATGCGAAGTTTTTAAAATGAAGTTAATCTTTTTTTTCTAGAAAACACAGTTATGATTTTTTTTCAATGTTGGTGACTAGCACAAAAAAAAAATCTTTATAAATTTCCATGAATTTTCCTTCAATGAGCTTTCTTTTCTTGAATCTGAGATAGAGGTTTACAAAGTAGTTTTACGCTTATTGCTTTTGCTTCAGAAGTCAGAGGAATTTCTAAACTCTCTACTGAATTGTTAAATTTTTAATTTTTATTGTACATGTACTTAGATCCACTATCCTTTAGATGTGGTAACGCTTTGCAAGGTTATATCTCGGGCCACTAACGGTGCATTTAGTATTTATGGATATTTAATGGGTATTATGAATAAATAAACATTTCTCTTGCAGTCATATATCTCCAGGTCGCCGTAGAATTGGTATCTGGCATAAAGATTACCGACGCTCATTGGAACACAGAGGCAAATCTTACATCAAATGTTTTTTTTTCTCCAAAACTTTTATTGAAAATCCCGTCTCGACATACGAGTTCAAAGTTAACACCCGTTCACTTACTCGTTTACTAACATTAATGTGCTCGGTTTGATTCTAACATGTCTCCCCTATACTATATGTCCCCGCTGCTTTATTTGAGTGTGATTTGCAACAACGAGAGAAGTGCGTAATAAAATAGTGCAATATTCATTGATTTGATAAATCACTCCTCAGACTTAAGTATTTTCATTACATGTAAGCTAAAGAATCAATTGTCCAAGTTGTAATAGAACATCTGACCTGAATTACATTGGAAACTATATTTGAAATTCATAGGAATAGGAAATATATACTCTGACAAAGTAAGGCTAAGGAGTGACTTAGTTTAAACTTATTACCCATGTAATTTGTTGTCTTTTTTTTTCAATTTTGTGTACAGACTGATAAAAAATTATTATATTTAATTTCTATGGGGAAAATCGTTAACAAGATCGTGATCATATATCTTAGTAAGAGCCACCAAAACTTTTATTTCGTGTGGTTTTCAACATTTTTTATTGCAAGATCTTTTTTCTCATGAAATCGAGAATTACATTCCAGGAAGGAAACTGTGAAAATTCAACTTGATAAACATATTTTATACATTTTCAGGGTTCGCTTTACCGCCCATCCCGACAAAGACACAAAGAAGAAACTTCGTGACGCCTTCTCCCGATTTTACAATAAACAGCCCTACGGGGCCAGTCCTTCAAACAAAAACTGGACGGAGGAATTGAAGTTCATGTGGAATAAATAACTTCATCAATGTAATACATGTAAATGTCTTTCATTTTTGAATCTCATATTTGTATGTATATTTATTATTTATTGTTAGCATATATTGGTCAGAGGTTCAAATTTGCTTTTTCTTTTTTCAAAATTGGTTGTTGCTTCACAACTTATTTACTTTAAAGAACCAACTAATACCAGTTGCAATCAACTTAATTTTTACAAAGCACCCAAGGGTAAAACAAAAATTTAAGGAAGAGTCACATACTCTTTCAGAAAAGATAATTTATGAGAAGGTTAAAATTGAATGATATTATTAAACAATCTTCTGGGAATATAGTTAAAAATGACGAAACTTTTGTATTCGATGTTTTCCTTTTGACGAACAGATTCGGTTTTCCTTTTCTGACTGGCGTCAGTGTTTTCATTAAAACAAAGAAATTAGCAATCATGGTCATATTGTGTTTGGTTGGTTTTTCTTTGCCCTCAAGAACCGGTGTTGAAATGGAAATGTTTAAGTTTTTTTTCTTGGGATCCATGGAAATTCCCGCTTTATTCAAAAAATAGGTCATTTTTAATGCTATGTTCCATTTGCAACTTCCTAAGAATTTTAATTTGTTCAAACCATGGTCCATTTTTGTATGATGACAGTGGTGCTACTATAATGGATCCACATTTCATGTACATCATCTTTTAGAGATACAATTTAGGTGAACACGTAGTACTCTGACCTCTTTTTATTTATTATCAATGTTCTTTAAAATAAATTAATAAATTATTTATTATGATTATATCATCTACTGATTTATATGTCAAGAAATGAACAAATGCAAATATTCATAGTTTTGATATATTTACCAAGTGGTTTTAACCTAACAAATACTAAATATTATAGTAAACTATATTTTGTTATATGAATGAAAAAGATAAAGATAACGAACAGTGATCCATCTAAAAAAAATCAACAAACAATACAATTCTGTGAAGAGGGCATAAAACACAAACCCCTGGAAATTCCAGTGGTGGGATGAGGCTCCGGGGCCATAAAACTTAGACGAGCTCATTTTTGATCTCGGTTTCACTTTTCAACTATAATTCCTGTCGACCGCTATCAAAGCTTTTACTTTAATTAATCCAAGTTTTTTTTACTATAGTAAATCAAACTATTTTTTATGAATATCAAATTGTTATATTCTATTTTCTCCAATTCATATATGCAATTTTCTTGTACTAAATGGAAGTATAACTTGTACATTCACATAATTATTATTTCCAAAATTTACATTTTCTTCATTATGTGATTAGATCGAGATATTTTAGCTCTTTCTCTCAAAAGTTCTGTAGTAAAGTTTCATAGTAAATCAAAGTATTTACTATATTTAACCATGATAATTTTTCTTTAGTGTTTGACTTCTCTTCTATGACATTTGTAATCATATAAGGTTATGAAACTTACATAATTAATTTTTCTTTAAGATATTTTTTATCGTGAAAAACAAGATACACCATGATTGGTCCTCTAATTATCCCCTCGGAATGACGTTTGATTAAACACCTGAGACTATCCCATTTTAAAAACAGCATTGATTTTGAATGTTAGCGTACATGTACATGTATACAAAAGGCACAACTTTTAGCAATTTTATCATTTTCCTTGAATTTTCTTCAGATTCATGTTTATTCAGAATTGTAGTTTTTCTACACAATTTTGTATTTTAATATGCAGTATGTGTGTGTGAATTTTTCAAATAATCCAGCTTTTACATGAATTTTCTGAAGTTATATTGAAAATCAAAATCTGGTAAATATTTTGAAATTCCACAAATTCTTTAGCCTTTTTGTGCTCTTTAAATAAAAATAAATGTACTAGTTTTCATCCAATTACCGGTTACTAAAAACAACTTAAGCGCTTGGGTAGATACTTTTGTCATATTCTAAATTTTAAATCTACGATGGGAGTAAATACAAAATTTAGAAGTTGTCATATTTTAAATTTTGCATTTACTACATGTACCTTCCAGTGAATTCAGCATTTAGAACATTACACACTTTTTATTGAGATTTATCTTGAACGAAAGACCAACTGTTGCCCTTCTTACCTCTTACATGTAGCATTATCGCACATTTTTTGTCCTTCATGAAACTGAACATAGCTTTAATAAAAGTACTCCAAAGTACAGAGAGCCTGGCTCATTTACAGAGTAGTGAACAAAGACCGTTTTACATGAAACATACATGTACATCGTAATAACAGATGAATAACAAGTTCAGACACTGGAAGAATATGTAACACAAAAATATATTTCTATGGCATATTTTTAAAATAAAAAGTGTTTAAAAACTTAAATGAAATGTAGTAAGATAAAAGTGTTGCAACAAGGTCACAGATAAGTCCTCAGCGGGGGGTGTACAAGTCCCAAGATCCCCGCATTAGTGCAAGCTTAACACAACCTTTATTTATAGAATGTGACGCAGACAAGGAGACCTGATGAAAACCTTTCGTACCATTTTTTAACAAATAATAAATCGAAGAAGAGGGGAGAAAGTATATTACCATTAATGTTTTTGTTGTTGTTGTTGTTGTTGTCTAAAGAATGTCTTTAGTTAGTTTACCTAACTTTTTTTTTTAATTTAGTGTTGCCTCAAAGGTGGTTGAGCATGCGGATTATTTTCTTGCTCGTAAAATTGATTTGGCGGTGAGGAAGCAGCATTTCCGGTTGAACACCGTAACATAAGCCGGCTATTGCTCTACGAGCAATGAGCCCGGCTAAAAACTGTTTTCCTTTTTGCAGCACAGAACTTCTTACATTAATCATTTACAGCTGTATACATGCATATACACTAAATATTGCTACTATTACCACAGAGGACCATATATAATTAAAAATGCTATTTAAGTACCTTCCAAGCATTTCATAAATTCAAAGACCCACTCTATTTGGTATTATTAATTATTATTTACTCGTCTCCTCCCCATTAAAGTTTGGATACATATGAATGTTTGAAATAGTTTTTCAGAGAAAAGAATTCACATGACACGATTTTATGCTTTAGAAACAAAATCTTGGTCAATGAATGTTTCGTCTCACTGCAATGGTGTAGATTACATGTACACATAAAGCAACATTTAATCAATCAATAAATAGACCTTGCAATATCTGATAGTAAATTTCTTTTTGAGTTCAATTAGCTGATATATATTAAAATTATAAGGAATTATTAATGCTCTGAGAGAAATTAATCACGAAATATACATTTAGTGATTGCACATAGCATCATATACATGTATCTTTAAATGTACATGTAGGTGATAACATTGATCTGTCTAACTGTCAATTGGTGGACATCAATTCGTTTTACAACATGCTTCAATGTCTTTACAATCATCTGTACAATATATGAGATATATGAGAAATTCTATATTCTGTAAATGTATACTGCAGATCCCTACAATATGTAAATTATGATCGATACTAGAAAATCCATATCTAATGAATGTAATTTAAACAATACAGTTACTGGTTAAGGCACCTTTTCACGTTTTTTTTTTCTATGGGATAAAATTCAGAAAAATAATCGTGAGGAATTCTGAATTAAACTCCTTTAAAGAGCTTGTTATACACAAATCTTATATCTATTATATCAACAAATTAAAAAAGAAATATTATTTTCATATGAATGTTGTACCAGTCGTGTCTTTCAACTCCAAGTTCAGCCATCACGCTCTGATGAGGTTCTCCTTTTCACATGTCTTGCGGAAACTTGATGGTGTCAGTGGTCATCAGACATAGTTCCTCTGGGGGACTCTTCGTGGTGGTACTGTAATTGGATAATGGCAAGTTAGTAATAAATTACATTTTGCTGACTTTTTTAGCCCTCCATATCATTAATTAATGATAAATGCGAATTTTCATGTGAGATGATGCTTTTGATGTGACATTCTTAAGGGTTGTTCATTAAATGGTGACTACCAATGGATCTTTGTCATATACACCGACAATAAATCATCTATTAGGATGAGATATTATAAAAGGATAATTATATTAAGTGATTTTAAAGGTCAATAGTATCTTACTGATTTTATTTATTAGGTCACCCAAGTCACTCAGGTGACCTGTTGCTATCTTTCGTCGATGGTAAACTTTTGAATATTTTCAGTTTTTTCTCTGGAACGACTGGACTAATTCCAACCAATATTTGCATATATAGCATTCATAGGTAAAGGGAAACAAAAATTGTGAATTTCGTGGAAAGTGTATCCGTTCCTATCCCTCCTCCCCGTCCCGGGGCCTGAGGAATGGGACCAAAAACGCAAAATCAATGCAATATTCAGAAAAAAATTCTTGAAATTTGACGTCAAGCAGTCAAGCTGTTAGCATGATTGTAATAAGCATTGAGTCCTCTACGTAAAATCAATGGTCCCAGGGTCAGGGGTTCTGGTGTTAGTGCTGTATTGATTTTATTGTGAAAATGCATTTTATCTTTAAAACATCTTTTCTGTTCCTGGGTATTTAGCAAACATACTAAGTGTATGGTTATAATGACCAAGGGTACCTCTCTTTCAAATTTGGGAATTTCATGGCCCCAGGTCCAGGAATTTGGGTATTAAGGCGACGCTTTATTGATTAAATAGTTAAAATGCATTATATCTTTGAAAATTTTCTTCTCTGCTTCTTGGTATTAAGCATTATTAAGCATTAAGCACGGTAATGATAATCTAGGATGCCTTTTTCAAAATTCTAAAACATTGCGACAGGCACAGGGGCTCTGCTGTAAGGGCGTGGTCTATTGATCATGAAGTAAAAATATATAAATTCTGTAAAATTTTTCTTCTCTCCCCTTGTATATTTAGCAGACAAAGAAAGTGCTTGGTTCTGATAAGCAAGGATGTCCTTTCTAAAATTGTGAAATTCCTGGCCCCAGGAATTCTGGTGTTATAGTGGGGCTGTTGATTATATGGTGAAAATGCATGAATTCTTTGAAAATCCTTCTCCGCTACTGGGCATCTAGGAGGCAAACGGAGTAAAAAAAATGTTATAAGCAAGGATGTTCTTACCAGATTTTTTAAATTGCTCTGGTCAAGTGCTCTGTTGCTAGGTAAGGATAAATTGATCTTATAATGAATTTAAACTCTACTGAGATACGTTATTTCCCTTGCCTTTTTACTTTATAAATCATCATTTCTACAGATGATTATAAAGTGGGGGTTAAAAGCACTGCTTCAATTTGCCAAACTGATTTGTAAACATCTCTATGGAGACTAGAACTATCATTTACTCAGTATATAAAATGTATTTCAGTATAAAAATCAGAGTGAAAGTATTCAATTAAAATCATAAAGGTGCAGAAAAAGATGTTTTGGATATTTCCAGGTTCAATTTGAAATTCCGTCTACCTGATCAATACATAGGACTCACGGCGGATGTGACCGGTCGACAGAATATGCTTACTCCTCCTAGGCACCTGATCCCACCCTTTGAATCTCCAGGATCTAGGAGTCTGTGTTTTTGTCCTGTTCTCAGATTTGTATCGTTTGTATTTTTTTTTTATTGATCACTGCTCGTTATTCACCTTTTTCACTTATTTTGTTGCTAATGGAATTTGGGATTAAACAATTTGTTGTAATCTTTCTCCGGACAGACTGATTTCTCAGTGGACCAACAGAAATTACACTGATATCAGTTCGACTGGGCTGATGGTGATAATTGTTTTGTTCTAAGCCAGACTATAGCATTTATTTCCAAAAACATTTAATGAAAATTACCATAATGACCAGTTCATTTAGAGATTACTCCTTGTAAATGTATTTAAGGAAGATATTTTTTGTTTTCGTTTGTTTTTTAATTTTTGTTTTGTGTTATGAGGATTTTAAACGATGTACTAGGCGGACCAAGTGACAGTTTGCATACAATTCCGCTTTTGCGATAATTATCATTTGCTATCAGGCCAGCTATCATCCTTATAAGTTAAATATTTTCAACTGTCTATAAAAAAAGTAATATTTTAAAACAATTTTAAAAAAAATAAAAATTTAAACTCATTTGTCCTTTTTAAATAAAAAAGTCTTGTGAATATAGATGCAAATTATTAGTAAATAGACTTAACTGAATAAGGATAGGTACATGTACAATTTTCATGAAAGAAGGATATATATAATGAAATGTATGGAGATAACAAACAGTATTCAAGCTCAAAAGAAAGTCCATTTAACAATACAAATTTTGGAGCAGAGCAAACACGGACCTCCAAAACAGGTGGGATCAGGTGCCATGGAGGAGTGAGCATCCCCTGCCGACCGGTCACACCCGCCGTGTGCTCCTTGTCCTGATCGGGTAATAACGGAAAAAATCCGTCGACAATTCAGTGTGTAAATAATGTCCTAACAGTTAGTATGAAAACGTCAGTCAGCATTTGACTTAATGATAATTTGTATTTGCTGACAAGGTCATTGTATCGACCATAGAACTTACGAAATGACGACTGTAAACGAGATTGCTGTTATTAGTTTCATCAACTTGTTTGTCAATAACTTACCTCGTTTAAGAAATTGTTCATACGTAGAGCATGCTCTTGCTGATAACTGATTTGAAAACAGGTATTATTGGTCTGACTAAATTGAACAATCGTTCATTATGCAGTAACTACCAAAAACATTTTCTTTAATTTACCATCAATATTCAAATCACAACGTGCTTTAATTCGAATAAAAAAACCAAATCTCAGAAAAAAACAAAAGGTCCAAGGGCCTTAAGGGTCACCTGAGTATAACACTGCAAATGATCCAAAGAAGTATAAATAAAAATTTAAAAAAATTAAATCGAGAAATATGTTAAAATATGTTACCCGAAAGCAAGAGAAAGAAGATGATCAGGAATCAACAAAGTCGTCTAGTACTCGTCAAATACTTGCCAGTACTAATGCACTCCCATTTATCACTATCATCATGCAGACTATACAAATCAATAATGCTTGAGCTCTTGCAGTAAACCCATCATATTCCCTCACAGAATGACCTCTTTTGGTCTTTGAAGAACATTTAATGTTTAAAAACAAGACAATTTTTCACTTTTATTTATCTATTATTCACAAGTCTACCTGACCATTAAAAAATATGAAAGTATTTGTTATACCATAAAATTTCTTTTGTAATTCTCTTATTTAATTGACCTTTCAATAACATTTTTACAGTGATTTTAAATTATATTATCATAGAAGAATAGCAAAGGGAAATAACTTCTTTCAGTAGATTACAAATTTCCTTACAAGATCAATAGAACTCTGCCAAGCGCCAGAACATTTGACCCAAATTAAGTTTTCAGCCATTTATCAATTGTGAATTATTCAAGTTAAATTCGGCCGATAAATATTGATTCAAAATCAATTAAAACTACTGCCATTTCATTTTTATTCCTATATTGTTATAAAATTGTCTCGTTATACCGAGAAAACTTTCTCGTATAAACGAGATAACTAACTGTTATAACAAACTTTGAGAAGACCGATTTTACGTTTTTGAATTTCACACCAGACAATGAAGATGCTTGATTTCATATTTTACCTTTTGTATTTTATAACTATGAATATACTTGATATTACCTTTTTGGATTTCATACCAGACTATGTGAAGATACTTGACTTTACCTTTAGGATTTCATACCAGACTATGAATATACTTGACTTTACCTATAGCCATTTGCATACTTTTGGATATCATGGCAGACTATATGAATATACTGATTTTATATTTCACCCCTGGTAACGGATAAAAACAATACTGATTTTATATTTCACCCTTGGTAAAGGATAAAAACAATACTGATTTTATATTTCACCTCTGGTAAAGGATAAAAACAATCATAATTCCTTTAGTTCAATTCTGTTTTCAATTAGATTGTCATTGTTCAATATGTTCTTCTCCTCTGAGAGGATATTTATTACTTTCATTATCATGAAACTGAATTGTTCCTAGATTTAATCGATTTAGACAAACGTCAAGCAACACAGCATAGGGGTACATGAAACTATTATTTTAAAATCCGTTTGTTTTTTCAATCATATAGACCTTTCTACAAATAATTGAAATATAAGTACAGTTTAATTTAACTTTCTGTCATAATTTGAAAAAAAGTCATTCAGTTAAAAATAGATAAAATTCATTTGAACTAAGTTCTATCCATTATGTATATAAAAAGACTTATTTATTCAAACCCTTCTTTAATCAATTAACCCATATCTTTAATTGATTTAAAGACGTTCTGATTTATATAAAATATTTATAGAAGGAATGTCTATTTTTGTTGTTAATGAGGTGATAAACAACCTGGAAGAACGTGAGAGTTCGCATAGAGAAGCGGCTAGCTTATACAAGATTCATCACGAATCTCCTATCTGTTTATCATGCTCTTTAACACCAAGCAAGTAACGGTTTATTCTTTATACTAACAGGAACAAAATTATTTTCAAAAAAGATATTTTATCTAATGTTAACCATGCTTATTGCCTTTAAGGGATCTTATGATGAACTACATATCTGAATATATCTTACATGGTTAATTCTAATAATACAAGGGCAGATTTCCTTATCTGAAATTATGTCGATCTGGCTCTCCTTATATAAACACTGAGTTATCTTTTTTAAAACTTTTTATTTTTTAAATGTCTCCCACCCAGTCGTTATATATCTAAATTGAATATTAACGTAAGCCATTGATACCATGTAATCTCATTATAATGTGTATAGCCCTGGATTTTACAGGTATGAAAGCTATTGACAAAACAATGAATTATACAATACAGTTAACTCAATATAAAAAATAATGACTTTTGTCGAGATATCCGAAGTTTGAAGATTGATTAGTCTAACTGATGTAAAAGGTGAAGATAACGAACAGTGATTTATCTGTCCAGTCCAGTTGAGAGTGCCCTAGAAACACAAGAAGTTGGATCAGGTGCTTAGGAGGAGTAAGCATCCCCTGTTGACGGGTCACATCCGCCGTGAGTCCTCTGTACTGATCAGATAAACGAAGTAATTCGTAGTCAAAATACGACCTAACGATACCATGTATTTACAAAGTCAGAAAAGGACAATGTATTTGCTCGATAAGAGGCACATTTTTGTGAAAAGAAGAAAGAATCAGGTTAATCTTGACGAATGACATTCGTTTCTTGATTAAAAAAAACTCTGACTTTGGTTTTGTTTAACATGCCTTCGAGATACTTTTAACCCTAATTAAAAACTATAATTTATTCTAGTTGACTATTATATTAGTTTTTCATAGTATCTATCAACGTTTTACTATAATAGGATATCAACGTTTTTACTAAAGGAAATCAGAGTATTTTTATTATATAATAGATTTCAGATTGTTATATTTTATGTTCTCCAATTCATACTCGTATATGCACAGGTTTGATCTTAAATAGAAATAATACTTGTATATTCACATATTATTTCCAAACTTTACATCACTGGTATTTAATTAAAGAGATTTTAAGCTTTGAAATCTCAAAAAAGTTCAAAAGTAAAGTTTCAAAGTAAATCAAAGTATTTACTATAGTTAACTATAGTAAACTATAATTAAGTATAATATTTTTTTTTTAGGGAATTAGTACAAAATTATAATAATTCTTCTATTTCATTTGAAATGGAAGGTAACATGATTAGGTTTGTCGAATTTTCTAAAGTTTTTAAAATTTTTCACATGGCTTCGAGGGTGACATACCAGAATGTTTGCCCCAAGGTGACAGGAAAGTCCTGGAGTGTTATGTCACCCGATGCCGAAGGCAGAGTGTGTGACATAACACTCCAGGATTTTCCTGTCACCGAGGGGCAAACATTCTGGTATAGTCATCCGAAAGCCATGTTGTATATGTTATATAACATTTTTAAAATTAAAAAAATCGTCTAAAATTGTTTAACTTTAGACAAATAATCCAAAAATGCTTTCATGGCGTTAAGAATTACGCTCTTACGCCTTCGGCATCGTGTGACATAACAGTCCAGAACTTTCCTATCACCTTGGGGCGAATATCTGGTATGTCATCCTCGAAGCCATATGATTTATGTTTAATACTATCTAATTATAACGAGTAAGCTATCTCGATATATAACGAGTTACAAGTACATAATTTTTACCCTCTCAAATATAAACTAATCGGCTTTGGAATCGAAGTACACGTATCTCGATTTGAATCGAAATTAGTAACAATTTTTCTTGAAGTTGAGATTTTTTTTTATTTACTACATCAAAGTAAATCGGCAAAGATCTACGACTTCGGCTTTATTGTTGAATGAATGGTAAATAAACAAATCAAAAAAATAATTGCATAAATAAACATTCAAAAATAAAGTCTCGGGGGCTCGGCTCAATCAGTGTACATACAGATTTTCATGTTTGTACATGTATGTGTAGTATGGTGTTAACGCGCTTTATCAGTTTGTATGTATATGTATTAATATAATAACCATTAATTGCAAATGTAACGTTATTATATAAAGTTTAAATATACTAAACAAACACTAAAATCCTCCTTACATATATATACAGAATATTTCGAACAATGTTTGAGGTCAAATTTTAATCAAATTTATTCTAATTAAGAAAGTACACTAAAAAAACAATTAAAAGCATTTGGACACAGCGAAGACGTACATGTAATTGTTTCAGTTTAGAAAGTTATTTTCTGTTGCGTGAGTTAAATAAGGACCAATGTAATTCATTTAACACTAAGGAAAAAATACTGATAAATATATTAAAAAAAAGATTTAGTTAGTTGCCGATAACAATGATAAAATATTTTTGACATAAAAAGAATTACTGTTCATGTGGTATTGCGTAACGAATGAATTTACTTGATATTTACCTCTTTTATCGATTTTTACTGTCTGTTCGCACAATCGTCGAAATTAATCTTGAAAAAAAGTCACAAACATTTGGAGGATTTAGTGATTGTTTGCAAAATCGTCCTCTTTCACTCAATCAATTCGCCGTTCTGCGAGATTTAGATTTCAAGTGTTACAGTGTTTAATACTTCCTTTAAGGATGACATTTACTCAGGGATTCAAATTACAGAAAGGGAAAGCTATGAAGTACAATATGTTAAATCAAAAAATGTTCTAATGGACAAAATAAACAAGTTATAAATCAATATAAATTTGAAAATTTAATATTTTATTATTTCAAGAAAATATGCAAGAACAAAAGTAAATATACGGTGGTTCAGAGGAAATTCTGACTAAATTCATAATTTTTCATTTTTGTCACAAAACTTTTTTTCTTGCAATATCATTCACAAAGTCTATATTCTTTGTGTTTTTAAACATCATTTTGCAAGTGTTGTGTATTAAAGCTCATGTATTTTTTTTTTCCAAATAGTTGAATGGCATGCAATGAAGAATTTCAAAAATATGAACAAAATAACAATTTGATCATTGACCTCACATAATTTTAATACCAGCAGAATAAAGTAACAAAAGTAAACTAATGTTACTAATAATTTAGAGTTCTTATCATTCAGATATTTTTTGTAATATTAGATTAAAAATTGGTAAAAATAAAAAAAAATGAAAGAGAAATTCGGACTGAAATAGTTAAAAAGTTTATGGCTCACACTCTAATTGTTTATTGAAATGTAGTAAAACTATGCCGTTCCAATTATATTTTGCCATCTAAAGAGTTTTGTTGCTTGTAATATTTTGTGAAATAAAGAAATACTGGTCGTAGTGTGAAAAATTGAGCTTTTTTCCGAGAAATACTAAGGGGCCACTAGCATGAAAAGTAGGTCATTGACCTAGTTATTTGAAAGTCAATAATAACACAAGAATCATAGATGTACAATGAACAATAGGTGGTTTTTCATTCTTATCAGTGTAATTTTTTGTCATCTGAGTAAAAGTCATCCTTAAATCAATTGTTTTACGGTTGACCCACATAAGACTTTGTCATGACAGTAATTAAGCCTTGATCTTTACCAAAATACACACATAAGAAATAACATGCCCTTATCTTTATTCTTGAATACAAAAATATACGGAACTCTTGTAATTTCTTTTTAATTAACCATATCTATCTTCAGATAAAATAATACAGAAGAGCTGCAACTATTGGCATCGTAGAAATTGCTAAAAGGATATAGAAGGCGAGATGACGCAGTTTCTTAACATTTAAATCATCAATTGCTGAGCCTGTTCGATGCTTCATACTTGTATTTTTTACTATTGACGTTCACGGCCAATTAACAACTAAACTATGTGACAAACGGGAGGACATCAGCTTTGCAATCGTCAACTTTTCTTATTAATGTAGTAATATTCCATAATCACCTGTATATTGTGTTTATGTCTCCAAACTGATTTGATACTCAAGAGCATGTTCTGAGTATTTTTTAAACAAAGAAGGGTTATTGAAAAATACATTGATGTTACAGGGTTTTCAACTATATGTACTTGTTTTAAGTCGGCATTGTTTTTGTTATAATGACTTTTTTTTGTAAATACTTATCGTTGGGTCGTATTTTGACTGACACATTTCCCACCAATTGTTAGGCCATGGTTTTTATACAATTTTGACTATGGATAACTCCGTATACCTGATCAATACAGGGGACTCACGACGAATGTGACAGGTTGACAGGGGATGCTTACATCTCTTAAGCACCTGATTCCACCAGCAAAGATCCGTGTTTCTGCCCTGTTCTCGATTCGTATTACTATTTTTATGAAATTGATCTTTGTTACTTTTTTTTCTACACGTAAGTTTATGAACTACATGAAGCTTGCCTCCTTGATGTTCTAAAGTAAAGAAGATTTTCAAATACTTGAATATACTGCTTATGTGATTATGTGTTTGATATTCTTCACAAAATACAGAAGATACATCTACATATAAAAACACCACGCACAAAACCTGAGTAACAATCAGCATTACAGAGAAAAAATAAACTTACCTATCCGTTGTCTGTGAATAGGCTAAAATAACAATACAGAAATTAACAGGAATAATTTAAACAACCCTAACTATACCAACGGCCTTACGGACATATTTTATCATTTTTTTAATTATTAAACACAACATTACACCTGTTTTCCCTGAAGTTTTCTCTGAATGAATTCAGTTAATTTTATTACAGATTTCAATGTAATACTTACATCTAGTATTGTCTTTTTTCAAACATTTGCAAATGGTGACATCTATACATATCATTTTACGGAACGTCGACCTAAATTTTCCTGGAAAAATAATTAAATTGATCGACAATAATTAATACTGCGAACTAAACTGAAAGTAAAATACAGTGTATTATGTTTTTTAAAGCAATATGAGCTGCAGCTTTGAAGTTGGATTTTTTTTTTGTGGCAAAATTGTAATTAACAATTTCAATGACAGAAAAAAGAACATTTATAAACTTCTGTTGTTCATATTTGCGATGGAAGAACTATTTAGAGACTTTGATTGAAGCAAAATTACATTATTGTCATCCTATACAATATTGATTTCTTATACTATACATTCCATTGTACAAAAACCTTTCTTCTGAAAAAATATAATACTTGATTTTAGTCTAATTGATCATAAAGGTTTAAATTACATACATATATATTTATCAAAACAGCACATTTTAACAGCAAAATAAAATACTGCTCATATTGCTTTAAAAATAATTTTTAGAACAAATTCTGATAAAAGACTGCTATCTCAGTTACTGAGTATTTATATATTAATACTTATCAATTTTTAAGCTGAGGCCACCACAAAAAATGACAACAAAATTTTTCAACACAGGATTATAAAGCATCAGAAAAAAAAACATTCAAATGACTAACCGCTCATGATGGTATAAATAACAGGATTGACTGCTGAGCTTAGGTACAAGAGAAGATGGGAGGTCAACGAAAAGGACTTAATTTCTGCATGTTCCATGGAGTTTAGAACCTTAAAATACCTACAAGTAAAGAATAATAAGAATCTTGATGTAATACCATTACAAATTGTTTATGATGAGTCCTTTATTCAGGTTTCGATGTATGTCTCCTAGATGTTATAGTCGATCTTTTAATAATTTTCTACTTCTCCCAAAAGTTCAGAACGCTGCACAAGTGAAATTTTGTGCAATTGGGACTACAGAAATTCAAAGCATGAAACAGCGAGATGAAATTGCTTTTTTTAAATAAGTGACTTTTAAAATAAATATATGTCTGTATATTTATATTTCAAAATATGCTGAATTTAAATTTTTGTATCTGCATTGTCTAATAAAATGCTTTTTGATAAACTATGAATTATCTTCATTTTCCTTAAATACTTTTGCCAAGCTTCTTTTGCGAGACTTGATTTTTGCGTTTCATTTGTGCAGTTTGTCATATCAATATGCAAGTATCCTAATCTATAAAGTATCCAAGTTTGTTTACATGTAAATAATAGATCTTATGCCTGGATTTGACCACATTGTGCATTGAGTTTGAGGACTTACCTAAAAAATAATCACTCGAACTAGTAATTTGAAAAAATTCATTGTAAACAAGAACTGAATACTGTATACAGGAAAATTTTCGCCTGTGTTTTATTTTCACCACTTTCGCCCTACACACAAGTGGGTGATTTTAAGACGGGGCGAATTCAAAGAAGACAGTATACTATTCGCCCTACACACAAGTGGGCGATTTTAAGACGGGGCGAATTCAAAGAAGACAGTATAATATTGTTTGCAAGTGTGAAAGGACGAAAATAACAAGGGGCGAAAATAACCCTGTATACAGTATAAAATGTAAACCCAAATGAATATTTCTCCTCTATTTCTTTAAAAACCATACTGATGTTAATTTAAAGCAACTTCTAAACTAGTTAGATTAGCTTGTTTAAATGACAACTTTTACTCAAAATATGAAGGAAGGGTTAAAGAGCAACAGTTTCATAGCTCTTCCATAAATGTGGCACTCGGATCGGTCATTCTATATCTCACGTTATTTCATCCTTTTTATATGAATGATTGATAGACAGATATAAATGATAAAATGTCTTTTTTGTGTATTTATATCTATACGAGATCTTTATTTATTTGAGGAATAACAGTTGCATTCATTGCTGAAAAAAATGCAGACATGCCGCTTACGAGGGATGCGTCTCTCTGAAATGTTGCATCTCTCGTATAAAAACGACGATGAAAGCATTTTGTTGTTTGCATAATAATAATAAAGCTTAAATATTTTAATTCCTTTGTCCGTTGCAGTGCATGATAATTATGCTACTTTTGGTCCATTTTGACTTCTTGATATTTAATGGCATAAAATATAAAAATGGCACATTGCTAAGAGTAATATTGTATTTAGTTCATTGATATTCACAATAGGGTGAAATTAGGCTATTTAGTTAACTGAAACAGGTCTGAACGTTTATTGAAAGATAACTGAAATGCCGAGCTCTGCCATTTAGCCACCTTTCCAGACCTTTCCAGGCCCGTAGAACGGGAGCAGGGGGCGGGGCATCCCCCCACTTTTTTTCTGACCCCCTTCCTTCACAATTTTTGTTGCTGTAAGGTCGAGTACTGATTTGGACAATTTAGGGGTTTTTTTTTAATTTCTTAATTATTTTTTTTTTGGCTTGTAAGGTTTTCTTTGGAGGTTGCCCCCTTTTGAAATCGTTTTCATTAACTGAATGAAGGAGTTTCATCCTTTGCACCTTAAAATGTTCAGTATGTAAACGGGGAGGTTGCAACCAAAGAAAGCCACCACCACCACAATCAACATTTTGGCTGTGGTTTTCCGGTTCCGAATGACAACACTGGCTCCGTGTTCTGCGTCTGAAATGATTGAATGATTAAGTTGCTTTTTATACATATAATGGAAATCAATGAAATATAAGTAAAGACAAATGGATCAGTAGTGGATTAAAATAAACCTTGTTTTCTATAACCAGTAAAACTTGTCTAATCCAGATTTTGTTTATACCGATGTCTTTTTATTATGGTGAAAACCTTTACTCGCAATTGTTTAAATGTCTCATCCTAATTGTCTAATCCAGCAAATGTTTATGGAACCATTGGTGTCCGGATTAGACAAGTTTTACTCTATTGAATTAAGTATAAAATGAGTCCTTTCATCTAAACTGAAGTTGATTAATATACTTTATACACTTACTAATGTTAGGTAAGTTTTTCGTACTATGCCAAAGGCAGATAAAAATGTTGGTGTAAGCAAAACCCATGATTGCAAACGGAATGATGAAGAATACTACAAAGATAATTAATTGCTGCGTCACTTCCGCCTTGCCATCCTTCGGGCGACAGCTCTTCAGTAAGTTCACCGTTGCAGGAATGACATCGTCAGGTATGACCGTCATGTAGTATAAATCTGGGACAGCAGTCACTAGAGCTACAATCCATATTATCAAAAGAGCAACCCTTGTCTTGATCCGAGGAAGGAAATCCGACATTAGATGGCATATTCCAAGATATCTTTCTAAGCCAATTGTGGTAAGGGTTAAAACAGACACCAACACCGATACTTTCTGAAATAGTAAACCCAGAGAGCCTAGTGGTATTATATGATCTCTGTTAATTTACTGGAAATCAATAAACGATATTATATCAGAATGTCCCCCAATCTAATTTCTTCTTAAAGAAATATTCATTAATTGATTTAGACCGAAATCATTGTTTTAAACATGACTGGTTTATACATGTAAGTATCATACAGTAACTTTTGTCTAATCTGGATGTTGAGCATTCCGAAGTTTTGTCCACAGCACTGAAAAACTTTAATTTAATTTTTTTTTCCATAATATTAAATTGTTTAAAATTTTGTCTCATCTGAAACGTTGTGTAATCCGGCAAAGTTCAATGGAACAAGTGGTTCTAAGTTTTACTACATTTTCTTACGTTCTGCGCCACTGTGTCATTTCAGAATCATAGTATTGTAAATTAATTTCCTTCAGAGGATGCAATGGTAAATTTTTGATATCTGAAAAATCCCACATATTTAAGTGCATGATTTCAATCTGTAATAGAAGTCATCATATTTTTGTATTCGTTCCTTAGTTTCTGGTTTTTATACAATTTATTTTGAAGAAATATGACTGTGAACAATTCTCAAGGGATTCTCAACTGTCGCCATAATCAGATAAATTGGATTTCACTAAAACCAATGTATTTGACTTCGAAATAGGAGTGCTAGCTTGCAGAGAAATATAGCTTTATGTTTTCCTTTTTCTTTTTTTCTTTCGTAAATTATGTACAAACATTCAAGCATATAGAGTTTATACAAGATTCTGATCATACGTACTTAGTTTTATGTTTGAGTTTAAAGCAATAGGACGAGGGTGCTTTTATGCAATGTATAAACGAACATGTACATTATCTGTGACAATAAAATCAATATAAAGAAACTTGCCATTGATTTTTATTTTATACTGAATCGCAACAAGCGGTAATCTACAAATATTTGATTTTTTTTATCTAATGATTTTCAAAGATGAATACAGTAAGGCAAGACTCGATTTAAAAACATCATAGATTTGATAGAAATGTTAAATGATAATCTTTTAATTTAAGAAAGTAGCACATGAATGCTAAAACACCCACACCCCAGCCATTTAATTACAGCGTGCAAGACTGCCATGTACAACAGTTGCAGCTGCAATAGGTTTATCAATCTTGAGATCTGAGCGAAAGAAATTTTCTATATTTAAATGCCTGTTTTTTCAGATGATAAGGTCGAATTTTCTCTAGCCAAGCACACGTGTAGTAACCCTTGGACTTCTGGTCCAAGGACTGTCATTCATGCTAATGATACGTAAGAGCATGTTCAGGCGGATGTGGTGCATATTTGCATCTGCAACTCTCCATCGCCTTTTTTCCAGATAGAGCAATGGAAATGCGTACTCAAGTCATTTTTAGGAAGCCTTGGCATCGCTCACGGAAAAGAAAGGAGAATTTATTTTTCGGAACATCGCTGCATTACTTATGATGAACAGACACAAATCCTTAGAACCCCATATTATTGCCAATGTTTTGTTAAATATGCAATTTTTTATTTCTGTTAAGCGGACTCAAACTTAACTCCTGGTAATGATATGAAAATCATTCAACCGTTAAATTACCGATATTGACAAAGTTGAAGATGTCCTTATATACTTTTTAGATGCAAAATTATATCCTATATATAAATATTTCCCCCTAAAATAAGATGTTGCGTTTCTTTTGCGTTTCAGTAATTTTTTTTTTTTAAGTTTATATTTCAAGTTTTATTTTATCATGTACACCTCTGTCTATATTTTAATATTATTCTTCAAAGAGAATTAACATGCAGATTAAAAAATTATTTCAGATTTTACAATCATGAAAACAATAGTCTGAATTTCTCATTGCATTCTTATAATGTTATTACTATTATTATGACACGTATACATTTTTGTTATCGCCATTGCATTTTGCATTATATAACATTTTTAATATCAGAAGTAAAGCTAAAGCTTTAAATCTGTGCACTATAATTACAAGACTGCAATTATTTCTCTTCCTATTAATCCAAACTGAATTTGATCTCTGTAACATAAAACCAATTAAACTAATGTCTTGTCTCTCCCAAATTCAATTAGAAATACTGTATAATTATAATTCATTTCAAAAATGAAACACATTATACACTTGAATATAAAATAAGACTCCTAAATTTCGACATGAAATTCAAAACAAATGACAATTAAACTTAAATAACTGAAGACCATCAATGATCTTAGAGAATACGCGGGACGGGCGCGTATATTGTCTTGTTTATTTTCACTACAACTAAACTTCGATGTGTATTGGAATGGGATATCATCTATACGATGCTTGAAAAATATTATTTCTACTCCTAAACGAAAACTTTGAACAACATTTTTTTTTTAAATTTTTGAAAAATAAATGCACATTCCTGGCACTTAGTCTGATATTATTTTTTTTTAAATATTTTCTTGGAAAATTAACTTTACTCACATAATGGCTACGCTTATTGTGGATTTATTTTTTTACACTGAACATTAAGGGCATGTTAATCTGATCCACAATAAGAAATAGGATTAATTATATCTGGTTTATTGTGATTAGCTTAATCCTGATTAATTCAACATACAATATTTAATTCTTTTGCATTATGCAGTTCTTATCTTAGTTTTTCTTTGCTCAACGTTTTGACAAGACTAAGAATTACAATGTTAAAGTCGATTCAGGTTTAAGTTAACCCATTGCGATATCAATTAAACATCAATTATCCAAGTTACATGTTTCGATCCTTAGAAACACATTTTTCTATTGCGTTTAAACCTTATTACTATTAACCATTCTTCGAATTATTTGGTTTATTAAAATATGAATTTCAATCAATCTTTTGCAAAACTGCCACTGGATCAAAAGAGACTGATATCCATACCTGAAAATGTTACGGAATCAAAAGAGACAGATATGTCCATATCTAAAAATGTTACAGGGCCAAAAGGGACAGATTTGCTTACTTGAAAATGTTACAGAATCGAAAGAGATAGATATATCCTTATCTAAAAATGTTACAGGGCCAAAAGGGACAGATTTGCTTACTTGAAAATGTTACAGAATCAAAAGAGACAGATATGTCCTTATCTAAAAATGTTACAGGGCCAAAAGGGACAGATTTGCTTACTTGAAAATGTTACAGAATCGAAAGAGACAGATATGTCCTTATCTAAAAATGTAAAAGGGCCAAAAGGGACAGATTTGCTTACTTGAAAATGTTACAGAATCAGAAGGGACAGATATGTCCTTATCCAAAAATGTTACAGGGCCAAAAGGGACAGATTTGCTTACTTGAAAATGTTACAGAATCGAAAGAGACAGATATGTCCTTATCTAAAAATGTTACAGGGCCAAAAGGGACAGATTTGCTTACTAGAAAATGTTACAGAATCAAAAGAGACAGATATGTCCTTATCTAAAAATGTTACAGGGCCAAAAGGGACAGATTTGCTTACTTGAAAATGTTACAGAATCGAAAGAGACAGATATGTTCTTATCTAAAAATGTTAAAGGGCCAAAAGGGACAGATTTACTTACTTGAAAATGTTACAGAATCAGAAGGGACAGATATGTCCTTATCTAAAAATGTTACAGGGTCAAAAGGGACAGATTTGCTTACTTGAAAATGTTACAGAATCAGAAGGGACAGATATATCCTTATCTAAAAATTATAACAAGGTCAAAAAGGACAGATTTACTTACTTGAAAATGTTACAGAATCAGAAGGGACAGAAATAAATCCTTATCTTAAAATGTTACAAGGTCAAAAGAGACAGATTTGAATACTTGAAAATGTTTCAGAATCAGAAGGGACAGATATGTCCTTATCTAAAAATGTTACAGGGTCAAAAGGGACAGATTTACTTATTTGAAAATGTAACAGAATCAGAAGGGACAGATATGTCCTTCTCTAAAAATATTACAGGATCAACAAAGACAGATGTCCTTACCTGAAAATAGGTAACAACCTTGCATCCTAATGTCCCCAAAAACCAAGATTCCATAGCGTCATGAAGGAGAGTTGGAGGAAGACAAATAGCAACTACCAGAAAATCGGCCACGGCCAGATTGACCAAGTGGACGTTTGTCAAAGTCCTGAGATTATGGTTTTTCCACACTGCTAAGCAAACTAACAGATTACCACCTAACCCTAATAGGAAAATGACCACAAACATCCCAATCAAAACCCAGTGTTCGGGGTCCGGTGTAATGAATTCCAATACTTCTCTGTACCATTCCTCATCAGTTTTAGTAAGGACGGTTTCGTTGCTGTAGTTCATCATGCTGTCCTAGACTGATATGAATTCCTCCCAGTTTGCGGTACGGAGACACAATGACATTGCTGATTTTAATGAACTTGCTATATGCTCTTTTGTTTTTATGAGTTACAGTTCTTAATGAAGTAAAATAATATAACCATTTGTAGAAAAGTCAATAATGAATTTGAACCGATATGATACTGACGAAAGCTTGGTCATTATACTGCGTGTCACCCCGCTGTTATGTCAGCACTAATATCATCAGCTAAGATTTATCCTTTACAGAGGCGGTCCAATATATTCTTAAATGTAACATCAACATTATCTCAGTTAATTAATTGGCGATCTTACTTCCTCATGATACATTGTCATCATTTTAATTAATGAAAGTGTTGTTTTAGACGCTTTAACAATATAACACACGATATATTGTCAAGTAAAATTTTAATTTTGAAACATTTGATGCCAGGTATATCATATAAACAACGAGTAAAAAACAATTAAAACAAAGGACTGGAATGCAAGAAGATATGCATATTTCAAAACTTCGTTTTTTTTTCAAAGACGATGATTGCTTTTCCCGTCATATATATCCTGACTGAACCATTAAACTGACACTTCATGTTTTCCCTTGGTGCACATTGCTTCCTTCAATGAAAAAACCCCAAATAATCGACAAACTTAATTATTAAAGCGATCAATATTGATTACTAGATGGTTTAACTTTTCATAACCTGAAGCTGGGACACCCCATCCACCTGGTCTACAAACTCAACACACCCAGACACAAACACACACACACACACACATACATCCCTCATCCACTAGGAAGAGAATTATTTGTTAAAGATTTATTCTCTGGCCCGTTTCAGAGACATTCCTTTGAAATGTGACTATTCCTTTGTCTTAAGCGGCAAGTATTTAATATTGTAACTCCCTGTGAGATTCCACCGTAGAAATTTTCCCGGAATTTTCCTAATAACGACTTTTGATGTATCTTTCTAATCTTTGAATCATTTTGTATACTATAAACCAACTTTTTTTTGCGTGCAAGAAATATCCGCGAGTTTCGCGACCTACTTTACTCGCGAATATTAATCGTCGCGAACTATTTATTTCGCTTTGTATTTGTAGTGTATATTTCTTCAGTCGCAAAAATTAATCGTCGCGGATTGATTTCAAACTGACGAATTCCGAATAAAAGATGACGCGAATAATAGTTGGTTTACAGTACCTTTTGTTATATTAAAGTAAATGTATAGTGTTCCCAGAAATTATTAAGATTTTTTCATGATACATTTATTCGATATATCCCACTGAGCTTGCAATAAAAGATACCACAAAGTCTGACACATCTGCTTCATAGTTGGATATTTTACTAGAAAAAGACGTTAATGGTAATCTAACAACAAAGCTTTATGATAAACGTGATGGCTTTAACTTTTCAATTGTCAACTTCCCTTACTTATGCAGCAATATACCCTCATCACTTGCATATGGGGTTTATGTGTCCCAGTTGAATCGATACGCAAGAGCATGTTCTACGTATGAACAATTTCTAAAACGAGGTAAGTTAATGACAAACAAGTTGATGAAACAAGAATATCAACAGTCTCGTTTAAAGTCATCATTTCGTAAGTTCTATGGTCGATACAATGACATTGTCAGCAAATACAATCTATCATTAAGTCAAATGCTGACTGATGTTTTTCATACTTATTTATTGGCCATTATTTACCCACTGAATTGTCGACGGATTTTCTCGATATTTCCCGATCATGACAAGGAGCACAGGGCGGGTGTGACCGGTCGGCAGGGGATGCTCACTCCTCCATGGCACCTGATCCCACCTCTGATGTTTTGGACGTGCTATGCTCTTGATTTGTATTATTTGAATGGATTTTGATCTTGAATACTGTTCGTTATCTCCATATATTTCATTAATCCAAATAATTTTTTAAAAAAAATATATTAGTATAGTATAGAATAGTAAAGTTGAAGTCATTTTGTTTATCATAATGTTTAGTTTGCTAGTTTGTTATCAATACGTTTATCAAGTGGTTTTCCATATATTAAACGTGATTGATTTGAAATATGATACAGGGTGTTTCTTAATATATGTTACATTTTTAAATCTAATTATTTTTCTTACCTATCATATTTCTATTACAAACTATATACCATTTTTTACATCAAATCCTGCATTTTTATTCCATGTGAAAAAGTCAAGGAAATCATGGTAATACAATGATTAATTGTGACATAAACGCCGATGTCATAATTTGAATATTTTTCAAAATGGACTTAACTTATCAACATATTGCTGAATTGTAAAGCTGTTGTTTTTTTTTCAATACATGTCGCCAATATTCATTCAGAAGTTGATTAAGGAAATATTCCAAAAGAATGGAAGCTCTTTAGGATGCTTATCAGAAGGCTAGAGTTAAAGGACAGGGACGGGTAATATGCGATAAATGACACAATAACTCCAGAAAGCCTAAGGACTTCAAGAGCCGAAGATTTAATTGGTGAAGTGGAGACTCTTAGATAGTTTAGCAAACTCATGAGAAAACTGTCAGACGGATGTTTTCAGATTTATGCTGTCAATATCAGCATTTCCATCATATATTGAACTTTGAAATATGATATGAAGTTATCAGCGTACAAATTTTCAATAATGCAATACCCCAAGAAAAGAGTTTGCTCTCTGCATTCGTCAATCTCAATCTTTGGGCTTTTTCCGGGGGGGGGGGTCTTTAGGAACAGGATCTACAATACTAGACAACAGATACTGAATGAGCTCAAAAGAAACAAACCTTCAAATGAGGAGTGTCTAAGCAAAAATGTGTGACAAGGTTATACACATTTCGAGAAGCAACATTCATTTGTAGGTGTAATAGTGGAGGTCATTAAGAACATGTAACGTGGACTTTTGATGTTTTGAAATGCAACGTTACAAAAATGACGTAATTTAGAAATTTCACTAATTTTCATTAATGTTTGAGATTTCGTCCAGTTTTTAATATTATAGTTGGTAATTGTACATAATGAATCTTATGGATATATGCATCAAGTTGATAAAAACACTTGTGTGTATCTTTTTCTTGTGTTTGTTAAATAGAAGATTCAAAATGTAACATATATTATGACACACCCTGTATGTATGAGATTCTATAGGGTCTTTCTAGCTTCTAAACCATTGCATCGGAATAAGTGGACGAAGAATCAGAATGTTTTCAGGAAAATATTCTCTAGAGGATTATTAATGGTATAGTTTGGATGTAAGAGAACATTTATACATAACATATTGAGAGACTCAAAAGTAATTATATTACTTTACAGTTTATACTATGTAAAAGGTGAAGAAATCAAACAGTAATTAATCTCATAATTCCTGTAAAGAATACAAATCGCGAAAGGGGCAAAACAAAGACTTCTGGAAAAACTAGAGGTTGGATCAGGTGTCTAGTAGGAGTAAGCATCCCCAGTCGACCTGTCACCTCTCAGAATTGATCAGCTAAACGGGTGATCCTTTTTCAAATTTATATAAATATAATGGTCTAACAATTGTTGGTCAACAAGTCAGTCATTGCATGACTCAACTTAAGGTTGTATTTGCAAAAAAAGTCATTAAACGACCATGAATTTTGCGAAATGCTAATTATAAACCAGATATTTGGAAACCCCATAACATCAAATTAATTGTCAGTACCTTGTCATGGTTGAAAAATTAAATACACTCAGAACATATTCTTGTGTACCGAATAAGTTGGGAGACATAAACACCATATACAGGTGATAGTGGAGTGGAATGTTACTACATATACATGTATATCATATTAATTTGACTTCTAAGGATAACTTTTTAAAAAAAATTGTATTCAAAGGATTATTTCACAAGCTGCGATTAAATGAAACATATTAAAATATAGGAGAAGTAATGAAACAGAGCGATGCGCATAAAACAGCGGATTACTGCTTTACATATTAATTGTGTAGTTTGAATGTAAAAGATACACGTTGACAAAGCATTTTGCAAATTGAGACTCATTAATAACATGTCTTTGTAAGTTTGATCATCATTTTAAGTAGGTGTTTTTAATAAATTCTGATTCATATGAATTCAAACATAAGTTGGCTGCTAGAGAGGCACAATTAATATCAATGGGAATTCCAACATTGATGGGACACCTTTTATCTATATAAAACTATAAAGATATTTCTATCCGAAATCCCAGCATCTTTTTTTAATTATTTCTTCAGAATACATGTGCAGGGAAACAGGATGGTTTCAGAAAAATAATTTTTGGATAACTTTATCACAAGATATGTATATATTTCTTGAGTACCATTTTTATTGAAGAAGCACTTATCTCTAATCAAAGTTCTTTTTTAAATTTATCATGCTGACTGATTGAATTCGTATGTGTAAGGTTTAATTTTCGAAAAGTTTTGTGATTTTGAATGTATTTCACAGAATAATCTAATAACCAAGAGATATTTTCGTATAATTTAAATGATCTGGATAACATTCTAGATGATATTCAATTGTTGTTGGCATGTTGTAACAATTGAGGAGCAACAAGCCTTTTATGAACTTAACAGTAACCAAGACCAGCTTGTACACTAGATGGCACAAACATGAAGGCTAGCAGCAGTAGAGTCCTGTAAAAAACGAACTGCAGAGCAAAGAAAACATGCAGCAGGCAGTGAGCTTATTGGAACAAAATGGAAGGAATCAATGAAAAATAAGTTCAAGAAAAAAATGTTCACACAAAGAAACTCCATCGAAAAGTTAGATTCTTGGACTTATTTAAAAACAGATTTTAGAAACAACTAGAGATACTGTGAGCACTGACCTCACAAAATGATACCCCTGCTCCTATATGAGTATAATGGCAAAGACAAAAGCCAAATATCTGTATATCTGTCCGAACAAAACATAAAATAAGAGGTGCACAATGACACTATGTGATAAAGATTCTGTGAAAGTATCATTAAATTTTATTCAGTGGTACAGGAGG